TCAAAGCGATCGGTCACTCGGTGTAGCTATGACAGACATTGAAAGTTTTTATGAGGTGAGGTCACTTCAAGTGACCTGGTGACCTGACCTTGAATGACCTTGGTCTGAAATTTTCACAACATGTGTAGAATTGATGTATGGTAAGGTGTACCAAAAACGGCGGCGCTCCGCGCCGCCGTTTTTGAGATATTCGCGAAAAACCACAGGGGGGGGGGGGGTGTTCAAACACCCCCCCCCAGCAGGGCGCGGGATAAAGCTACCGAGTCGATAAAGCCACTAATGGACATGAAAAGACCTGCCGAATCGATTGATATGCAATATGACCTCCTTTGACCAGCTTCGTGACCTGACGGGCTGTGACCTGACCTTGACCCGAGGTTAACACCTAACTCTCGCCCGTATTGGTGTTTTTTCCAGCCTCAAACGTATAAGGGTCCGTTGGACCCCCCCCCTTGCCGTTTCGCCCCTGATCGAGCTAGAGCTTCGCGGAAAAACGAGCGTGTTGGCCGTGACGAGAGGAAGTCGATGATACCCAATTTTAAGGTCCTAGGTCATCGGTTGACTTTCCAGGTCAGGTCAATGACCCAAAAGTCGGGGAAATGGGGACTTGTTAGAAAGTCGTAAAGCGTGGCTGCTATGGGGTTTTCGGGGTGCTGATCACGAATATCATGTTAGTTTTGATCACAGATGATGTCTTCATGCATTTAGGCCAGGTCGGGTCAGGTCAGGTCAGGTCAACCAGTAAGGGTATTCGTAGTAGGTGGCAACCGCCTCTGACAGCTTCGCAACATGTTACGAGGGCACCAAAACTACTTCGTAAATGTTCATATATCAATGACCTGACCTGACTTTCCGGTGACCTTGACACCCACCCTAATGCATGGAAGCAAGATCATATCCCATGTTTGAACGCTTAAAACCACGAAAAGACTGCAAACGCGCCGCTAATGCGAGCCGACATACGCCGAATCGCGATTCCGGCCAAACATGGTCTCGAAAAGTAGGTCGCAGGTCAAAGGTCATTAAGGTCAGGGTCATGACAATTTCAGGGTGGGTGTAAAATTGATTAACGCGAGGGTACTGAAAGTTTCGCCGCGATCGGCCGCTTTTTACGCGAGTTATTCGCGAAAAACCGAGGGAGGGGATCCGTTCGACCCCCTTCCCTTTATACGGGCGAGGGTTAAGTTGATCTCACCCGAAGAAAAAGCATACCATTCGACACGCCTGAGCTAGACAAACACGATGCTGCTAAAATCGCGGATCTGCGATCATTTTTAGCGAAGTTATTTACCAAAAACCGAACCTGTGCCTTGGGCCACTTGACCTGACCTCCGAAGTCATCGGCTGACCCTGGTCCTTAAAGGGACCCTCCCACCTTCAAAAAAGTTTATGAATTGGCATGAAAGTGATGTCGCTCGGTTCAGAAAGAGCGAAAACGAACATCTACCAAATTTCACCGAAAAATATTCACCGGTTTTCAAGATATTAGACTTTTACTTTTGTTTACTTTTTTTGGGATCTCCGCTGTTTCTAGCGACTTTATTTTAGAAGTGCGGCGTTTGCGGCAGATGTTGCGCGCAAGTAGCATATACCACCGCGTGCTACAAAACGTTTTAGTCAAACATTTAAAAATCGTTAGATATTTGCGCTGACGTCACACACTCAGAGGGGTATTCCTAAGCATTAGCCCCTCTGAATCAAAATGCTGCAATTTTGAAATTCAATATTTCCGATTTAAGGCATTTCTCGATGTTGTGAGTGCCGAAACCGGTAATTGTGAGCTAGGGACCCCATTTTGGCTATCTCAACTCAAATCTAATGTTAAGGTGGGAGGGTCCCTTTAAATCGGAGACCAATCGCTGCATTTCGTAACGACGCACACGATCGTTTCTTTCGTGAGGCTCTAGCTCAATTAGGGGCGAATCGGCGAAGGGGGTTGTTTCCTCACTTCCAACCCCCAACGTCCCCTCGGTATTCAGAAAACCTGAAGGTCCGGTGAGGGTTAAAACGTTTCTCCTGAACGAGGAAGAAATGTGAAAGTCAAAGCTCTATAGACGTCCTGTAAAAGTGGCCATACTAATAAATTCGTTAGAAATAAGATGCTTTTTAACCCTATTAGTGGCAGGCTCCTGGCTACACGACTTACTCATATAAAATCGGGTGCTGGGACCAATCTTATAAACGCTTTAGAATGGACAGGGTGTCACTGGCTAAAGTTTGGGTGCAGAAAACGGCTATTACCTAAATGCAAAATGGTTTTCATGCATTTCAGTCAATTGTATATTGTCGGTCCCAGTGGCCGAGCTTAAAAAAAAATCGGCAGTGTTTTGCATCTTTTACGCCCTAAGAAACTACACCATCTATCGAAGTGGGCGGGCTTATTTGAATGGGAGGGCGCATTATGCACGAATCGTGTGCTTTCGTTTATTTTGGACTGTATTTTACCACATCCACTGCTGGTATCACTATTAATATTATCTAATGCCGTGAATACGACAGCATTCCATTTATAAGATTGGGCCAATGGAGTCGCGCCCCGCGAGCTCGGTTTTCCGCTGGGCCGCTACAGGCCAGGAAGTCGGTCTTCGCCTGAGGGCAGGAGGGAGCGCGGGGTCAGCCAGGTATCGCCAAGTGCCGAGCGAAAGCCGCTCCCTTCCCTCTCTTCCCCTCTTCTCCCCTCCCCACCTCGGTATAGATGGGGGGGGACCGAACTGCCAATGACATGCGAGCGGTCAAGGCCGCTCGCGCGGCAGCGACCCTGGCGGCCGGATGCCGCAATTGGGATTCAGCCAAGTTACCGATTCGCCTCCTGTGGGAGAGCCAAACCAGGGGACATACTTTTTAGATATACTGTACTGAGTAGAAGCCGGAGCCGGAGCCGCCGGAGCCGGATCATTTTACTCGGAGCCGGAGCCGGAGCCGGAGCCGCCATGACATTTCACCCGGAGCCGGAGCCGGAGCCGGAGCCGATTTTTTTCTCCGGAGCCGGAGCCGGAGCCGGAGCCGTCTGAAATTTCCACGGCTCCGCATCCCTGGTTTGATCGTTTTTGAATTACATGGTTTGAAATCCATTCGGAGCCATGATCTGTGAGATGTATCCTGAGCTAATTTGCGGAAACTTTAATTGTATGGACACAAAAAGTCTGCCATGAACTGAGATGTGGCAACTGAAACGTCACATTTAAGTTTGACCTCACAAGTCATCAAAGGTCACCAATACCAAAGGTCACCAAAGGTCACATGAAGGCAGAAGATATCAAAAATGATTACACGCCGACCAGAATGATACCAACAACAGGAGCAAAACATCACGGCGCTTTTCACCAAATGTTGCAATATCGACTTGTATTGATCGCTATAAAGTAAAGCATTTAACCGGAACCACGTGATTGAGCACATCGATCTGGATGAAAAAGGAGCGTTCAATGACCCCTCTACCCGACTTTCGAAACAAAAAGTTTGCCTTTGGTGCGATTTACTATCAGCGTAAAATAGACATATTTCTAGGTAAATACGCAAACTTCAATCTCAATTCGCGACCCCTAAACCACCTTTGATTTCAATATTTTTGGCATCATTGGAATCAGGAGCCACGAAATAATGGGAAAAACCACCCCCACCCTGAAATTTCCAAAATCGGGAAAAATGGGTACCCCTAATGAACAGCTGTTGTAAGAACATATCAAACAAATTAACATTCAACTATTTGCCAGCTGCCATAAAAACAATCATGCTTGCTGTGTGTGCATGTTTTTTTTTAGTGCCAAAATGGGCCAAGTTCCAAATGGGTACTACTTTTTCCATTTCCATGATTGAGGTCTACAAGCTGGTCCATGGACATGACAAGGTAAATGCTGGAGAAGAGTTTTTGAAATTAGAGACCAGCACAAACCGGGAAAGGACACGCGGACATGCACTCAGACTGCACAAGCCAAGACATCGACTGCACAGACGCAATCAATTCTTCTTTTCAAGAGTTGTGGACCAATGGAACCAACTACCTGAACATGTGGTACTGAGTCCAAACATCGACACATTCAAAAACAGATATGACCGTCATATGACATTGAGAAGAGGCAGCATCCCATGAGCATCCGCTCCCTATGCCTCTTTCCTATCTACTATGGTGAGCATCTACTACCATGGTGAGCATTTCAACAATTCCTCATTGTTATCATGTTATTTAGCATGGAGAATAGATACCTAACTGATAGAGAATAGATAAGTTCTGGCTATAGATAATATGTCTTTTGATAGGCATAGGTCATAAGATTCACCCTAAGGGCATGACGATTATACCCACCTTGAGATGTCTTCAGACTGAAAAGCTACAGTCATGATTGGAGAATCAGTGAGACTGTTAGTTTCTTCTCCATGACAAAATCGTTTTCTTTCTTGGACAGATTCAACAATACATTCTGAATCATCCTCTGCCTTTCTTTTTGAATTATTTCCCAGGCTAGAGTCACTAGCAGTCGAGGTCTCGTCCAAAGTAATGACCTCATGTTCGTCTGTCTTCTCCATTGTTAAGCCAGAAATATATCAAAATCTTCCTTGAAATCAAATAATTGAAGTCAGGCACATTTCAGCCAGACCCTATGCTTCGTTAAAAAATATGCACAATGGATGCAATTTTTTAAAATCGTAGCAACTCTCCTCCCAGAACAAAAACTTATGACAGAAATAACATTATAGAGTTCAGCGGAATAAACACTCCGACCAGCCTCTAGAGAATAAACATATGTTCACTTGATAGTATGACGTTATTGATAAAGCCCATCAGAGACTCACGTAACAAAAAACAATCCAAACTTTTTTTTTGCAATTTCTGTTACTGGAATTATGTGACAAAAAATGAAAAGAGATTACTTTGAAAATTAGATGACAACATGTCCTCGTCAAAAAATTGAGGAAAATACATAATATTGAAAGAAAAATATCTCTGACGTCATAGGAACTAGTTCTCAAGAAAACAAAAACAAAACTCAAAGGTATGAAACTAGTGCGCAAAGTTCGCAACAAATCTTTCACTTTATAAATCACATCAATATCACTTGTCCGTTGCAAGGTCCGCTGGTCTTCTGAATTGAAATCCAGGCTAAATTTTCGTTTTGCTCCTCGCATCACAAATAGCTCAGGCTCTTGTTCGTACTTATCGATCATTGAAGTACTTTATAGCAGAAATAGGGTCATACATAGGTTTCTACTGTGCGCGTGCTAAATTAAAAAATAAAATAATACCCTGATAGCTTGCCGGTTGCCGACACCACACTCGTCTTTTTGATATGTCAAACGATCAAAAAGCGCTAAAAAATGGACCAAGGGGAAAGATATTCATCCATAGTGGAACATACAAAGGGGACTGGCTCAATGATCTAAAACATGGTAAGTCTATTGATAATAAGGCTTTTTTTCTCAAAAGTTGTAGATTCATTGACATACTTTCGATTGAAAATTGATCTTTGGCATTTGCGTAACTCTACCATAGTTTTCTTTTTCACCCGGTGAAAATGTGCTTGGGTATACGTCTCTTGATAAAAATCGCACATGCGGTGGTAAATCGATTGGGCGTTTCCATGGCGACCGTAGCTCCAGTATGTAAACAGTAAACACAGGATTCCTCGCTCGGACCGCTCGCGCAGTATGGGCTGTGTCTCGGTTACGGTCGTGCTGTACCTATCCGATTATTGCCGACACTGACGAAGGCCCTTTCGATTTGCATCGTGTGTTGATGTTAGTCAATTGTCTAGTGAAACAAGAATCAGAAGATATTTCGGTGCAGATACTACGTGGATCTTCAGCACGTCTTCCGGTATGTTTGTGATTTGCAGTCCGTGAGACACCCGCCTATCAGAAGTTCAAGCACGACGATAGACTGCCCGAGGGGAGGGCTGAACTGTTCGAACTTTTAGCCTCAGGAATGCTCATTTCATCCTCGAAACTTTCAGTTTGCTGACGATGAGTACAGACAGCAGAAAGAAGTTCATTTTAACAACCGTCGCAAACTACTTTGAGGTCAGTCCATCAGACAAAAATATAGAAGCGTTGGAAAACAGTGCCGAGCTCAACACATTTCTCGATGATGGAAACTGTTTCGTGCTGATAGCATGCGGGGAAAGCAAAGACGGTAAGAATGCAGTTCATCTGAGCAACAAAATAGACGTGGGAAAAAATGACGAAAAAGTGTTGGTCTTCTTTAAGATCAAACCAGAAGCCATCACTCCAGACAATTTACACACGAATGTCTTCATGTCATCGATGCTGGACTCTCCAATAAGTGCGCTGTTTTATACCCTTCAAAAGGTGTACTCACCAGCGCTCCTGCAAAACGAAGAATGGAGCGGAAAGGTGGACCCAAAACTACAGGATCTCATATCTAATTTGCAGTCGGGATTGGGAAGCATTATCAGGCGTTCCGATTCTAAACAAAGGAAGGGCGCCGATGACTCCATGAGTACCATTTTCACACCATCTGACGAGTATGAATATTGGCTGGAGATGTCCAACACTGGGGACCGATCTGGATCGGTGTTTGCAAGTCTGCTGAGACCACTAGATTTGGCTTTCAAGAAGCTGGAGTCAATGAGCATCGGAGAAAGTGAAGACGTCGTCGAAGAAGCATTCAATGCCTTGGATGACCTGTGGAAAGCAGATGAGGCAGAGTATCCCGAAGCGCGGATGAAGCTGATGATGGACGTGGTTGGAAACACGCTGTGTCGATTCATTCAGATGCGGTTGTCTGACGCAGACTTGTGGCGAGGTTCGTACAACCAGGTGGAAGAGCCCCTGAATCAAGCCGTGACCGTCCTCGAACAGTGGATCGAAAATTGCAACCGGCTGACAACCGTGTTCTGGCCCAACTTCTCCCCGCACAAATGGAAGAGCCCCGCCTTCGTACCCGAACATGCCAAAAGCATGGTGCAGCGACTCAACGAAGTGATGAACCTTCGCATGCTGCACAAGCAGCTGACCAAACTGCTTTCCACGGCCGAGCAAGATGAACTGAAGACAAAAGATGCCTTCGCGCCCTTCTCTGGACTTAACCCTCTGCAGTACAACCCATACACGGAGCCACTATGGAAAGCAGCTGTGCAACAGTTCCAAAACTTGCTGAAGCCAGCAGAGCAGAAAATTGCCGGAAAACTTCGCATGCAGCTGCGTAACATGCAAGGCAACGCCCTGCAACTCATGCAAGAGTTCAAGCGCTATCGTGAACTTATCAAAGAGGAAAGCATTCGGAAGGAGCTCATAGCAGAGCGCGAGATGTTATTAGGTCAACTGCTGGAGTATGTAAAAACAACACAACAAAACTTTCGTAGTCAACAAGGATCAGGACCACGCAGAATACTTGATGTACCTCAAGTGGTGAACAACATCTACTGGGCTCGACATATAGAGTCGAAAGCTAAGGACATCGAGAAGACCGGTGAAGCAATCCTATCCGATCTAGATGGGTACAGTGGCCTGAAAAAGGACACAAGTCACCTCTTAGACGAGTTGCAAGAATATCACCGAGAGCAGTTTGATTCGTGGAGCAAAGACACTATGGAAATGATCAAAGACAAGACACTCAGTCTGGCAACTGAAGAGCAAGTCGTTGAGTTTGAGAAAGGCAAACACATGAGAGTAAACTACAATCGTCGGTTGGTAGGACTCATTAGAGAAGTAAGACAGCTGATCGTTCTCGGCTACACTATTCCATCAAGAATCATTGAAGCCACTAACCTAGCCAAAAAATTCATGACACAAGCAAAGGCACTGGAACAGGTCGCAAACTTTCACAACACTATCGGTGATCGCATCATCAAATCACAACGTCCAATGATGCTGGAGGCGGCGATGTCATTCGCTCAGCTAGTTCAGAAGCAGCAGGGCATCACATGGAATAACACGCAAGCAGTGGACGAGTACATTGTGAAACTGCAAACTGCTGTTGAGAGGCTGTCAAGGGACAACAACCGACTTGTCACGTCCCACAACCAAATCAAGGACAAAGTGCTCCTAATGATGGACACGGATCTTCTGCGGCAACAACAGAAGTGGAAAGACTTGCTCAGAGAAATAAGGAACATTTTTCAGCAGCTTGAGTCGGCTGGGTTCAAAGATCAGAAGACATGGCGGGCCCACTGGGACAGACAGATATACAAAGCCCTCGAGCACCAGTACCAGCACGGCCTTGAGGTAGTGAACCAGCATCTCCCGGAACTGAAAGTCGAACTTGTCTACAGAAACAGAAAATTACAGTTCTCACCGCCCATTGAAGAAATTCGCTTGAAGTACTACAGCCAGCTGAAGCGTTTTCTGAACATCCCGAACAACTTTCGTGGAGTAGGGGAAGGCGGATCGGAGGCCAGCATCTACCCAATCATCATCGAGAGGAATGCTTTCCGATACAACAAACTGTTTCAAGCCGCCGAGGAGCTTTTCCAGCGCTTGGAGTCCGTGAAGGATAAATTTGAAGACTGGGTCGCGCTCGGGTCTGTGGACATGGATGACCTCATCCAGAAGCGCTGCAAAACGTCCGAAGACTATGACAAGAACTTCAGGGCATCAAAGAGCAAAGGTCAAGAAATTGGCAGACTTCCAAGTACTGAGGAGAAGATAGATTGCATCACTGTTAGTTTCTCTGCCATTAGATCTGAAATCGAAATCATCAACAGGCGGTACTGGGACGCGCTGGTTTCGCTGCTCCAGCACAGCATCATCAGAGACTGTCATGCCTTAAACAGGTTCGCAACAGAGTCTTCAGAAGGACTGAAAAGACAACCACAGACGATCGAGGAAGTTGGAGAGTCGGCAGCTAGAAGAAATGAAATCGTCGCCGAAATGCCAGAATATGACAATCTCATGAAAGACGTGGAGAAAAGGAACAAGATGCTGGCAAATTGGACAAAAGACAAGGTTGACCAAGTGTCCAAGGTAACATCAAAATGGGATAACTTCCAGAGCCTTGTTACGAACTATGACGCATTGATGTCAAAGCAAATCGAAGGTCTGAAGTCCAGCATGAAATCGCAGGTGAAAAATCACCTCAAGGACGTGGAGAGATTCGCTGCCAAGTGGTATCAGTTCAAGCCCAAAGATGACATATTTGACCACGATACAGACGAAATCCTAAAAGGCCTTGCAATTGTCAAAGAAAAGAAGCGTGAGTGGGACGTTCTGGTCGAGGAACGAGAGAAGCTGATGGCAGGCTTCGAACAATTTGGAATGGAAAAACCAGACATGAGCGAGGCTGAAAAGGTGGAAAAAGACTTGTTCGAAGCAGAAGCTTCTTTTTCACTCTTCGAGGAGTATCACAACGGCATGAACGACATGCTGAAGGAGGAGTGGATTGTTTTCAGGAGCAAGTTGTACCGCTTTGAAGAATACCTGGGTCAGTGGAACGACAAACTTCAAGAAGAGCAGAAAAACCCCTTGGCTGTAAAGCTACTGAAGGAAATAGAAAAAGATTATGATCTTGTCCCAGCTATGAAGTTTGTCCGAGGAGATGCCTTCAGCGAGAAACATTGGAGCGAAATGTACAACATTCTAGGCATTCCTACGTCTCTTGGCATCGATAAACTGACATTTGGCGACCTTATGCGTGTGAAGTCCAAAATTCTGGACAACAAAGAAACTCTGAAAGAGCTCAATAGCAGAGCAACGGGAGAAGTAGCCATACGTCAAGCCCTACAGGAGCTAGATGCGTGGGAGATTGAGGCCAAGTTTAGTCTGGTCGAACAAACTGACTCAGGAAACAGACCCATCAAACTGATCAAAGACTGGAAAGAGCTCCTGAACAAGGTCGGCGATCTTCAGTGTCTTCTTCAGTCGCTGAAAGACTCTCCATACTACCAAGCGTTTTTGGATCGTGCTGGAATCTGGGAGCGCCGACTAGCAGACTTGGATGAATACCTGGCCAACCTGAATCAGATTCAGAGGAAGTGGGTGTACCTGGAGCCCATCTTTGGAAGGGGTGCCCTACCCAACGAGCAACCGCGCTTTAAGCGTATCAATGATGACTTCAGGGCAATAATGGGTGATGTGGAGAAGGACCCGCGGGTTGTTTCTCTTTGCAAGATATCCGGACTCAGAGACATACTGGTCACCATGATGGACCAGCTAAGCAGGTGTCAGAAAAGCCTGAGCGAATTCCTGGAGGAAAAACGGTCTCAGTTCCCTCGTTTTTATTTCATCGGTGACGACGATCTTCTCGAAATTCTGGGACAAGCAACAAACCCCACAATTATCCAGTCTCACCTGAAGAAGCTATTCGCTGGGATATACAGAGTGGACTTTGACGACAGCAACTCCAAAATTATTGCGATGAAGTCTCTTCAAGGTGAAACGGTCAAGCTGAAGAAACCAGTGCAAATCACCAAGAACGTAGAGGGCTGGCTACAGGAACTAGCAAACGAAATGAAAAGCACATTGACAGCTCTGCTTGTAGAGTGTTTGCAAGACGCGCATGGAAAAGGACCAGACCCACTCGCATATCCAAGTCAGATCCTGTGTCTGTCAGAAAGCATTATGTTCACTGAAAGGTGTGAAAAGGCTATCGAAAAAGGGACCCTAAAAGAAGCTCTAACGGAACTCAGGGCTCAGTTAGAGAGCTACACAAACCAAGATATTGACACCAGTGACGATGAAGGAAAAGTGCTCCAGCTGAAACTGAAATCATTGATATTAGATACCATCCACAATGTCGCAGTAGTGGAGGAACTCATCGCGTCATCCGTCAAAGCACTCGATCACTGGATGTGGCAAAAGCAGCTGAGATATTACATGAAGAAAGATGTCGCTGTAATGCGGATGGTGGATGCCGAATTCGAGTACACCTACGAGTATCAAGGCAACGCCCCAAAGCTCGTCCATACACCGCTCACCGACAAATGCTATCTTACGCTCACTCAGGCCATGCACATGGGAATGGGAGGAAACCCATATGGCCCTGCCGGTACCGGGAAGACAGAATCAGTGAAGGCTCTCGGGAACTTGTTTGGACGACAGGTGCTGGTGTTCAACTGCGACGAAGGCATTGACGTACAGTCCATGGGTCGCATTTTCATAGGCCTGGTGAAGTGCGGAGCATGGGGATGCTTCGACGAGTTCAATCGTCTGGATGAGGCAGTGTTGTCAGCCGTCTCCATGCAGATCCAAGTGATACAGGCCGCGCTGAAAAACAAGGAGCCCCGTATCAAGCTCCTGGGAAATGACCTCGGGATCGACTACAACTCCGGCATTTTCATTACGATGAATCCCGCTGGCAAGGGTTACGGTGGGCGCTCAAAACTACCAGACAACCTGAAGCAACTGTTCAGACCGGTGGCAATGACTACACCCAATAACGAGCTTATCACAGAGACCATTTTGTACTCTGAAGGCTTCAAGCATGCGAAGACTCTGGGCAAAAAGCTCACCGCTGTATTCAATTTGTCGAGACAGCTTCTGTCTGCTCAGCAGCATTACGACTGGGGCTTGCGGGCGCTGAAAACTGTTCTGGGAGGATGTGGCAACCTTCTGTCGCTACACAAGGCGTCATTGGAGGACGGTGCTCAGGTAGACGAAAAGACGGAGGCGAAACTTATCGTACAAGCGGCCAGATTCAACACCATGTCCAAGCTGACATTCGCAGACACAAATCGTTTCGATTCTCTTATCAACGATGTCTTCATCGATGTCAAAGTTGATGACGTTAGCTACGAAGAGCTTGTAAATGCCATCAAGGAGACACTGAAAGAGTTGGGTCTGATGGAGAGTCAAACTCAAATCAAGAAGGCGATTGAGCTCTATGAACAGCTGAACCAACGAATGGGCTGTGTTGTCGTGGGTCCAAGTGGCTGCGGAAAAAGCACATTATGGAAAGTGCTTCGACTGGCTATGATCAAAACTGGCCGGACAGTGAAGATTCACACCATGAATCCCAAGGCCATGCCCCGCACTCAACTTCTCGGGCACATTGACATGGACACACGAGAGTGGTTCGACGGCGTTTTGACCAACAGCGCCCGTCAGGTTGTGAAGGAGCCGAAAGAGGTTCAATCTTGGATCATCTGTGACGGTGACATAGATCCGGAGTGGATCGAGTCACTCAACTCTGTGCTCGACGACAACCGCCTGCTTACGATGCCGTCCGGAGAGCGCATCCAGTTCGCTCCAAACGTCAACTTCCTGTTCGAAACACATGATCTCAGCTGTGCTTCACCTGCGACAATATCTCGAATGGGCATGATTTTCTTGAGCGACGAAAACACTGATGTTGATGCTGTCGTCTCAGCATGGGTAGCTCGACAGCCGGAAGAACGCCAGAAAGTGGTGGGTCAACTCGTAGAGGACCACTTCCACAACGCTGTTGAGTGGGTTTTAGATGCCGACGCATTTGAAACAGATACAACCCTCATTGGCACTGTGATGAATGGTCTATCGCACTTGTCCAACGCAAAGACCAAAACCGGTTTTGCTGTGTCCCTCGTGTATGGTTTAGGCGGAAACCTGAAGAAGGAAGCAAGAGCCAAATTCGCTACCGAGGTCTTTGGGTGGTTGGGTGAGTCTCCTCCAGACCCACACAATCCCCTCAACTTCCACTACAATGAGCGAAGAGATAGAATGGAGGCGTATGGCATGGGCGAACAGGCCAAAGTGACTGTCGAAGCCCTGTTCTCGTCCAGCCCGCCGCTGATTTTGACACCAGACATTCAGAGAACGCTGGATTACTTTAGGCCGTGGCTACAAGGAGAACAGCGTGAACCTTTCCTCATGGTAGGACCAGAGGGGAGTGGAAAAACTCAGATGCTATACGAGTGCTTCAAGAAAATGAAATCCACCCAGGTGGCTACAGTCCACTGTAGTGCGCAGACAACACCGCAGCACGTCCTCCAAAAGCTGACACAAATGTGCATACAGATCACGACAAACACCGGAAGAGTCTACCGACCGAAGGAAACTGAGTGGCTTGTGCTATACCTGAAGGACATCAATCTCCCAAAGCCAGACAAATGGGGAACATGTCAGCTCATCGCTTTTCTTCAGCAAGTCGTCACGTACAAAGGTTTCTGGGACCAAAGCCTTGAGTGGGTGGGACTGGAAAACGTCCAAATCGTGGGAAGCATGATCGGTGGCAAGGCCCTCGGAAAGCATGAACTGTCGACTCGGTTCACGTCCATTATTCGCCTTCTCTCTGTGGACTACCCTGACATGGATCAGATGCAGAACATCTACGCCTTGTACTTGAAGCCCATCCTGCAAGGCATGTCTGGTGGGGTTGGTGAAGCTCTCTCGGCAAAGACAGGGCAGCTGGCTGAGTCAACCCTGAAGGTGTTTCAGCAGCTGCAAACTTCGTTCAGCGCAGATGACCACAGTCACTATGTCTTCTCGATGCGCAACCTCACAGACTGGCTTCTTGGACTCATCCGGTACGATATCGACGAAGGAAACGCTGTTGAGGAAATGCTGGAAGTTTGGGCATACGAGGCCTGTCGCATGTTCAGAGATCGGCTTGTCACCGATGTTGACCAATCGAAGTTCGACAAAATCATCTTCGATGTGATTTCGACCGACTGGGGCATCAACCTCCACGGTCATCTTGACGCAAAGTTTTTCGTGACACCAGGAGCCCGATCCACATCTCAAACTGGGGTCGGTCGCTCCTTGCCCATCACTGGTAAACACCTGGGCAGCCTGGAACCAGACGACTGGCAGGCGTGCATCGTAAAAGGTGCCAACCAGTTCGTAGCTGAGCATTACGACCTGGATATGTTCGTGTTTCGTGAAGTGCTTGAGAACATCGCCAGGGTCGAGCGAGTGCTCTCATTTCCAGGAGGATCCTTGTTGATGGCTGGCCGTTCCGGAGTAGGCCGTAGAACATCCGTCGGTATTGCTGCCTGCATGTTGGGAGCGACTCTAGTGTCGCCGAAGATGGGCAAGGGATACGGCGTGAAGCAGTTCCGCACCGATCTCAAGGCTTACATGCAGATGGCTGCCATCGAAAACCAGCAAGTGGTTTTCATCTTGGAGGATCATCAGGTAACCGATTCGTCGTTCCTGGAGATGGTGAATTCTCTGCTGAGTGCAGGAGAGATCCCGGGTCTTTTTGCACCCGAAGAAATCGAACCGATGGTCGCTCCACTCCGCGACGACGCATCCCAAGAGGGATTCAGAGGTCCTCTGTTCTCTTTCTTCTCATCGCGTGTGAAGAAAAACCTGCATGTGGCTGTGATCATGGACTACACAAATCCCTCGTTCACGGTGAACTGTCAGAGCAACCCTGCCCTGATCAAGCAGTGCAATGTCATGTGGATGAGCAAGTGGAGTAAGGAGAGCATGTGCTCCCTGCCAATGATGGTCATCACTAAGAGCAAGGACTCGGGGGACGCAGCAGGAGTCTTCACACAAGAGAAAAAGAAGAAAAAGGACAAGAGAGAAAGACGAGTTTCAGGCGGAGATTCCCTGCTAAATGGATTCCTCTCCATCCACCAGTCCATGCCAAGCAACGCTGCGACACCGAGAAAGTATATGCAGCTGATGAAAACATACCTGAAAGTGTACAAACACAAGAAGCAGATGATTCTCGACAGGCAGCAGCACTTGAAAGGTGGTGTCGACAAACTGAACGAAGCAACAACAGTTGTGGACAAGCTGAAAAAGGAGGCTGGAGAACAGGAGGTCAAACTAAACCAAAAGCAGGAGGAAGCAAACAAAGCACTCAAGATGATTACCAACACCATGAAGTCAGCAAGTAAACAAAAGGAGGAAATGGAGGTTCTGAAAGACAAAGCAGAGAAAGAAAGTGTCAAAATGCAAAAGCGGAAAGAAGGCATCGACAAAGAGCTGGCAGAAGTGGAACCCGTTCTGGCAGAAGCCCGAAAAGCAGTTGGAAACATCAAATCCGAGTCTCTTTCCGAGGTCAGGTCACTTCGAGCACCACCAGATGTCATCCGTGACATTCTAGAGGGAGTGATGGGACTCTTGGGCATAGCTGATACTTCATGGAACAGCATGAAAAGCTTCTTGGCACAAAGAGGGATAAAGGAGGACATCATGAAATTTGATGCCCACAGCATCTCTGTATCACAACGAAAGAAGGTAGAAAAGCTGCTGAAGGAAAGAGGAAAAAGTTATGACCCAGCAAATGCCAAGCGAGCGTCCCAGGCAGCAGCGCCGTTAGCATCATGGGTGAAGGCTAATGTCACTTATGCAGTGATTCTGGAAAAGATCAAACCACTGGAAGACGAACAAAACGCCCTGCAAAAGAACATTGACGAAGCTCAAGAGGCGATGGATCGACTTGGGGATGATCTCGGGAATGTTGAAAAGCACGTTCAGGGGCTCACGGAGCAGTTGAACAAGTCGACCAAGGAAGCTGCTTCAATTGAAGTCGGCTTGACCAAGGCCAAAGAAACGTTGACAGCGGCCGAAAATTTGGTTGGACAGTTGTCTGGGGAATATGACAGGTGGACAAAACAGTTGGATGAGCTGCAACACGAGTTGGAGACGCTGCCTCTCAGGTCACTTCTAGCTGCGTCTTTCATCAACTATCTATCGGATGCATCTGAGGACGTGCGCACGTCTAAGACGCAGCAGTGGTGCGAGCTCCTCGGCCTGGAGAAGTTTCAATTCCGTGGTCATATGAGCACTGAAAGAGAAATGCTGACATGGAAAGGCGAGGGTCTACCATCTGACGACCTGAGTGTGGAAAACGGCGTCGTTGTCATGCACAGTGGAACAGTCACTTTCCTCATTGACCCATCATCGCGTGCCATCGAGTGGCTGAAAACCCATCTGAAAGATTCAGGAGGAGTAGAGGCAGTCACACAGCAAGATGAGAAGTTTTCAACACAGCTGGAAATGGCTGTGCGATTCGGCAAAACGCTGATCATACAGGAAGTTGACCACTTCGAGCCGGTGTTGTTCCCACTGATGAGACAAAATGTGTCTACACAGGGCACGAGACAAACCATTCAGGTGGGCGACAAAATGCTGGACTATAACGAGAACTTTAGACTGTTCCTCGCCACAAGAAATCCAGAACCAAGCATTCCACCAGATTGTGCGAGCATCCTGACCACCGTCAACTTCATCACAACCAGAGCTGGACTGACAGGTCAGCTATTGGCGCTGACGCTGCAGTCTGAAAAGCCTGAACTGGAGGTGAAGAGAAGAGAACTTTTGAAACAGGAGGAGGACAACAAAATCAAACTGTCTCAGTTGGAAGACAAGCTTCTAGTGGAGTTGGCAAGTGCCAAAGGTAACATCCTGGAGAACAAAGAACTTCTGGCCTCTCTGAACGAGTCAAAAACATCTTCGTCGAAGATCGCAACTTCCATCAAAGAAGGACAAAAAATCCAGGAAACCCTCGGAAAAGAGCGCGACGCATATCTTCCACTCGCAGAGAGTGGCTCCCAGTTGTACTTCATAGTCACGGATCTCTGCAAGATCAACAACATGTACCACTTTTCCCTGTCTTCGTTCATGGACCTGTTTTCACAGGCCTTTCAGGTAAAAAGCGATGGAGTCGATACTGGCATGCGTATCACCACTCTCAAACGAGCGGCCACTGATGCAGTGTATACAAACACATGCCGATCTCTATTCAAAGCCGATCGACTGATGTTTGCGCTGCATTGTGTGCACGGAATGAATCCAAAGATGTTCCAGGCTAACGAATGGGAGGCGTTCACAGGGCAGCTGCTGTCCGACGTCAAAACTGACGCAGAAACTCTGCGAAAGCAGATGCCATCATGGGTGACTGAAGATCGAGCTCTGGCTGTGTCCTTGTTGAAGTCCAACCTCCCGAAACTCTGGGAAGTGCTGAAACTCGAGGACAGTAATGCGTGGGCAGGTTTCGCTACTAGCCCCGAGTGTGAGCGCAACCTCCCTGCACATCTGAATGACAAGCTTACGCAATTCCAAAAGCTGCTGGTAGTGCAAGCACTTCGACCTGACAGACTGCAGACGGCCATGATTGAGTTTGCCTCCTCGGTGATGGGGCATGACCTGTCTCCACCTCCCCTCGATCTTCGAGAGCTACTGACGGAAACAACTGCATCAACACCGGTGCTCATCCTCATCTCTCCCGGATCCGATCCTTCAGAAGAGTTACAAGAACTCGCAAAGAACAAAGTGGGACTCGACAAGTTCTCCGAGGTGGCCATGGGACAAGGACAGGCCGAGATTGCACTGAGAAAGCTGAAATCGTGTAGTGAGTCAGGCGAGTGGCTGTGCCTGAAAAACCTCCATTTGGTGACTGCGTGGCTCCCTGTTCTTGAAAAAGAACTCCTGAAACTGACTCCGAAGGACACGTTCCGACTCTGGCTGACTGCTGAAGCTCACACAAAATTCACGCCGACGCTCCTGCAAAGCAGCATGAAGGTAACATACGAAGCCCCTCCAGGTGTGAAAAAGAACCTTGTTCGTTCCTACACGATGTGGGGACCGGAGTACATTGCAGCTGGAGGCGGAAACGCTCAGCGAGCTCAGGCGCTGTTTGCCCTGGCATGGTTCCACGCTGTGGTCCAAGAACGACGAACGTTCATTCCTCAAGGCTGGACCAAGTTCTACGAATTCAACTTCGCTGATCTCAAGGCAGGTGCAGACATCCTCGACCGGTTGGTGGCGATGGGAACCTTGCGCTGGGACTACATGCACGGTCTGATGGAAAACGCCATATACGGTGGCCGCGTGGACAACTCATTCGATCTTCGTGTGATGGTGTCATACCTCAAAGAGTTCTTCAACGGGGAGGTCATCTCTGGGTCGTCGAAAGCTCATCGTCCTCTGGGCCCGAACATCAACCTGCCGACGTCCGCAGACTTCAAGGAATACATCCGCATCATCAAGTCATTCAGTGAAACCGACAAACCCATCTACTTCGGCCTTCCTGCGAACATCGACCGTTCGGCACAGCGCATGATCAGCGCGAATGTCATCAGCCAGCTGAAGGTGCTGATGAGATCAATGCAGGCGACTGACAAGTTCGACCGCGACAAGTGGCAGAAAGAACTGTCACCAGTGCTCAACCTGTGGAAGAAGCTCAACTCAGAGGTCAATCTGACGAAGCAAATCACGCGGCAGTCAGCACATCGAATGTCCATCAGCAGCACCAAAGAACCAATCACCTCTTTCATCCAGCTCGAACACTTCAACGCGCTGCGTTTGGTACAGGACGTGCATCGCAGCTTGGCAAACGTCAGCAAAGTGATCCGTGGCACTATGCTTCTGTCCCCTGACGTCAAGAAGGTGGCAGATAGCCTGATGCGCAACGAAACACCGGGCGCGTGGCAGGCGGTGTGGGAGGGACCAGAAGATCCCTTCCAGTATCTGCGCTCCCTGGTCAGTCGCACGCTCGCCTGCAAACGCTGGGTGCAGAAAGCCGAGTCGGGCACCCTGCTCAACGAGCCGCTCGATCTATCTGAGCTGTTCCATCCAGACACCTTCCTGAACGCACTGCGCCAGCAGACTGCGCGCTTGCACAAAACAGCCATGGACGGATTAGTGTTTGTCTCGTCCTGGGCGAAGATCGGAGTCAACTCGAAGATGCCGGTAAAATTGACTGGCCTGCAGCTGGAGGGCTGTGCATTCGATGGAGCACGACTGACAGAGAGTCGTGCTGATTCACCTAGTGTCACTAGTGTACCCGTCTGTACAGTGGCTTGGGTGCCTCGTGACGATGCCGAAGCCAAAGTCCCGACCGAGGTCATCTCAATGCCGCTGTACATGACTCAGGAGCGCGAAAAGGTCGTCGTGTGCCTGGATGTCCCCTGCGCTGGGGAGACCGGGCGCTGGATTCAGTCGGGTGCCGCCATGTTCCTCAAGGATTAGCTGTCCGACCCGTCACACAGAGCTGGTGTGGGGTGCCGACGTAGGACTTGGCGCCCGCCAGTACGATTGCCCGTAGATTTCCTGTGAGGAAGTCAGATGCACTTGCGAGGAAAGGCCCATTTACTGGGTATGGGGATCGGAGCTGCACCGTCGCCGTCGCAAAAAAGAATACGTCCGGACTGCCTGAGCTATGTTTCTTTTCGGTGTGCGACTTACTGTGATCAGCTTACGGCAAGGTCGCGCGATTTATGTGGTTTTCTTAATACCACAACTATATTCTTAGTAGTTCATGCTTGCCTCGCGTTGTGATTGTGAAACTGTCAAGTTTAGTGCATGAACGTGCAGAAAATGATGATTTCGTTATCAGCCATATTCATGGTGTGTTATCGAGAAAGTTTATAGCGTGTTATTCAGCATTGAGGAGAAAATGATGATCGTGATCAACCGAATGATCGTGTATACGAACTATGTATGTAGAAGCGAATATACTGAATAGTGAACGTATTAGCGTCGTCTGGGGTTTGGCGTTAAATTTGGTTTACGGAATGCATACCGATGATACGAAGACCTGTGGGCGCCTGCTAATAGTGACTACTGTTCACACTCCTTTTTGGTACTTACGCTGACTGATGTGTGCGCTCCCTGGTCGTACGGTGCGAAACTGTTCCAACAGGAAAGGGCATTTTCGAGTGGTCGAACGGCGCGATCTACAGCGGCGACTGGGCGTGGAACCGGCGCCACGGGTACGGCGTCTACACGGAACTGTGCCCCCGAACCTGCCAGCTGATCCAGTACAACGGACAGTGGTGCTGCGACAAGAGACAGGTCAGCGGCGGCGTGAACCATATTCACACAGACACACGATCCCCCGACACAACAGGCCACCGCTAAAAAGAAAAAAAAAATGTGAGGCTCCGCCAATCTCAACAGATGGCATGACCGACGATTTTTAAATACGGAGTGATCCAGAGGAAGACAGCAAAAAATGAGCTTGTAGCTGCAAGGATGATGGTACTTGTAAGCTACATTCAAAGTTTCATGGTAGTCTGACAAACAATTCCTAAGATACAGATGCAAAACTTTACTGCTACCGACTACTGCCCTTACTTTAGCGGTGAACTGGACAAACGAGGCGTTTTCACCTAGTGACGTGCCATTCAGATACGAGACGTCTCCAAAACATTGCTGATGAAACAATTAATTGATTTTATGCTTGTAGATGGTCTAAAAAATAAGTTACTCACTTTAGAATGCCTGCATATTGTAACAAAGAATCAGGTCCGTGGACCGTTGAAAATCATGAATGTAAGATCCCATAACAATCAGATCCTTTACTGCCTACCAACCATGAACGGCACTTGAAAAATATTAAATTCCTTTCCGAAGCATCCTTGCCCATTTCACCTATCCATTTCCTTCCTTCCTGGCTGGTGTGACCCCACAGGGACATGGCGTGCAATTCTACGCAGACGGCGAGAGCTACGAGGGTGACTGGCACAACAACAAGCGGCGCGGCTGGGGCAGGATGTTCTACAAGGACGGCAGCCTCTACGAGGGAGAGTGGCACGACGACATTCGGGAGGGCAGAGGACTACTGAGAAAGGGTACGTCCAGTGATTCAGAGTAAATCAGCGTTGGTTCGCGTGATTCCGACCCTGGCTATGGGAAGGCGGTGCATGTTAGAAAAAAAATATGACATGGACACTTAGAACAGACCTATAAACTTGAACATTTGTCATACCTTAACCCTCGCCCATGTAGGGGGGGGGGGTTGGTGCAACCCCCCCCCCCCCTGAGGTTTTTCTTAGCTACACGCCGAACCGTTTCAGATAGCCTGCTCAAATTTTCAGTACCCTTTGGGGCATCCTTTGCGCAACTTTTGGTAAAAAATTTTGTCAAGGTCATGTCAGGTCACGGAGTTATGACGTCATAAAGGGAACAACCCCTCCGGCCAGATTTACGCTAAATTGGAGATTGCTTCACATTGGTGTAAATGCCGACTGACCTGACACACTGATGGATTGTTTTAGAATCACAACTGGCTGATTTGACATTGGCACAATGTCCGTTGACATTTTGAAGGTTACTAAAGGTCAAGGTCAGGTCAGTGACCTCGGTTGACCTATAATGACTTCTTGCACTTGTATGCCTTTTCGGGGTATTTTGATGCCCTGAATTCGAATTTGCTATCATTTCAGGCATCGTCGGTTGTTTCTTGGAGTTCATTTTGGGTCAGGGTCAGGTCAGTGACGTCACACGCCTGACGTGACCCAATGCACAAATGACCTTGCAGACTTCCGATGCTCCCAACGCATCATTTTTAGAGTTATGACATCTAAATACACACCAATCGATAGAGAATTGATCAAGGATCACGATAGTGAAGGTTTCAAGTCGATATCTCTTACCGTTTTGCCGCAATCGGCGCGGAAATCTGAAAAAGTTAGATTTTTCCGAAAATTTGACCTTTGACCGGTCATAAGTAGGTCAAATGTTGACCTAGGACCAAAAAATATACCACTAATCGCGAGATCTCGTTGAGAGCAATCCGTTGGTCTTTTCCGCTAAGCTCTACGACGCTCCGTTTTCAAACGCCAGGGGGGTCGCACCAACCCCCCCCCCCCCCTGCATGGGCGAAGGTGGCAAAACACCGTTTACGGGCGAGGGTTAAGTCTCAAGCGCCATGTTCATCAAGCGCAAGAAAATGCATTTCCATGCATTACACTATCTACCGTTATCACAGACCCCTGTGCAGAATCTATGATTGCTTAAACGTTTAAAAATCAATCCATGAGGTCAGATAATGCTCTCTGGTGCTGTGCTGGCATATGTATATTAAATCTGCCAAAGAAAGTGGTCCAGACGCCTGACGGTGTATGCCGGCCGCAGCTGACGGTAACCTGTACGAGGGCACGTGGCACCGGGACACCAAGCACGGCCCCGGCCTCTACCAGCACAAACGGACCGGGCAGATGCAGGAGGGAATCTGGGTGGACGGCATGGTCAAGTGCAGCGCAGTGGAGGACAAGAACCGGCTGTTTGCCTCCGAGCCCACGCCGTACCCCATACCGCTGGTCAGTGGAACTGCGCTAGATGACCTCGCTGAGGCGATCACATCAGATTAGTGTACGTTTTGGTCAGTCAACTTAACTCCATCAGGAATCAGAGGTGATCTCACCTGTCTCCAGGATATTTGCCCAAATGACATCGATTCGTCTAAAGTAAGCTAAACGAAAACTACTTTTACGTTGTTGAAAACCACAGATTATCCTAGTCTCGTTGACGACTAACGCAGTCATCGATATACAACCATTTGCAATAACAATTTTGACTCTCCGGGTTTCTGTACATGACAATTTTCTGAGCAACTGACACTTGACAGTCACATTGCCTTTGCGATTCTAGGAACTCTGCCGTCCAAAGGCAAAAACGCATATGTCGGGTCATGACCTGACCCGACATATGCGTTTTTGCCTTTGGACGGCAGAACTGTAGCCGGCCCGTTTCAATCGATCACGTTGGAGCATTCCGCCGCCACAGCACATCGAGCGGTTGGTCCTGGCGACGGCTGGCGTTGCCCGTAAGCCTGCCGTGTTGACCGGCAGCTGCCGCGCTGTCTGATCGATACGGTGGCGGCCCGCCGGCACCCACCTGACCGTGTCTGTGTGTCTGTGTGTCCAGCTGGAGCTGCTGCAGCCGGTGGCCGTGCTGCGCGAGGCGGCCGCCGAGTTCGTGCCGCTCATCCCCGAGCAGTACCGCCAGGCGGCCGAGGCGGCCTCCTCCGCCTCCTCCACGTACTCGTCCACCTCCAACGTGGCCTCCGAGCCCGGCACGGACTCCTCCAGTGACGCGGCCTCCTCCGACACATCGCTCCTCCAGCGCTGTCAGCACAGACACTCGTTAGAACGCTGCGCCCGCGATCTCCGAGACAATAGCGAATAGCTGGGCCTGGATGAGTATTAAAATTCATTGTTACACATATAAACATAATCATGCGATAAATCTGATGTAGCAACTCACCAAGTGTTCTAAATCGTCATCTTGTAGCAACTGATGAAATGATTCTGAGTTGAATGATACATATTTAGTTGACAACATAGACGATATATTGCCGAATAAAGGAGCAGTGGACACAGCTTGTAATTGCAGAGGCCAAGCATGAACACCACAAAGGTCTAACAGGCTTGAACACAGTCGCATTAGCAAAATAGGTACCTCGTAAAGCTTTCGTTCCAAGAAAAAAAAAATGATACGATGTAACACAATGTGATACATTGTGACTAATGACTATATTTGATAAATACCTATAGTGTATATGGAAGACACGCATACAAACAAAACGGGTGCTACACGAAATAGCATCAGATCCCCATCAGTCCTTTTTTAACACTCCATGATTTGCCTCGAGCACTGGCACTAGGCCTATCACAAACCCGTCTGTAGCCCATTGGTGGCACCATCTCAGCCCGTTCCGCCCTGCTGTCCGATCAGAGCTGATCCGTCCACGGCCCACATGGGATTCTCCGGGGGTATCACGCCACGGGGAGGCGACGAGTGCTGCCTGCGCCAGGCGCTGGAACGCGGCAAGGATGCACGGTAGGAGGCGGCGCACCGTGTCAGACGCCCATACGGTAGCCACTCGGCGCGTCGCTCACACCATGTGGTCGCTGGGCGCGTACGTGCTCTCCGTATTGGCCGCCGCCGTCACCGGCAGGTCCAGCTGGCCCTTGAGCTTCTCCAGCTCTCGGATACCGGACTCTGTGATCTCGTACTTGTGGGACACCAGTTTGCGATAGAAATGCAACGCAAACAGTGTGAATATGCAGACTATGGGTACCAGTAGAGCGGTGGATGCCCAGGCCGCCTCCTGCGAGACGTCGAAGAACTTGACCCAGCAGAGGAGCGCGATCTCCACCATGAACAGCATCAGGCCCACCACGGTGGAGAACACCCAGGCCATCTCGATGTAGATGTGCATCTTGGAGTGGGGCGACTCGGAGACGGCCGAGACGGCGTGCATGCTGCTGACGGCCTCGACGTGCGGCAGGATGCAGGTGGAGATCATGAGCGCCAGCATGTGGATAGCCACCAGCAGGGTGGTGCACATGGCGAACGCCACCAGCAGGCCGGTCGGGATGGTGCGACTCAGCTGTACCTCCACCATCGCCACCTGGATCGGATATCATAGACTGCATCACACACTGACAACAACCTGCACCCTAAATGATCCGACTGTACCAGGCGGCATTTCTTGAGAAATAAAATCACCGGTTCATGCCTAAAGAAGCTATAACAGGCAAACGATTCATAATTACAGAATGAGGACGTTGAAATTGTTCTCTTAAAAATCAATGGAACAGAATAATATTTTTTCCGGCGAAATTATCTTCTTAGATTCCCTACCACCAAGGAAAGCGTAAGCGACCTGCTCTACGGTAAAGACGCAAACCGACTTAAAACAAATGAGCTCATCCATCAACAAGAATACCTACTTTCAGTCGAAGGCCCCAAGTGGCAAAGCGTCAACTACTATTGGCCGACTAGTTGTGATACCACCGAATTACGTCCCGTGCCGGTCTCGGGCTTTAACGCACCATGGCGAAGCCAGAGAGCAGGGCCGAAGTGCGACTGGAAGCCTTGAGCTTGGCGCGACTAAGGTGCAGGTTACGCCACGCCAGGAAGTAGGTGTGACTGGAACTGTCGCCGGCCATCCTCAGTGAGTGACTCTGAAGGATACGCATCCACGGGTGTTGTCAAGGCGAAAAGTTACACTTGTTATCATGTGGAAATAATGCTGTAGAGATGCTACTAAAAGAAATACACTTCGATTCGATAATATTCATTCGGATGAGGAAAATCATTGCCTGGTTCTCCAAGCATCAATTAGAATCCCATGAAAGTAGGCATTTTTATACGAATGCGTGGCATATGATTCATGGTTACTATCGTTAGTTGAATCCACATGCGGTAAAAATGTGAAGCCATCCTTACACTTTGTGAAATGTTAAATGGATGAGACGTTAACAGTAGGAAGCCAGGAAAAAGGTTTTAGTTTAGCACACGTCAGTACACTGGCGATATTAATATATAAATCGCATGCATGCATACCGTCCCAGCCTCACTGCAAACAAATAATACGCCATGCAGGCATGCAGTTATTGCAGCAGCAAAGAGTTTGTGCTGCGAAGCGGAAAATAAGCCTGGAGCAAAAGCATGATAAATGTGTTTGCAACACAGTTGTGTATTTTGCCCATAACACACCGTGAACTTTGAAAGGTCACGGGATTGCGAGCTACAAAGCAACCAAAACATCCGTTGCCATTCGGGCGCTCACACGTTGCAACTGAAGAGGACGGCCAATGAACTAACGTCGCCCACGTCGTCTGCGAAACAAATGTTACACACAAAATGCGCGTTAAAAACTCCAAACGGCGCAAAGACGCGAAGCCAACAGAGTGAGGGGAAGTGGACTACTGCGCATTGGTGAGCCCATCTGCCAGCCAGCCTGCCCTGCGCTGCCAATCAGTCAGAAGCGCCTGCTGGGGAGCCAGTCTGTGGGTTGGGTGGAGGCGCGCCGGTGCTCCCAATACGTACTACAGGTACAGCGTGGTAAACGCTGGCCGCCGCGGCGAGACTCGGTCTTGTTAGTTCGGGTCGCGCCGGGCCGGGTCCGCCGTAAGGGTTCAGGCCCGACACCAGACTGAGGTTCTCCGAGGTCGCGTCGCTATACACCATTGTGACCGGAGTCGGCGGAACCGGCCACTGCCGAGTGCCGACACAGCGCCCGGCTGCCCTTTGGGGTTGGACAGTGAACCCAGCTATGGAACACAGACAATCACTGGTCCAGAAACCTGTAAATGCAGTGCATACATCTCTATCCACACGCTTTTTGAATCCTGCCAAGTAAGCTGAAATAGCAATAAAACATGTTTCAGGTAGCTGGTAATATACATATATACATGATAGCTACTCTGGCACTCTGACAACATAATAATACAGTCAAGCATTATTTGTGCTTCGTTTAAATATAAATCGACAGACAACACATGTTATTATAAGGATGTCCTTGACCATTACTACGAAAAAAGCTATCAGTGTCACTAGCCAATTGGGGCATTGGGTAATGCTTGCTTTGTCAGTTGTTCTTGCCATATCATTCATTTTCTGTGTGATAAGAAGATGGGGATGATAGATGACACTTCATGAACACTTACGGGAGTCAAAAGATCACAAAAATAAAACACACATTGATTTGGTCAACCTAATGCAGTGTAAACCCAGATAAGAGGCCAGGCCATACACTAAAGTCATTTAAGATAGAACAACAAAGTCAGTAGGTGGTAGCCTTGAAACATCAATGAGCCTTGGTGACCTTTCCTCTGCTCCTGAATGTGTGCTTTCTGCCTGTGATAAACAAAATTCATCCAAATATAGATCAATGAGAGTTGAAGAAAAACTTAATTTTCACCCCCTGAGTATTTTGGAACTCCCAGCAAAGCTGCATGATAAATGATGCCACCACCAGTAGATTAATATTTGCTATATGATTTGGATTCCAGATTATTTGCTAGACAGCTGCTTGCATGTCTTTTGGGTAACTGGTAAGTGGTAGGTACTAATATCCAGGTCATATGGTAAGGACCTCTAGCAACAACTAAAGAGAAAACATGTCATGCATATATAGATCAATTGAAAGTCAGAAGGGGGCATGGACAGAGAGCCACATTGTTGTAAGTAACATGCATGGAGTAACATCACTGCACAATGCACATGTCACATAAAACATAATGGTGCAAAGGAAAGTAAAAGGCACACCTCCACCAGCTGAATGTACCTTTGCAGCTTGTCATACAATGAAACAGCCAACAAGCGAGTACAATGTAAGCCTTTAACAACCCAGTGCTGCTAATAATGCTATAACTGTAGTAGTTACATTAGGCTGTTTTTAGTGCTATGCCATAGAACACATAAAATAATTACATGTACCTAAGTTATGTATCTGGATACCAAGGCAAGATGAAGGTATCTGCTACAACTGGCAACATCATTTCACAGGCTAACATGAAACTCCATGATCCAGGATCAGGTACATGCTTCTGATACTTCATACTCATTATACACTAGTAAGATGAGTACATGCCTGAGCCCTGGCCTATGTACCAACAAAGGATAGGCAGCCAACAGGGGTAATGATGGTCAATGAGAATGACCTAAGCAGAGTTGAACTTCATGGTAGTGATGCTCAGAAACCAGTATTGAAGGTTATTCAATTAAATGTTGCATGGCCAGTATGCATGGCATCACATCAACATGAGGGATGCAATGGATTACACAAGTTTACTGAACAAAACAAATTTCCAACCAAAATGAGGCTTCACAGCCCACCCAATGACAGTAGGCACCTGTCTTCCACATGCTACTTACCATCTATAAGAGGTTCCTGTCATACCCATACAGTTTCAAACTACAGAGCAAGAGACAAGGCACAGAAGCTATGATTGTTTGGTTGGTTACTTTATCAGCATTTGCATCATGCATTGCTTGTGTGACAGCTCACAGCATGCTTTTGATTTTTGGTCTATCATTGCTTAAATGTGCTCCAGAGCACAAAATAGCAATTAGTACCATAATTGATGAGCTGAGCTGCACCAACCACTAACCAGGCTGAAAAATCTGCACTAGCCCATGACTGCAACCACTAATCAGACTGAAAATTGTCACTAGTCAGAGCTAAACAGGACCCACATATGACCAATAAAATTCATAAATGTGCACTTTAGAAACAAAATTGAATAAAGACCAATTATTCACTATATAATATACATCAATGCAGTTATACCTAAAGCAGTAACATTATAACCTATTTCTTATTTTTATTTGCAATGCTGCACCAGCACAGTAGTTGTGCAAGGTACCATGTTAGGGCCCACACTATTCCACAAACTTACGCCCAGTAGCAGGCAAGGCAATGAGGTAGGGGCATCACATGTACTGTGACCCGTGTTAATCAAGGCATTTATTAAATCGTAAATACGGGAAGAAGAGCAATGCCCCAGTGTCAGCTTACCAACATGCTGTCCAATTTCCCATCAATTAAAGTTCTTAGTTCCATACCTACTGGTGTTCCTTTGCCTCTCACTGGTAGGTAGGTTAAATTGTAGAACATGTGAATTCAACCAATCGGTAGCCAAAAACACCAGCAAGATGGCAATCTGCTTAAATAGGTATATGGTGACCAAGCAGTGGCAAGATACATAGAGCTTGTGTAGCATAGCAAATTAGCAAAAGGCATTATGCTGATCCCATCATCCTTGTCTGTGTCCTAATCCAGCATGCCATCCTAAGCACTGTGCTACTACCAACCTGGAACTTGATAATTGTGATCGATGAGGACGGAGCAGGCAAAACTTATTTACAAGAACTAGAGCGCTCCAATCTCTCCAATTATTGCTGCTTTGCTGCTATTGCCTGCTTTGAGATAACATACAAATCACAATAAAAATTTTTAGGTCAAGGTCATAAGCTTCCGAGGCGATTGAGACAAAAACGCCGCAATCGATTGATATGGTAGCAATGACGGTAGTATTCATGTGAATGTAAAATGTAAAATTGTACTCAAATTTTACGCTAAAAATTGACTCCAAACCATACATTTTTTTTGCAAATTTATGGGAAATTGGGCGAAAAGTTGTTTAGCTTCCTAAACAATGTTTTCAACCCCATAACATATTTTGCATTTGAGGACGATTTTACATCATAGTCTCTTATTGCTACCAACTTTGGACCTCTTTTTCAATATCCTTAATTCCTTGCATCTATGTCCCTTACCAATACTTGACCAATACAAGTCCCACACACAATTGCAATTGAAGTTATTCTCTATTGTTGGGGCCTTGATTGTTGGTACCTAGTTTAATTTTGCTTGTCCTGTGTGGTACTTTTCTTTCAATGTTTAGTGTTTTACCTTCAACATAGTATTTCTTTTTAACCTGTACAAGCCTTTCGATACTTTCATTGTGTAGGTAAAGCATATAGCATCAGAGTCGGATTTCATCCCAAACATCAACATTTGTCAGGCTCATTTTGATTTTGATGTTTCATCAAATTGAGTCTTTCTGAAGGTGTTTTAAAAAAGTACCTGCTTTTCGGTCCTGCTCCACAATTTCAATTAATTCTAGTGTGCATGATAATAAGTTTGTACTTTGTAGTAAGTTTCAATTTGTCAGACAGGACAGGTGTCTCAAGTCAAAAGGCTCAACTGACTGAGCTAAATTAACATATGCTGTAGGCAGGGATGCAATTTTTCTTCCAACCATGTGTTATGCTAGGGGCCAGTGCTATAGAACTGTCTGATGTGCTCCCAATATTATTACTGATAGAATGCATGCAGTCCTATGGACTTATTACTCGGGTCTTATTACTCTGGTCTTATTACTCGAAACGGTATCTAATGACCTTTACTTCAGTTAAATACTTAAGGTAAATACTTATCTCATCAATGTTGAAACTCTGTACAGTGTACAGTCACAGTGTACCTAAAGGCCCTAAAAGTCACAAAGGATATAAGTAGGCCATTGCTTTTTATATGCTACCTATGCTTTGATTCTGTTTACTACTTGAAGGCTGGCTGCAGTGTCTAGTAATTGCTATCAAATGAGGTCAACTAAATGATATAGGTAAAGATTTATTGGCTGGCATGCAAAGCAGGCAAGGCCCTGGGATACTAATGATATATATTTCTAGCCTCTCGTTTTTTCTAGCCATCAGTAAATTTTTTATAACCTTATATTTTTGTGTAAAGTGAATGAGTGTGCTATTGAAAGATGTTGAAAGCAATTATTCCTATCAAAAGTGATGTTTTTATCATAGGAATTTCAATGATGCCCACATTTCTGTCTGGAATCTGGATGAAGATGCTCATTCCACTACTTGGCATTACACTTCTCCTTGCTGGCTGTAAGTATTATTCATCTATTGCATCAGGTTTAATGCTGAAAACATGTTAAGAAGGCTGGTAGATACTTTGCATGACAAACTATGCATTTTTTACTATCTTTCTTTTAATTATTTGTGTGATATAAGAAATAATTCCTCATTGAGTTTAGTGTAAGAAACAATTTCAATATTCTGCTTCAAGTTATGATTTTACCTAATTACCAAGTTACCTACCTGTATTTGTTTGTGCTCTACCCTGCTCAACTTGTGAATGTTATTTTCAAGATTCAGAATAAAGCTGATGGTAATGATGCAACAATATCCATTTACAATGCACCAGTCAGATGTCATATCTCAGTCAATGCTTTGGTACCCCTACCACTCATCTCCCAACGAGTGGTAGGGTACCACAAGATCAATGCCCTCATTCCCAGGCTATATTTCATCTCCTGATGGGGCCAAATGGACAATGAATAGTGTCTGGCTCTTAACTTGCTCTAATGGTCAATTAGCTGCATAAATATGTTAACATTTCACAGCATTCTTTTGGATACTACTTCATTGTCCCCCCATAACCTGGATCCTCAATCCCCCTAATCACCACAGCCCTATGAACACCCCCAGGATTTCATTGACTACCTAACCGACACCTTTGTGTGGCAACAGTGGCGCGGGCCGAGCCGGGCCCGCCGCCGCTAGTGACGGCGGCGCTCGGACAGAACGTCAGCCTGCCGTGCCCGGGCGGTACGGACGGTGACGCCGTCTGGCTGCGCGACGGCCGAGCGCTGGCCGACGCGGCGCCGAACACCGACGGCCAGCTGCTCGTCACCGACGCCTCCGTCGACGACGAGGGCCTGTACGGGTGTCTGCAGCATGGCGGCGAGGACACGGGCGACGTGAAATACGTCCGACTACTGGTCAAACGTGAGTGGGCCGGTGGGAAACTGACTGTGGGTAGGTGGGTCGGCGGGAGGCGTGAATGGGTCGGCGGGAGACGAGACGGGACCAGCGGGGAACGTGAGCTGGTCGGTGAGAGACAAGAGCTGCTCATGTGGGGGACGTGGGTGGGTCAGCGGGAGAGGCGTCGGGAAACGTGAGTTTTGGGTCTTTGGGAGACGTGAGTGATGGGCCGTTAGGAGAAGTGAGTGATGGGCTATTGGGAATCATGAGTTCATGGGCTTTGGGGGACGGTGTCTGCAGTGGGCATTGTGTGCCCTTATTTACATGGCTTTGTCCGTGCACGACACCACGACACTACACGGCACGGCTGTGTCCGTCACTGGTTTAATTTGGGTGGTAGTATCGCTGTGTTGCTGATCATGACCATGCGCAGGTGATAAAACCTCCTTGTGCCACTGTCCTGTCTGCTTCTGAAGGTGGACGGGGCCCTTGTAGCGGCTCGATGGACTTCTAACCGCCGTTTCGTCCTCAGGGCCGCCCGGGCCGCTGGTGAACGTCTCTGTGCGCGCGCATACGGTGCTGGCCGAGCTGTTCTGGCGCGCCAACGACACGGGCTCGGTGCCGCTGACTGGAGTGGAGCTGCGCTACCGGGCGCTGGGCGAGCAGCACTGGCGCCGCTCGCTGCCGCCGCACGTCGCGCCGTCAGAGGTGCGGCCGTGATACCTGTAAACGCCGGAACGCCCGGACTCTGCCGTTCTGCTGGCATCACTGCTTTCGTTCTCATTATCAGTGGAATACTGAGTTGGGAACGGGGATTGAACCATTTTTCTCTCCCCTCTTACATCACCCGAAACTAAGCTAGGGTATGTTGACGTGCGACGAAAAAAAGAAATGTTTCTTCACCGTATCATATGGTTTGCGCATTACCAAGAAAAAGAAGGCGCGGCGGATAAAGGGGATTACAGCGCGTACTTTGCCTTTTGACGTACCTTCAACGTGATCGTCATCGTGTAGGTTTTTACAGCTGTTCAAACGGTGTTTTATCTGTTATAGTTTTTATTAAATTTTTCAATATAACCTATATCATTGGATCACTTTGACACCTCAACACCATATAGAATGTTGTGTAAAACTGATCGCTGTCGAATTGCCGCCTTTGGTCCGAGTAGCAGTTGCACTCTGTATCGCAAATATTTCCCTAACGGGTAATTTCTGCAAAAGTGGTTTCGGGCACACCTCTAGCAGTGTTGCGGGCACACCTCTAGCACTACCAGCTCTGGAAGTTGGGGATGTCGCCGGCAGTCGGCTGACTGTTCCCGTCCCCTCTTGCAGACCCACCGGGAGCTCTACCACCTGCGGCCCAACCGGACCTACGAGTTCCGCGTGTGGGCTACCAACGAGATGGGCGAGGGGCCGCCGGTGACCGTGCAGGCCACCACGCGGCCGGAGCCCAGTCAGCTCGGTGAGTACCAAGTACCCGCACCACCGACACGTCACCCGTCCGCCAGGGTGCACACAGTGTGGCACTGCTAGATAGAAAAGCGAACGTGAAAATGACCACTACTCTGTGCTTTAAAAGTTGGGGAGAGTCTGGCAAAGCGGCCACCCATCGTTTTAGCCCTCCACAGCTGGCGTCAGTTCCAATATTTTATGGTTTCCAATTATACTTGTCTTCGCGGTCGTTCGAATGAGCCAGACAGGGGTTTCAGGCCCATCGCCGTTGTTCTGTGAATTGTGAAACACGGAAAAACATTTCTTGCCAGGCTTCCAACTATGTTTACAATTTTTGAATGTTATATTATTCCATAACCGCTTGGAATTTTTATTAGCGTTCTTGTCCATGCATTGCTTGGTTAGCTTGCATGCCGTCTACCAATTTTAATGCTGTTTACCCCACTAATAGCTGAGCTGGAATATTATTGTCTCGGACGGTATGCGCGGGGAAAGTGGCCGGGGCAAAGTGGCCAGCCCCTAAGTGGCCATAAGTTGTTTCCATCTGGATAAAAACATTATTTATATTCAAATGTATCGTCATGCATCTTCACCACTTTCCGGTTATATGAGTTACTAAATAATGCAATTACATGTTTTTCCATGAAAATTGTTTCTTTGTTTACCTACAGGTGGGAAGATGACAAAGTTAACATCCATCCTCGCTTAAACCCTGTCAATACCCTAGTCGTATATGAGGCAACTATTCTGTTTCTCATATCGGGACTTGAGAAGTCGCCGGTGGCCGCTTTGCCCCAGGGTATGGGGCAAAGTGGCCAATATGCATAGGTTTAAAGTTTTGTCAATACCTCCCATATGTGAACGCCTTTGGAAATGAAACGCAGTCCGGCAGGTAATTTAATAGGGATCACATTGGTATGGAGAGATTCTTTCCAAGTTTAATAATCAAGCGTCGGCATCGTAAGAAGCGTTAAGGTGGCAGCTGGGGCATTCCACGTCAAATCGAACAAAAATCGGCTGTTTTGCACCTTACCATCAGCGATTTCATTATAAATTTGTGAGCGGGTTCCTGTGTGGCCCCGGACATTACATTGATGTTTTTTGCACATTCTGGCCACAGGTCTTCTAAATATAGGGCATCAAATTTTTACAAAATGTTGAATCTTTATATTTTTGAACGACCATAACTTTGGTTGTACTTGTTTGATTTGAATGAAATAAACCTTACTGTTTAGGTAATTTCTTAAGCATTTGTTTAGAATTGCACCTACTTAAATATATGACCTTGAAATTTGCTTAACTCTGTTCTTAAGCACAAATATTGAAATAGCAAAAAACACGTCACCTTCGATTTGGCTCATTTTCATATATTTTATTGCCTACCATATTCTTAACAAGCTGTGAAAAAATTAGAGTGGGCCATTCATAAGTTTTGAAGAAAATTGCACATATGCAAACGTATGTTAGCACGCGCAGTGGAGGGGGAAGAGCGAATTTCGCCCACCCCTCCTGTTTTTCGCCAATATCTCATAAGATTAATGCGAAATTAATTATGGCTACCTGTCAAGAATTGAACTGGACATCTCATCGTGCAAGCAATAAGAAAATCGGTTCACAACTGTTCTAGTAATAGCGGTGTAAAGTGAACATCCTGTCGCCGCAGCGACGCGGCGACTCGGCAACCGCCGCCGACCGCTACGCGCCGCCTGAATTGTAGACTGTGCCGGGACGGAACGGAACGGTTCCGTCTTTACATCGCGCTCCCTACCGCTGATTACGTTCGATTCGCGTCAAATTTTGTGAGAAGACTAAGAAATGTATAGGCAATCTTATGGTGAAAGAATTTTGAAAATCGGTTGGTAAACAATTGAAATATGAACGTGTAAACACAAAATTGTGATTGCTGCGTTTCCCGCATCGGCCGAGCCCGCCTCAGCCGGCGACATTTTACTCTTAGCAGGCCTCTTACTGCCATATTTATTATTGGATTAACTAGAAATTCCCCATAAATACTAAAAAAAAATGTATGTTCTTTCGTATAGTGAAGATCAAAAGACGTGAAGATATCGTTGGGTGATAATGTTTTCGTTGAATTTACTTCATGATGCATTTCCACACGGCTCAAAATTCACCGCAAAATACCGTTTGCCTGAGACACTTTTACTATGGTTTGACTACGATGAATGCTTGCCTTGAATGCTTGACTACGATGACTATGCATTTCCATTCTCGCAGAGTTTGGGATATCACTTATCAGCAATCATTCATTTCAGAAAGTGTACACAAGCAAGCATGTCTTGACTCTGTCTTTCAAGGTCACGCGCGGTTGCGTGATGTTGATGCATGAAAACGGCGTTTGCCGCGAAAGTTATGAATGGCCCACTCCAATTTTTTCACAGATGGTTAGGAACATTGTGACGGACATAATATGTAAAAATTACTCAAATCGAAGGTGACGTGTTTTTTGCTATTTAAATTTTTCTGTTTTAATTCAAGGTCAATTGCATTTCAAGGTCACTTCAATTTAATTTTATAATTAAAAATCAAAGCCTTATCAATTGCCTATAAGACCCTGTTAATATCATTTTGATACCAGAAAAGGAACCAGAGTTATAGCCATTTAAAAAATTGATGTGTGACATTTTTCGCTATATTCGATGACCTATATCTCAGCGATACGTTATCAAATTTCGAAAATATTATACTTAACTCAGTTTTGAACCATGCCCAGTCTGCCTACAAATTTTCAGAAAAATCGAAGGGGATGACGGATTTCGGTGTTTGATTTGACGTGGAATGCCCCAGCTTTGCCCCACTCTCCCCTACGCATAAACATGACCATTCGAATCGCTGCCTCTGTCTTGATTGGTGATCACTGAGCATGTCACCCGGGTCGGCTCTACGTGAGCTGCTCGACGATCCAGTCCCGGTAGGCGGCCACCTTGGTGTAGACACCGGGGAACTGGGGGTTGCCGCAGCCCAGGCCGCCAGACACCACGCCCACCAGCTGGTACGAGCCGTCGGAGAGCGCCATCAGCGGGCCGCCCGAGTCGCCGCGGCACGCGTCGCGCGGCTCGGCGTCCCGGCTCTCGGCGCACACCACCGTGCCCTGGAAGCCGGCCGGAAAGCGCCTGTCGAACTGCGGCACGTCCCGATAGACAGCCTCGCAGGCGGCCGGGTCGGTGACGCGCAGCGGCGCCTCCTGCAGTATGTCGGGCGTGCGGCCGCCGAACTCGAGCAGGCCCCAGCCGGCCACGGCCACGTCCCGTCCCAGGTGGTCGGCGCCGGCCGGTGGCAGGCAGATGGGCTGTACGGCGAACGTGGCCTCGACGGGCGCCGCCAGCCGCACCACGGCCAGGTCGTTTTGCGGGCCGAGCAGGTAGCGCGGGTGGCGTACGATGCCGGAGACGTTCCGCTGCTGGTGCTGCACCTCGTCCGGCAGCGTCAGGTCGTGGTCGGCGATGCGCGCGCCCACGGTGCTGGCCTCCTCGGGTCGCAGGCAGTGGGCGGCCGTGAGCACGTGGCGGTCGGTGATGAGGGTGCCGCCGCAGAACCAGTCGCCCAGACCGGCGTCTGTCCAGCGACCGAACAGCACCATCCACGGCCACCGGTGGCCCGCCTCGCGGGGCCCGCCCAGCAGCGATGGAGGCTCGGTCACCAACTCCACGTCACGACCGCCCACCACGTCCGGCTCGATTTGGTCGCCAATTTCCGGGTGGGAAAGATCATGCTGCGGGGGTAATACGGCGCGTCGTTGGCGCATTATAAATCCCCGGTCCGTTTTGGGAAGTGTCGGATGTTCGTCGTCCCTCACCGTTCTCGGCTCTCCGCAGCGTTCTGGAAGAGGAGGCGCTGTTGGGGTGACTGCAGAAGGGCCGTCAGTGACGGTTAGAGGAGCATCACTGACCGCTAGCGGACCTTCCGTGGTCTGAACGCTGGCTCCTGGGGCGGCAGCCCAGTTGAAATCGCAGCACACCTCGACTCCGTGCTCTGAGAAGCCACAGACGACCGGTCGCCGCCGTAGCACATGCTCACGGGTCCGGAAGGCGGCACACTCTCTGATGGGCACACACCGCTGCCGGGCGTCTCCACACTGACCGGGACTCGGTACAAACTCAAAGGCGGCTGAGAGGGCGACCAGAATGGTCAGCAGAACGACCCTCGGACAGCTGAGCGGCATGGTGAGCGGCCGGCCGCCGGCGCACTGCTCCGTCTACTGAGATAATGTGGCCTCCGGCGCTGCCAATGACGTTTCACGGTAGCTTCTGTGCTGTATGAGTTGGTAAATCTGCCTACATTGCGTAAGTCGGGCAACCATGCCACACTGGTGGCGTCTGGAATACGGTGTTACTTACGCCACTCAGTAAACATCGATGGAAATGTCTTCGTTCATAGAATACTATCAACTATTTGCTAACATTGTACCGTGACAAAAAGTAGGTTTAGGTAGTTTGTTAAAGTGCATGGTAGTTTTCATATTGGCATGTTTTCATGTTGACTGACACTTGAATATGAGGTTTGTTGTTTTGGAACATGGTTAATTCAAACGTAGATGGTGTTGTGCTATTAACATTGTCTGATAATGAGGGAACCTACTCGTACCTCTCATTACCGTGTATAATCTCGTTTTGCCGCTTTAAGCGGTTTGCAATATCTCAATTATCCTAAAGAGGGTAGAAACACTAGGATCAAAAATACAACCGAGGTACAAAGCCTGCAATCGTATCAATTTGGCACGTAACATTCAGAGGAACATGGAGTTTTGGAGTACCTATGAACTGTCCTACCTAATGCTCACCATGTACTCATATGATGTTATACATGTATCTTGTATCTATTCATATATCTTGAACTATCGGTTAAATGTTTGAATGAGGCAGCTTTTATTGCACCATGACGCGCAGCCTGGCACCCTTCATCGGTGTCATGTCTCGTCTGTTGCGCGTCTAAAATATGGTTCACTGCACTTTTTGTCCTTGCGAAACGTGACACGTTTGTTAGGCTTCGTAAGAATTATCTGGAATAGATTGCAACAGGCATATCATCGACTGATGATTTTTGCTGCGATGAAACCATTTTCACTCTTTGATTTTTTTTCTGACGTCTTTCCACTACAAAAATGGTGCGCATGTCTTCATGATTTCAAAAAGAGTTTGCGCAAACCAGCATACATTTATTTCGGTAGCACACAGTAATAATCGTGCCGCTCCGTTTTCACGTTTGTACCATTTGGTGCGAATGCTTAAAAAACAACGTCTTGGAACAACTTTCGATCCGGTTCGCCTGACCTGATCAGCAAAGCCAATTTGGCAATGGGAAATATGATATGATTTGCCCCTTGCTTGTATGCTTATGATCAGCGCCGACAAATTCATCGCAAAATATTTAGCATTGCACAGTGCAAAATGCATCATTGATGAACGTTGCGCTACCTATATTTCTATTCTTCAGAAGAACAGAAGTTATGTGGTTCCTCCATTCAGATAGCATACCCCGACCCTATTTCCTGTGTCCCATGATAAGGCTGCGCACTCGGTATGCTGTGCCACCGCCACTGTCTTGATTGGTGATCACTGAGCATGTCACCCGGGTCGGCTCTACGTGAGCTGCTCGACGATCCAGTCCCGGTAGGCGGCCACCTTGGTGTAGACACCGGGGAACTCGGGGTTGCCGCAGCCCAGGCCGCCAGACACCACGCCCACCAGCTGGTACGAGCCGTCGGAGAGCGCCATCAGCGGGCCGCCCGAGTCGCCGCGGCACGCGTCGCGCGGCTCGGCGTCCCGGCTCTCGGCGCACACCACCGTGCCCTGGAAGCCGGCCGGGAAGCGCCTCTCGAACTGCGGCACGTCCCGATAGACAGCCTCGCAGGCGGCCGGGTCGGTGACGCGCAGCGGCGCCTCCTGCAGTATGTCGGGCGTGCGGCCGCCGAACTCGAGCAGGCCCCAGCCGGCCACGGCCACGTCCCGTCCCAGGTGGTCGGCGCCGGCCGGTGGCAGGCAGATGGGCTGTACGGCGAACGTGGCCTCGACGGGCGCCGCCAGTCGCACCACGGCCAGGTCGTTCTGCGGGCCGAGCAGGTAGCGCGGGTGGCGCACGATGCCGGAGACGTTCCGCTGCTGGTGCTGCACCTCGTCCGGCAGCGTCAGGTCGTGGTCGGCGATGCGCGCGCCCACGGTGCCGGCCTCCTCGGGTCGCAGGCAGTGGGCGGCCGTGAGCACGTGCCGGTCGGTGATGAGTGTTCCGCCGCAGAACCAGTCGCCCAGCCCGGCGTCCGTCCAGCGGCCGAACAGCACCATCCACGGCCACCGGTGGCCCGTCTCGCGGGGACCGCCCAGCAGAGACGGAGGTTTAACCACCACCTGAACGTCGTTGCCGCCAACTATCGGATGGACGATGTCAACTAACGCTGGGCTGATTTCCACCGTTACTGGACGAAGGGCACCCATTCTCTGCTGCAGCTCAGTATCTAACTGCGGCCGATTCTGATTAAGAGCTGCGGAGCGGGGCTCGCCGCATTTCGTGGGCAGTGGAGTCCGGCTGACGATTGGCTGAGACCCGTCGATGACGAGTTCGGGCTCAGTACTGTCCGTGACCGGTAAAGAGCTATTGTTGGTTATGTCGGTGCTGTTGTTGATCACGGGATCGCTGCTGTCGGTGATCAGTGCAGCACTGTCGTTGAACAGTTTCAGGTCGTCACTGACTGACGGAGGACTCTCAGTGACTGGTTCTTTAGTGACTGGTTCAGGACCGTTGGTTACCTTCGTACCACCGATAGCTGTATCAGATCCCTCCGTCTCTGGCTCAGCTTCATCGCAGCACACCTCGACTCCGCGCTCCGAGAAGCCGCAGACGATCGGCCGCCGCCGCAGCACCTGGCCACGGGTCCGGAAGGCGGCACACTCCCTGATGGGCACACATCGCTGACGGGCGTCTCGACACCGACCAGGGTTCGGCACAAACTCAAAGGCGGCTGTCACAGTGATCAGAGTGGCCAGTAGTACGAGCCTGCAGTTGAGCCACATGGCTGGACGGTCAGCCGTCGGTGCACCCCGCGACTGCCCCTCCCGACTCACTGCCGGCGCCTCTGTGTATACCAACTCTGTATATGCAGGGGAGCCTCACAACTCCGGCCCCGACACGCGTGTTTGGCTAATCTACGTCAGGGCAGCCCCGAATGATGACGTCACAGAGAGGTGGCCGTCCTGCAGACTGGACTATGTGCTTTCCGAACTCTGGAACTACTGGTCCTTTATCTATATACTTACGCTAATATTTCCCCGTGATCATATCCCCTCTTGGTTGTAGGTATGATTGTTCATTCTCTGGAAAAATTGGACCTGTTCGTTTCCGTGTCGCAATCGATTAATGTGTCCGACATTCAATTTGGTAGATATATTGAGTTTTGGACACTCCCAGCCAAACTTTCCACGCTTTGTTTAACTTGTTATCACACTATCACGGGTAGATCTGACTCCGCGTTACCTTTTGTTCTCCGGTGCCGTCCACGACTTAGTCCGACCTGTGCCCCCTTCCTTTGTTTCCTCTGACTTGACTGTTCCCCGTATCATCCACATATTTGACCTGAACTGACCCGATCTGACCTGACCTGCCGTTCCCGGCGCCGTCCGTAGACCTGGCGGGCAGCCTGATGGCCGAGGCGGTGGTGCTCGGCTCCGAGGGCTGGGTGACGGCCGTGCTCGTCGCCCTGGTGCTGGTGCTGCTGGTGATGGCCGCCGGCGCGTGTGTGGTACTCCGCGGCCGGCACCATGTCCCTCCCAACGGTCAGTCGGTGTCGGCGGGGCAGCGGGGTTGGGGAAGGATGACGTATGATGCTATGGGTTGGTGCTACGTGGCCAGATAGTGTCATCATGTACCGACAGTAGGCTTTGGTCCCTGGGTTCATTGCCCCTGTTGGTCCCTGATTATTGTTCAATGACTGAAAGGTTAACCATGGGGGGGGGGGGGCGGAGATTGACCATTGGCTGGCCAGGCTGAAGCAGGCCATATTATGGTTAGGTACTGATACACCTATTACGTCGTGGGCGTTTTTCCATTGTTATATCGAATAATTAAACTATAGTGTAGTAAAACTGTCCCGTTCTGTGTGTTTGCTATCGGTGGCTGTCAGTGTGTCGGTGTACCGCCGCAGTCTGTCTCTGACATCGGTCTGTCTTTGTCCACCATCAGGAGACAGCGCAGAGAGTCTGGAACTGGTCTCTCATCTCGAGCAGCCCGGCTACGAACTGGAGGTGATCGAACAGGACGAGAACTCAAACAGCCAGCGCGCGCAGCTGCTCAACAACAACGTCGAGATCCACCCGGTGCGGATTTGAGGAAGACAGACCGGACACGGATCCGACGTCTCCTGATCGGATCCGGTGTCCACGAGATCCAGCTGGTGGTACTCTGGCGACGTGGATCCAGGGCTTGAATGAATCTCAAGACAGGCGAGCGCCGTTTGGGTCGAGAGGCGTATGGACAATGGTGGATCGGAGACCCAGTGGCCGGGATGGTATCTGTGCACGAATCACTGTCGTTTGCGAGCATATCGCTGGGGAAGCGGGGATCTGATGGCGTCTTTCAGGCCGGGCGCTCGGCGACCCGCCCGCGCGGTGTACTCGTACCCCGGTACCGCGGGGTACGTGCAGTGCGATACCGGGAGCCGAGGCTCGCCGCCGGAATCAAACACATAGTGGTGCTCAAACTGGAGTCGGCGCGACAACCGCGGCTCATTGGCAGCAAAAGATGAGATAGCTGTAGATAAAATGTTGTGCGGCCGAGTGGCGGCTCTGAACAAATCCACGTCTCGAGCGCGATTGTACCCTGATGTTAATGGTGTTGTGGTTAATGTGGTTACTGCTTACTGGAGACCTGCTAGCACTTGTTTTATTTGCACTAGTACGCCTACGCAGTTTATTTTGTACACAGTTTACATGTACATTGAGCTGTCTGATGTAGGCGGGTGACGTCTTACCGCTCCCGACAGCAGCGGCGGACTCATTGGAGAACGTGACTCAGTCTGGATGTTTGCTAACGTATGTGTCATATAAGAGCGGCATTGCGCGGTCCGACCGCTCTGTGCGTTATCATGGCGGGCTGTATGTAGTCGCTTTTACTCTATGGTTTCGCTGTGATTTACATCGATAGTCGACTCATATAGCGGAACATTGATGAAACGCTGAGGCTTTCTGAAGGCTCGTCCCGCTTATGTCTATGCGCAATATGTTTACTTTGTTCTATGTATTAACAATATTTTGATGTGATGTTATGCATCGACATTTAGTTTACTGGCATCGGGTAAGGTGGTTGTTTAGTTTAGGCATTAACGGAGCTACATGTGTTTCTGAACGGGCGATCTTGGTGGCTCGTAGATCTTGGCTGGCTGGACTTGCGAAGGATTGTGATTGCGTAGCACCCTGTGAGGCAGCTGCCGTCCCCCGCTAGTCTGACGTCGGCCCTCCCTGCCACGGTCCGGTGGGACCAGCGAGCGAGCTCTGTAGGCCCTTCGCTGCAGCCTGGGACCGACACTCCCAGCAGACTGCCTGAGCGATCGGACTCATTGCATTCTGTACGATATCATAGCATAATGTAATACACCCATGCGATAAGTGTTTCGTTTTCCTGGTGGATCGGAGGAAGGTGACGAGTGTCGCGGAAAATTGTCTCAGCGGCAGAAGAATGGCCGTTGTTTTATGGAAACTCTTAAACCGGGATTCTTCGAGCATCTCCACATCCGAAACATACGAAGATGCATCGAGCGATACGAAAGATAGATTGTTCGCATGAGTCTCCTTTATTATCAAATATAACAATGCAGGTAGATCGCACCGAAAAAAACAAGAACCCCAAGCATGCCATTCCGAATCGTCGGCGAAAGCATATGAAGCAATAACATTTCCCGCGCTCTCAAGCTTTCCCTGATACACTGTCACCCACAAGCGTACGGACAGACCAACTGTCGTGGTGTGGGACCACTCATAAGGGCCAGGCATGACGTACTATTGTGCAATCCGTGAGGAGACATGCATTCGATGGTCCAGCTATGCGGTGTTAACGGGATAATCTATGATGAATAACTAAGCTACTTCTAAAACCGTGAGTCCATGGGCGGGTCCGACGGGCGTGGTCCGGTCTGTGATGGCAGGTCTGGTCCGCACCGTGCCTTCCTAGCCGTTCAGTACGATCACGTGGTTCTCGCCGATGAAGGCGATGGGTGTGCGCCCGGGCAGCAGCTGGATATCTGCGCCTCCAGCCGACAGGGGCCCGCCGCCGGCCGCGTCACAGAGCAGGCGGCAGCGGCGCAGCAGGCGGCCCGGCGGCGAGACGGCGCCGGCCGGCAGCCCGCCGCGGCGCGCCAGCAGCAGCAGCAGACGGTGGAAGAGCCGCTCGGCCGGCAGCTGGTCGCCGCCGAGCGCGGCCAGCAGCCGGCGCGTCTGGCCGGCCGCCGCCGCCGCGTCGAACCGGTCGGCCGACAGCAGCTCGGTCAGCTCGGCGTACACCTCGGCCGGCACCCGGTCCGGGTCAAAGTCGTCCTCTCCCAGCTGAGAGAGCAGCCACTGGTACAGCGGGCGCGGCCGGTCCGACGGCTCGGAGCCGCCGGTCATCAGCGAGGTCAGCAGACGGTACAAGCCGCCGTGCTGACCGCCGTCGTCATCAGTATGGTCACCGTGGCTGCCGAACAGCGTTTCCATGACGTCTGACAGACCGGAGACGCCATGGCTCGAGTCCGAGAGCAGGCTGGTGAGCACGGACAGAGTACTGTCAATGTCCGTGTCGGTGCCGGCGTTGCGTCCGTCCGGCAGTGTCAGCAGCACCCGCAGAGAGTCCTCCGGGATCGGGATCATACGGTGGGTGTCGCTATCTCCCAGCACCCGCAGCAGCAGTCGGAAGGCCACCTGGCGCGCGCCGTGCCGGTCCGGGTCGGCCGAGCCGGTGACGGCGGTTACCAGCAGCTGCACCAGCTCGTCAGCGGCCTCCGGCAGGCCGCGCCGGTCGGGCTCGGTCAGCAGCAGGACCAGCTGACGCAGCACCGACTCCGGTACATCGTCCGTCCGACTGCCGGCCGCGGCCGCCTCCAGCAGCGAGGTCAGCACCCTCAGCACAGAGAGCGGCACCAGCTCGGGGCCGCCGGACGGCTCCGCCAGCAGCGTGAGCAGCAGCTGCGCTGCCTCGGCAGTCTCCTCCGTCGGCTGGGCGCTGCTGGGGCCGGCCAGCAGCAGCAGCAGCGCCTGGCGCAGCGCCGGCTCAGAGGCGAACAGGTCGGCCGTGCGGCCCGTCAGCGCGCCCAGCAGGTCCCGGTAGATAGCGGCCGGGTCGGTGTAGCCGGGCCGGCCCAGCGGGCCCCAGACGCGCCGCCGCAGGGTGCGGAACAGACCGGCCGCCGAGTCGGTGGGCCGCAGAGTGTGAGCCGGGTCCAGCAGGGAGAGCACCGAGTCGAGCGTCGACACGGAGACCGCCCTCGGCTCGTTCAGCCGGCCGGTGAGCAGCAGCAGCAGGCGCCCCGCCTCCTCCTTGGACACGAACCGGACGCCGGGCCGCCGCAGCAGACGCACCAGGTGCGAGAGCAAGCTCTGACTGACTGCCGACCCGTTCTGCGGCTGATCAGAGCCCATCAGATCCATTAGCCACGAGGAGAAGTCGATAGTGGTGTCGGAGCTGCGTCCGCCGGTCGTCAGCAGGCCGAACAGGTCACTGAGCGAGCCGCCCAGACCGATCTCGTTCGACCCGCCCGTCTCAGTGGTCACCACCATCTCCAGCACAGAGAGCAGCTGGCTGATGTCGGTCGGGGTGTCCTCGCCGCCGCTGATGAACGTCAGGATGAGCGGCGTCACCTGCGGGTCCAAGTGGTGGTGGTCGCGCCTCAGCAGGACGCGCACCAGCTCGGCCAGGTAGGTGGTCAGCGCCGGGTCGGAGCGGTCGGCGCGCCGCAGCAGAGTCACCACCAGCGGCAGGTAGTCGGTCGGCCGGCCGCGCTCCGAGACCTCCTCCAGCCGCGCCAGCAGCTCCAGCAGGTCGTCCGGTACCGTCACGCCGACCTGCTGCCGCGCCAGCAGCTGCTCCAGCACCACCAGCACGCCGCGCAGCGCCTCCGGCTGCGGCCGCGGCCCGAGCCGGCGCAGCAGCAGCAGCACGTGCGGCAGCAGCGGGTCGGCGCGCGGCTCGAACTGCTCCAGCACGGCGCGCGCCAGCTCGGTCACGTAGATGATGGTGTCGTCGGGCAGACGGTCGGCGTCGGTCGGCGGCTGCACCACCAGCCGCAGCACGGCCACCAGCTGCGGCAGCAGCTCGTCCAGCTGCGCCGCGCCGTCGCCCTGCTTGGCGCGCAGCAGCACATCCAGCAGCGTCTGTGTCAGCTCCGGCAGCGAGGAGCCGCCGCCGCCGGCCGCCCGGCCGTCCAGCAGGCCCCGCAGCAGGTCCATCACATCGGTGCTGCTGCTGTCGTTGCCGCCGCCCATGTTGACGGTGACGGAGAAATCGCCTCCGGAGTGGGCTGGCCGGCGCTGCTCCTCCAGCAGCAGCAGCCGCCGCAGCAGACCGGTGACAGCGGTCAGCCGGTCGGGCCGCGGGTGGCGGGTCAGCTGACGCAGCTGCAGCAGGATCTGCGGCACCAGCACGCGGTCGGCGGCGTCGGGAGCCCGCTCCAGGACGGCAGCGGCCAGCTGGGCGGCGAACCGCAGCGTGTCGCTCGCGCCGTGGTGCTCCGGGGTGGTGAGCGTCGTCAGCAGCTCGAGCAGCGCCGGCAGCGACTGGAGCAGCGGCCGCGGCCGGCGCGCCGCCACCTGCAGCTCGGCCACCAGGTCACGCAGGGTGGTCGGCAGGCTGTCTGGAGGCTCTATCACCAGGTCGATGGTGAATCCGGGCCGGCGCGGTGTGGCGCTGCTCTCCAGTAGTCCCACCAGCGCCGCCAGCAGGCCGTCCGGGTCTCCGCCCGTAGGCCGAGTCGACTCCCTCAGTATGAACTGAATCAACATCTCGGGCGAGACGTCCGCCGAGCCGCCGGCCGTCTCCACCAGCCGCAGCAGTCGCTCCACCGTCTCAGTGAGGTCGAAGAGGTACGACGGCGACCGATCACCCTCCTGCAGAAGGACTATGAGCCGCTGGATGTCGTCGGTGTACGTCGGGTGGTCGGCGGGCACGTCCAGCGACTCCAGCAGCGTGATGAACTCGGCGACAGAGAACGTCGGCCTCCTGTCGTACTCGCCGAGGTCGATCAGCATGTTGATAATCCCCTGCACGTCGATGTCCTGCTTGCCGCTGGGCCGGTTGAAGAAGCGCATGATGAGCTCTCGGAAGGCGGAGACTTCCTCAGAAGGAAGGTCGTTCCCGACGCTCATCCGCGACATCACCATCTCCAGCATGGCGCGGAGGCTCTCCATGTCAGTGTGCTCGCCGTTCACCAGGATGCCCGAGATGTTGAAGAAGCCGGGGAAGTCGGGGGTCTGACTGGCGCTCAGTTGCGCCAGCAGCAGCTCCAGCAGGCCCTCGATGTCGCCGAAGTCGTCGCCGCCCGGTTGGACCAGCACGCCCGAGATGTTGAGGAAGCCGGGCGTCGAGTGAGTGGTCTCCTTGCGCAGCTGCGCCATCAGCAGCTCCAGCAGGTAGCGCATGTTGTAGGGCTCGTCCTGCTCCTGTTGCACCACCGAGATGTTGATAAGGCCTGGCGATCGGGGTCTGGCCGCCCTGGCGGTCAGCTGTTCCATCAGCAGCGCGATCAGTCCCTGGATCTCCGAGTAGTCACGGCGGTTCTCCTCCACCACCACCGTCGAGATGTTGAGGATCCCTCCCGGTGACCGGTTTCTTTCCATCGACTCGATCTCAAGGAGCAGCATCTCCAGAAGGTTCTGGATCTCATTGGTTTGCGGTGGAGGCTCGTTAAACAGTGTGATGTTAACGTATCCTGACTCTCTAGGTTTGTTCATACTCATGCGTGCCAGTAACATTTCGATTATTTCCTGTATTTCTCTGAGGTCGTTCCGTTCCTCGCCGACCAGTACCCCGGTAATGTTGACGAAGCCTGACGGCTGCTGATGGGAGCTGAAGCGAGCCAGTAGCATCTCCAGCATCTGCAGAATCTCGGTGTAGTCCTCCTCCTGTTCCGTCTCGGTGAGTATGGCGGTGACGTTCAGACCGCCGCCGCCGCGGGGCGCGCTCATCTCCGTCTCCAGCAGGCTGACCAGCAGACGCAGCAGCTCGTCCGAGTCACTGCTGTCGCTGCCGCCGCCGCCCAGCAGCACGGTGAACACGCTGGTCATGTCCTCGGCGCTGGCCGACCGGCCGCCCAGCATTCCCTGCGAGAACAGCAGCTCGATCAGCTCGGTGAGGTCGCGGATGTCCGGGTCCGGTCTGTCCACGTGCACAGTGGAGATGTTGAAGCCGACGGTGGCGGTTGCAGTGTCAGCGGGCCGGTTCACCAGTTCCAGCATGGCCAAGACCAGGCTCATAATGTCCGTCTCTGAAGCGCCGCCGGTCTGTGTGCCGAGGAACAGCTCCACCAGCAGTTTGCGGGCGTCGGCCGGCAGCGGGCGCCGCTGGGCGTTCAGCTGGTTCGTCAGCTGCAGCAGCAGCCGGTACAGCTCTCCGTCTCCTCCGCGCGATGTCCGGCCCTCGACATCCTCCACAATTGTCATCAGCACCTCGAGCAGTCCGTGAGACGAGCGCGGCGTCTGCTCCGTCAGCAGCGGCAACACGGCCAGCAGCAGCCGGCGCAGCGGCGGCGCCGCCGGGCCGTGCCGCTGCGCCAGCTGCAGCACCAGCTGCACCAGCTGCTGGCCCACCTGTGGCGGCGGCCGCTGCAGGCCCGAGATCAGCTCCAGCAACAGCTGCATCACGTCCGTATCGTCCGTGTCCGCGCCCGGCCTGCCGAGGTGCTCCACCAGCTGAATCACCAGCTGGATGGACTCGGGAGCCGTGGTGCCCGGCGCCGCCGCCAGTGTCTCAAACATCTGCAGCAGCAGGCGCAGCAGTGCCGCGTTCTCTGAGTCCGGGTGCGACTCCCCGAGCCGTCCAACCAGCTCCACCAGCACACTGATGGTATCGGAGTCGGTCGGCGCCAGTGAGCCGCCCACCCGGCCGAGAAGAGTCACCAGGTGCGTCAGAATGTCGGGCCGCACGTCGCGGCGACTCACCTCGCCCAGCTCACGGACGGCGGCCATCAGAAGCTGCAGGTCGGTGTCGGCCAGCGTATCCGGTCGGCCGCCAAGCAGTCGTAGCAGTTCCACCAGCATAACGCGCGTCTCATCGCCGATCACCCGGTGCCGCGGCGTCAGACCCTCGACGAGCCGCACCAGCAGCTGGAGAACGTGCGGTGCCGCCGCCGGCTGTCTGTAGCCGTCAAGGTCTCCCAGGAGATCCACCACTGCCTGCAAGACCGCCGGCTCCAGACCGACCGGACCGGCGGCCAGCTGGTCGACCACCTCCACCAGCAGCTCGACAGTGCGCGGAGAGTCGGCGCCGCCCGGCCGCGTCAGCTGCCGCACCAGGCGAATCAGGGCGGGTCGCAGCCGGCCGGTCGGCGCGCCGCTCTGTCGTATCAGCCGCAGAAGGGCCTCCAGCAGCGGGCCGTCGTACGGTGAGTCGCTGGTGGTCGTCGGGAGCAGCGGCGCGGGCCGGGTGCTGTCCTCTCCCGTCAGCAGCCACCACAGCAGACCGGTGAGCGAGTCGGAGCCGAGCAGGTCCAGCGCCGGCAGCGGCGCGAACGCCGACTCCGGCAGCAGGTCCAGCCAGGCGTCCAGCAGGCGAGCGAGCTCGGTGACCAGAGTAGTGAGCTCTGGTCCGGCCGCCGAGCCCCCGCCGGCCACCGACAGCACCAGGTGGTGCAGCTCGTCCCGCAGCGGCACGGCGCGCTCCGCTGAGCTGAGGCTCAGCAGCAGTCGGGCGACGGCCCCGGGTAGCTCGGCCGGCACCGCCGACTCGGGCAGCGCGCCGGACTCGAGCGCGTCCCGCAGCTCCAGCAGCCGCTGGCCGGCGAACAGCATGTCTAGTGCGGTGGCCGGCCTGACGGCGGCGCCGCGCAGCGTCACCTCCAACCCAATGTCGTCCAGGACGGCCACCAGCCGGCGCAGACTGTCGGTCACCGCCGGCTCCGGCGCCGGGCCGTCCGAGCGGAACAGGCCGACGATCTGGTCCAGCTCTCGGCCCAGCTGCCGCTCCTGCTGTGTGTTGTTGCCGAGCAGTGCGCGCATATCGATCAGGGTCTGGATGTGCAGAGAGCGGCCCACGATCGGCACCGGCGAGAAAACTGAGCCCAGCGCAGCCGGGCCGACGCGCTGCTCAAACTGCTCCGGGGTCATGGCGCCGATACTCAGGAACCGAGGGTCCTGCTCCCGCAGCTCCCGCAGCTTCTCCTCTGGAAAGATAAAAAATGATGACAAGGTCATCCGTTAGCTCAGCAGCGAGTGAGCGCTCATTTTCTGGACTCGTTATCACCAGCTGGATTACTTTGGCATTCACGCTATTCGTAATCACCCGTAGGCTGATACTCTTAGGAAAATGTGACATCGCGTCTATCGATTCTTAGCAGCGTCAATATCGTATGCAGGTTCAAAATATTTACCATTTATTGTAGATTCATTGCAACTCCCCTTAAGCTTCAAACTCTTATTCGCGTCACTGGGTTACATCTTCCCATTCAATCGCACTGGTCCATTGATCCCCAAAGGCGATGCACCCCACTCAGGCACTCACTGCAGTCGAACACCGGGCAGCAGGTGAAGAAGCTGAACATGCGGCACAGCTCGGGGCCGGTGGCGTCACACACGTGTTCGCGGTGCTGTAGCTCGGGGCTGCTCACTACCCGTCCGTTGCGGCAGGCGCGCACATGGCGCACACACCGGCCGTCGACGGGTCGCTCCATCTCGGCCCAGACCAGGTCCTCGTGCTCCTCGGGGCACGCTGCGGAGGCAGAGGGGGGAGAGGTCATCGACAAGTCACCGGGCGGGCCACAGATATACTCCGAATGGAACAGCCTATCGGGAGACGCAGCACGTGAGGCAAGTAAATGCAACAATGTGAATGCGCAAAGAAGCAGCAATTAAATGCGCATTACAAGCGAATTTTGTATTGAGAATGAGCTGCAAAGTCGTTTATCCGTATAAATATGGATAGGTAAAACTAACTGATTTAGGTTACTGGCAAAGAACTTGTCAAACATGATGCGGCGCACGTTGCATCCAGTGTATGGGTTACCTTTCTGCGTGACCGTCCTGCTGTCCGGTTCCGGGTCCGAGTCAGACTCCGTCTCCGTGTCCAGTCCCCCATACAGCGCTATGTAGCGCAGCAGCTCCTCGAGCGGCGTCTGCCGGCTGTCCAGCTGCAGTCGCACCAGGACCGTGGTCAGTGTGGTGGCGTCCGCCGTGGTCACCGTCAGGCCCGCCGGCGCCGAGTCCGACACCTCCAGGGCGGCGCGCAGCAGCTGCCCGATCGCCAGCGGCCGCTGCAGCCGGCCGGCGTCCAGCTCGCCGATCAGCAGCTGCAGCAGCTGCACCACCGTGCTGCGGCGCGGGGCGGACAGCTGGCGCAGCAGCCGGAGCGCGCCGCGCGCCTCTGCCGGCTCCGGCGGCGGCGGCGCGCCGCCCGCCGTCTCCAGGACGGTCAGGATGTGGCGCAGCTCGGTCCGCACGGCCCGCTCGGCCGGCGAGGGCGGCTCGGACCGCGACGACAGCCACTCGAGCAGCTGCCGGATAGCGGTGGCGTTCAGCTGCGGCTGCGCCACCGGCAGCTGCAGCGGCTCCGCCTCAAACAACTGCGGCTCGAGCACCTTCGTGAAGAAACTGCTGACGGCGCGGCCGCGCGGGTCCTGGCCCACCGACGGCGGAGAAATCAGCGACGCCAGCTTCGAGGCTGCAACAGAGGCAAAGGTCGTGTCTTGAACATGACGGAAATAACTCTGTGAACAATGTAAACTTTTCACATTTGTTTACCAAGGATGCTATCATTGGCATACATAGCAGATAACAGGTAAACAGAAAGTATCTGTACCATGAAAACATTCATTGAAAAGATCGTGAATGTGCAGACTATGACGCTCCTCCCACCACAGTGTACACTGTACATGGTCACTGAGAACTCACGACAGTCGTAGACGGGGCAGCAGCTGAAGAAGGTCTCCATGCGGCAGGGGTGGTTGTCACTGTCGGGGACGGCCCGCGGACAGCGCTCCACGCGCGCGGGCACGGGTCGCAGCAGTCGGCCGGCCACGCAGGCTGAGACGCGGCGCACGCAGCCGCCGCCGGCGCTCCGACCGGCCCGCTCCCGCCACACGTCTCCGTGCTGACGGGCCACGCCGGCGGGGTCGATGCAGCCTGAGGAGAGGCAGGGCGGTCAGGGTGCGGGTATGGGTGGTGACAACAGACGCTGAGGGATAGTTCCAGTTTACTGAGAGGGTGGCATAGGCATAACGCTTCACCGAGTTAAGTCTGTCTTGAGGGACGGACAAATGTGATTTAGTACGTTCAGTCGCCATACTGAAAACAAAAGCTTGACACATGATTATGGAAGAAGAACCTTGCATTATTTGGGCACCGGGTCCAGCGTCTATTGCGTCCAGCGTCTATTGGATGCTGGCTTGGTGGGAGAGCCACCGCAAGCTGAAGATTCCATCACCGACTGAAGCCGGCGCGACTCACCGGGAGGTGTTGGACGCTGGTCACTGTCATGGCAGGTCTCGGCGGCGGTGGCAGCCGACCAGCCGGCGGCCAGCAGCAGCAGCAGCGGCGGCGACAGCAGCTGGAGGCGGTGGGGGCGCTCCATCTCCGGCGCCGGGGCTGGTCTGTGGCCACCGAGCGGCGGCCGGCCGTTATAAGCCGCCGGGGGCCGACAGGTCAGCAGGGCCGCCGGCGCCGCCTCAGCGCCCCGACCCGCTCCCACGGCCGGGGGCACGCCGCTCCGTGCCGGGCACGTCGGACGGCGGCCGGCCGGCACGGAGCGGCGCTGACCCGCGGCCGCCGCCACCGCCGGCCCGCGAGCCGCCGCACGCACCGCGGCACGGCGACACCGAGGGACAGTGACCCCGAGCGGGCCCTGCAGCGGTCAGCACATATAGCCGAGCAATGGCAGCGGGTGCTGACGACAGAATGCTGAAGGATTTCGTGAGCGAAACGCAAAAAAAGCGTCAGTTGACCGCAATATCCTTAACAACGTGGCGTACACATTGAATCTCGTTCAATGCAAAGAGAAATATTGTCGTTCAGACCAGCATAACTTTATTGGTTTGACATTGGTATTTTAAACATACATGTAGCAAGGTGCAAGCGAATGCAAGAAAGACCATGCTTTCACAGTGGTTTGGCTATCCGCATCCCAGTTTACTCGTGCTCTTACACGTGACACAACCTATGCGGAGAAGCCCATGGCCGTGAATGGAGAAGGCCCTTACAGAATGGCAGCACTGCGATCGAGCGAACGTATACCATGAACTGATCACACGAATTATATGATGTTCTTCGCCATTCAGACTAGCACAGCAGCCGTTCCAGGTCATATCCTTCCACAAAATGCCAAGTTTTAAAGCAAAAAAAAAAAAAATTTGAAGCAAGCATGGCTGACAGCTTTGTACCAATTCATGACCGGGTTTCATCGAAGCAGGTTAGTTGTTACAGAAGGCCTATGAATCGTTACTTGTTACTTGTTAGAAATGAATAATACTGAGGGATCCGAAACTGGCGCGAAGCTACCGAGGTTCAAAACATCGGAAAAGCAACACCACCTACACTGCAAACCGAAGACGACTGCCTCCCAAACCCGTACAAAGGTACCCTGGGATCACAACCGAGGACCTACTGCGGTCACAGCTGAACTCCGAGCCACCGAAGCGCCCCCACATCCCTCCACCGCCAGCGAGGGCCGTATCGGACCGTCCGCAGCCCACGCCGGCGAACGGGACGGGTCCCCACAGACGGACGGACAACCCTCAACACAGGCGGGAACTAACAACCAGATCCTGCTCTATCACTGACCGGGCCAAGGCACTGAGTGCCCGCCGCTTCCTCTAACGCCAGTCACACTGGAAGCCCTCATACTGCGACACAAACGCAGGACTTGCTCACAGGAGCGTACGACTAGCTCACAGGAGCAGAAGACTAGCTCACACAAAGGCAGGACTAGCTTACACGACCGTCGGACTAGTTGCAGCGTGCGGTAAATGAAAAATAAGCTTAATATCTGGGTCCGTTTCGTGCATGGCCGTGCAGAACCGGACAATAGAGAAAAGAGGAGCGTGCTGGAAGACTCAACGCTCTGGCTCACTGCTGAATCACCCAGCTGTGAAACAAGCGGCCACGAGTAGCCCACCACTCACAACTCAGCGCTCACAATGAAAATATTTCCAAACTCGCGTGGTACTCAACACACCAGCGCTCATGGACGACCGAAAATCCAATTAACCTTTCAAAATAGACACGCTACAGGAAGGGGCCGCCAGCACGGGCCAATATTCCGAAGGGTTATTCACTTTCAACATCTCCCAGCACACGAAAACTTCTCGGCGCTTGGCAGAGTAAACACAATTACCGGGGAATGAGAGGTGCCCCTTTTGGTCGCCATAGAGCTCACCTCACCCCCTCCCTCACCCCGGGGGTGGGCAGCGCCGCGCCGGCCGTGCGCCCGGCGCCTCAGCAGCGGCCCGTCCTAAGTCGGGTTTGGGGCCGCCGCGTCATACTGCCGGAGGCGTCACGGCCGGCGGCGCTGCCCGGTCACCGGTCACCAGTCAGCTCACGGAGCGGACCGCGGTGACGGACGTCCCGGCCGGCCTCCGCACACTAGGAGCGCGGCGCCGGCCGGCGGACGCCCGGGCCACTAGCCTCAGCAGCCGGTGACGGTCGGGTCGCGGCCGGAGCGTTTGGAGATGTTCAGTTTGACCACCTCCTCGGCAGAGGTCGGGTGGATGCCGATCGCTTGGCGCAGCGACTCCATGGTCATACCGTGTCTGGAGGAAGAGACGGTCAGAAAGTCAGACTCATACTCGACGAAGGTCATGGCGACATACGGTTACGACGGCAAAGGACACTGCGTGGTAGCTGGGAACGATTCATCTATGTTGCAAGAATGTTTATGCCATGTTGTAACAATATTGCTCGGGAGGAATTTGACAAATGTGAAAATCAATAGTATTTCAATGGACAAAATCACGGTTGTTCCATCCCATGATTTTTTCGAGAGAGGATAGTAAAACTAGATGCCGGCAGCGCTCTTGCGTTGCCTTGGGCCAGAATTGGAGGAACGGTTCTGAGGGCACACACCGGGCCAAACCACCGAAACCCAGACTGAGCTTGGACTGAACCTGAAACCAAACGAAACATCCCAAAAATGCTTCGAAGCACGTGAGATTGGTGCGGATATCTACCTACAGTATGGTATGAATTAAATGCACGTGCATAGTTCATGTCCCAGGCACCCCAGTGCAGTCATTTTCATAACATCATGTAGCGTGTGTCTAGTTCTATCAGTGTACCGACTTTTGTGTCGCTAGATCGACGTTTCCCGGGATCAGAGGATCCCTAGTCAAAACCGTTATCCGCCCCCTGCACGCGCAGCTTGCACCCCTCGGATATTATCTCGCCGGAATGTTATGACTCAATGTATTCTTCTTATGACCTGCAAGTTTTGAACCAGTTAGAGCGGCCGTTTACCCTGCAGGCGTGGCAACGCACGAAGGGGTGCAATCGGCTTGCACGTACATAGCTCATGCACCACAGAGTTTAGCTCAACCAAATGTGCACTATTTTGGAGGCCTTGCCTGAGACTACCATTGAACCGATTTTGAGGTTGATAGCTCAAAATTTCTTTGAGCCAGAGGACCTCACGTCAAAACGGTTTTCCGCCCCCAGCACGTGCAGCCTGCACCCCTCGCAGACGGTGACCCCCCTGGAAACTGGTTCAAGGTGTTACCGATGTGTCCCGCCAGTGTGGCTTTGTCCGTGACCTCGGGTTGACCTGTAGCCTTGACAAAAAATTTCGTGTCACCGAAATTTTGAAGCGGAATAGCATGTGCCACGAAGCACTGAGCGAACCGAGGCCAGTACCAAAAGTTTACCTCGCCGGAGACGAGTCGAACGGTCCCACTTTCGTCCCGATCGGTCCACCCATTTTGACTCCAGGTCCAAAAAAGCTTGGACAAACTCACTCACATACTCACTCACATACTCACTCACATACTGACAAACAGGCTTGGCCGAACTTTTCTTCAGCGACCCACCAATGGGAATTTCCGGATGCAAAAGCATGCTATCGCATGCTTTTGATCCTCCAATTCTGGATTAAATCCCTGTTTCAAACAAGAAAATACATGATTTAACACGAGTTATGCAATATTTCGTTATTTCGCCCGAGTTCAGAATCCAAAACAGCACCTTTCGCTAATAAGGTGAACGGCCGCTGAGAACACCACCCACTGACTGCCACCTACCACCGACCGGTCTCACCTCATGGCGACGGCGAATCCCTGGAGCACCTCGCCGGCATTGGGTCCGATGAAGTGCAGTCCGAGCACCCGCTGCGGCTCGCGGCGCTCGCACACCGCCTTGATGTAGCAAGAGGACGTGTCACGGCCCGGGATGATGAACTCGAGTGGCCGGTAGAACGCGTGGTACACCTGGGCGGCAGGCAGTGCACGGGGAGGGTCAGTCGGTGGCAGATACCAACAGCCAGGGGGTGTTCTTGAGCTGGTTGCATGTGATGTTAGAAAGAGCATCGTGCTAGCCATCCAGATGAAACTAAATGGTCGACGTATGCATTACATTTCATAAGCACTATCTTACATGAAATACAGATCGATTCCAGGATTTCCAATTGTCTTGAAACGTATAATTAAAGCCACTGGTAAATCATCACGAATCCAAAAGCACTTTGAGCACCAAACGCAAATTGCACAGGCTTGCATGGCATGACATAGGACAGTTTCCAGCAGGTCGTCGAGCAGTACCTACCTCGAGCTGATCGTCCCCGCCGGCCATTTCTGCCGCGCTCTCCTCGCTCAGACCGACACAGCTGTACTCGAGCGGTGTGAACACAGTGGTGGGCACAGTGGCCAGGTCGAGCAGCTGGCTGGAGCCGCCGTACAGCCTGTCAGCCAGAAGCCGGCCAGACACGATCGCCGTGGGCGTGAGCTCCGGCGCTCCCTGCGCACGGTCAGAGACGCGTCAGACACCAGCCGCAGCGGATAGGATAGTTCGTGTATAGGTGTGCGACGTGGCGCAGTCACAGGTCTATCCATATTCGGCAATCATGGACGGATAAAACATAACAAATGCTCATCAAGAGCGCCGTTGTTTATCTCGTGTGACATGCGTGCTGGGCCTCGTTTCATAAAGCGAGTCCGTAACTTACGCCGGTTTTTGGTCTTGTATTGCAAGTGTATGTGAAGCGATAGATTTATTTCCCATTCTCCCTTCTGTTCTTGCTTGCAAGATAAATAAATTCAACGATTCAAACTATCGTCATCGCTTCACATGCTGATGCACTTGCAATAGAAGACCAAAAACCGGCGTAAGTCACGGACTCGCTTTATGAAACGAGGCCCAGGTCACAAGAATAGCACTTAGCGCAATGTCGACAACTCTTGCAAACGGCATCAAGTAGCTGGAGGGCTACAGTTTAGGAACAAAAATCATGTCATCAGCTCAAACACACTAGCCAACTGACAGGGGTTCCTTGTCAGCCGCCGCCTCGACATGTACCTGCACGATGTCGCCGATGGCGTATATGTTATCCACCGACGTCCGGTTGCCGGGATCGGTGACGATCTTCCCGGAGCGTGGGTCGGTGGTGACGCCGAGCGCATCCAGTCCGAGCCGGCGTGTGTCGGGGTCCCGGCCGACGGCCAGCAGCACGGTGTCGTACTCCTCGTCGGGCGGCTGGCCGTCCCCTGAGGGTGTCAGAGAGACCCGCAGCCGACCGGCGGCGGTACGCTCCAGGCGCAGCGGCTCCGAGCCGCGCACCACCCGCGTGCCGAGGTTCTCCATGGCCGACACCACCAGACCTGGAGGCGGGGGTGGTAGAGTCGGATCAACAATGAGGGGTACGTATGTTAGGCTGATCTAGAGGAAACGTAACTATGCACGAACAGAAGAATATTTGGACCTAATGTCTGATAGAGTCCTGAATCTACGCGAGTCTGGTCGACAATGCATCGCGGTTGCTTCGGTTGAACGTGTTTAAACGGATTAAATTTCACCGTATTACTCTCTGCTGGTGCTATGCGATGTGGCAATGCCGGGTGGGCCATCATCATCCAAAATTTTAATCTCGTATGGACCCCACGGCCCGCCTGAGCACGGTGCCGTGTCGTCCCGACTGACCTGCCATCTGCTGGTCGAATCCGCGCAGCGGAATGGAGCGCAGCAGCACGGACGTGTCGAAGCCGAGGCCGGTGAGGAAGCCGGCGCACTCGAGGCTGACGTAGCTGCCGCCCACGCACAGGGTGCGGCCCGGCGGCTGGCGCAGTCGGAACAGATCGTCACTGGTGATGGCCAGCTCGGCTCCGGCGAACGTCGGGTACCTGAGAGGACGGAGAAGTGATGACTGACGACCGCTGAAGATCGTACTTTTATCCCTAACCAGAAAAGACAGTTCCGTGAATACTAGTGTGTGTGTGTATTGTGGATCGACTTACAATTAAAGATTTACCTACTTGGCGTTCAAAAGACTCTTCTTATTTTGAGCAACCATTCATTTTCTGTACGCCTTCAATGTCACACAAGTTCCGCGATATTTCGCCTGTCCCGCTACTTCGACCGTCCCTAATGCCTCACTTCGGCCGACCTCTAGTGGACAGCAGCACCGCCCCCGTCTGCAGTTTTGTCTAACCCCTCCCCCTTACCAGTACCACTCCGCTGGCTCACCTGGGCCGACCTCCAGTAGCCAGCACGACGTTATCCGTCTGCAACACCGTCTCCACATCCTTCCGGTCCTTCGCCAGCACAGTATGACGGTCCAGCAGCGTGCCAGAGGCGTTCAGGTAGGTCACACGCCTGAAGGGAGAACCATGTGTCACATATGAGATATATGAGTCATGACATGACACACGACAAGACATAAACGAATATAGTTACAACAACAGATCGACAAATTCATGAAATATGAATAATTCTTGGAATGGAGCATACTTGTCTCTGAGCGCCACCCGGTGGCCCCAGTTGAGCGACCCCACGTGATTGGTGACGGCCGTCACCAGCTGGTGCCAGTTGAGCTGCAGCTCCGCCGGCGGCACTGACCAGCCGAACGCGGCCGCGTCCTGTCGGGATAACGCAGTCGGTCATTTGACATCGGCAGACTCGGCGTTCTAACAGGACAAGGTAGCCGAACTCACAACAGATGGCACTTTTTCGTTACCGTCTCAAGATAACATAGCCGATCACACTACGTAATGAGCTCCTTTTACCGTGGGTCTCGACAATAAATTACCTTTACACTTTTGCCGAGGAGGGCAGCTTGGTGCATCAGTTTCTTGGGGATGCAGCCGACATTGACGCAGGTGCCGCCGAGACCCCAGACGGTTCCGTGGGGCGACGGCGTCACGTAGTCCAGGACGGCCACCTGACGGTGGAACAACCGACTCAGCAGTCAGCAGCCTGCGCGTATTCGCCCACAGAATACACACAACACAGCATCAGGCCAAAAAGACAGATCACAAAAGCATGGTCATGGCTACAGACCCATGATAATCTGTATTAATGGCCATGTCAAGAGAACAAAAGCCCCCGCATCACATATTTTATGATATGGTAGGTAGAATAAAAACATCGGTAGCATACCTTTGCACCATATCCTGCAGCCTCCTTGGCACAGGCTAGTCCACCTGAGCCACCTCCAATCACAACCAGATCATACTTCTGAGTCGCTGCTGCAAAACACAGAATGAACATATGAGACATAAGATTGAGATTCCAAAAGTAGATTGCTGAGTGCAGGCATCATGATTGCATAAGGCAGCTCACATGTGACCATCATGCACTATATGCCTAAAGAACTTGAGGAACCCAAGAGCAGCATAGGGCTGCACAATATGTTCTAGCTATTGAGTGACATGTTGCCTGCTGATACATGTCAGAGAGCTGAGAGGCATCAGAGGCTGCTTAAAGTGAGCGAAACAGTGCTTGGAACCAATCACAGGCATCTATTTGATGTGTTCCCTCTTTCATGGCACTCAGGAAGAGCTAACAGTGAAATGGAAATAAGATCTGCTGTGTCTTAACTCAATTTCCTATGATCATATTGCCTCTGCATTGTCTGACAGCACCATAGCTCTGAAAACAGAGTTGGGTTGGCCATTGGGGTTTAGATGACTGATGATTCCAAGCATCAGTCATCAGACTGATGCTTGGAATCATCAGTCATCTTAACTTAAGGTGTCAACAACAAAGTGTTGTTGACAAGCCAGCATGAGCTAGGGTAATAAATCCGCACCAACTCATACCAACCACACAGAAAATCCACACTGACAACTGTATGCTCGATAACAATTGGCCTAAAATTGCAATGCAAAATTTAGATAGCTGCATTATGTATATTAGAAGCACAAAAAGGTCAACTATCCCCTGAATGACCCCACTGTGATATTTTCTGCAAGTGGGACACAGGACAGCAACATTGACATGGGACAACAATGCAGTTATAAATAGCATGATAATGGGCAAAACAAAGTAACAAATTGAGCGTACTTGTAGAATAAAGAAGACTGCTTTCGATTCTTGCTGTACCAAAATTATTGAGACACCTCAGTCCTAAAGACATCGGTGGCAGAAACGGTGCCTTCATTTTCAAGCCCGCCTGGGCATCAGCATGCACAGAAGGTTATGCGTGCTGTGTTCAGGCAGAGTGCAATGCACTTTGCTTATTATCTATGAAGCATTATAGTCTGAAAACAGCTGGAACAGCATGAATATTAAAATAAAATCCAAAAGAACACTTCCAAGCCGCCGCCCCCACGATGGAATATTTGTGTTTTGTAACAAGAAGGCCAGAGTTGTCTGCAGATGCATTTGGTGTGTCATTTTCATTTATAAATGAAGCTTTATTTTTATTCATAGTTTATTCTGTGTTGATTTTTATTAATCTACACAAATTCTAGGCGTATATAAAAAATATGAGGTTCAATATGATTTAATAACATAATTTTTCAGTAATTAATTTTTTCATTTATTTTACGTCATATATTTCCGTAAGCTCCGTGTTTTGTTTCAGTAGCCGAGCAACTAAAAATTCGACCTTGAATTGCTCTTGGCACCCGACGGGAAAACCGAAAAGATCGAATCATTTTTTTATTATTTTCTGTCACGCTTATCTGGTTGTTTGTCTCAGTGTATTACCCATGATGACCCACTGCTTTCATCGCGCAGCGAGACGAAGCTTGAGCCTTGAACCCGGTCCCCCCGCGGGCGCCAGACTGAGACGTCTGGCTTGGCATTTCAATCAATTTGGCGGGACGGGTTGATTTCAGTCTATGATTTGTGATATGGTGTGATATTTGTGATATATTTGTGATATGATTTGTGATGGTGTGATATAACGGGCGACAATTTTGTGGGTTCAATGGAGATACGAAATGCGAATGTGTTCCCTCATGGCTATTTTAATTTCACCCTGTGATTTTCCAGCCTCCAGGTGAAGCGAAAGTCGAACAGGACCGATCCGCGACGGGCGACGGATAGGGCGGATAGGGTTCATGTTGGACCGCCGCGGTGGACCGAGGCAAGGACCAGGACCAGGACCAAAGGCTGGTTTGGGACGGGAGCGGCGACTGAGGACGAGGGACCTGGAGTCGGCCGGAACTGGACCGACGTCCAGTCCAACGTAGTTTTAGGGTCTTGCGTCCAACAGATCACACTGGATCCAACTGTCGTCTGTCATTATCGTACGCGGTCATTTCAGGTAGAAAGATTGCATGGATAAATACGGCAACGCAAGCCTACGAGAGCGGAGAAGGTGACCCGCGAGACAACCCGTCTTGGCCCGGATGGTTTGAAAGGGGCCGGGCGGGCTCGCTATCTAACGAACCACACAACGAACCATTTGTCTTACGGTGCCTGTAAGTCGTAACCGGCGAGCTGGGACGATTGACGGGTGGCCGTTGGGACTTGGGACCACGGTTGGGACGATGGACCGGTGGACTGGGATGAGGGACCGGTGGGACATTGTAGGTTGGGACGGGTGACCTGCCCGAATAGCGGTGAGCTGGGACGATTGACGGGACCCGAGACCGGTAGACTGAGACGAGTGAGAGTAACCGGCGGGCTGGGACGGACGAGACGAAGGACCAGCGGGCCCCTGACCCGTGCCTGATACCGTGCTCCTATTCCCACGCAGGGCCGGCCGTGCGCTTTTATGGATTCTCCGTACTCCGCCACCCCGCCGACGGTCGTCGATCGTCGGTGCCGTTGCGGCGGCGCGTCGCCTATTTGTAGGACGCTGGACGGCGGTGCGCGCGCAGGCAGCGCCGCACGTGGGCCGGCCGGCCGGGGCTGACGTAAGGCGAAGCTCAGTCACCGTGGACCGGCCCGCCGCGCCGGGTGAATAGTGGCCGCCGCAGCAGCTGCAGCTCGGAGCTCCGCTGCCCGCCGCCGACTGCCCCAGGTCACAGGTCAGTGGTACTGGTGGGTCGGTGTGCCCCGGTACGGTCTGGTCTGTCTGTAGTCGGTCAGCGGACACCGAACAGGGAGGCAGGCTGGGCTCGGCCGACACGTGGGATTATCGATTTCCAGCCGACGGGGCAGTGACGCCGCCGGAGGGAGGGCGCCCGGCCGTCGGCAGCCCGGCGTGGGACGCCGCGGGTCGGGTCGGGTCTGTGAGCACTGGGCGGTACCCAGACCCTATGACGTGGCCCTCCTTCAGCACAGATCGATCACGGCATGAATCAGCCGACTGATATAGCATGGCCGTTGAGATGAGAGGATTTGCTGCATCTTTCCGGCATATGGATGCAAATTTAGATGCAGAGGTGCTGATTCATCTTTTTGTCATGCTTTTTCTTGTCATGCTTTGATGTAGGCAATGCGACCTAGGCTCACGGCTTACCGTAATGACCGTCTTTCGATTTACTAAAGCGAGCAAGCATCTGAAACACGAAGTGGTTTTAGATTGCCTGATATTGATACAGAATACGCAGTGCGTATGTATCGCAGCATGCCATAAGATCGATAATAAGATCGATAATGATTATGGGCTGCTTAAAAGTTGAAACGGAACCGTCTACCTTTTAGTGGCAACATAGTAAATTTGTTTACTTCATGTCGATAGTCTGACCCGCCCTACCGATGTCGGTAAACTGTCGGCGGTAAACTGGTAATGCCGTATTGATGACGCCTTGTGCATCCTAACACTGAGGCCTATGACATGGTCCGAGTCTAAAGGTTACTGCATGAACGCGATATTTCCGGATATAGTCGCTCCATAGCGCGACCACCCTTCTACGTCGTTAGGACAACCGACAATATTGGGACAGTGCCTACTCCGGTCGAGACTGCTCGTGTCTGACAGCAGTGCGGGATCCGGACCGATCTGCCCACGGCCTCGAGACCGGACAGTCTGAAAGGTCGGCGGTATTTGAAAGGCGGAGGTTTCAGTTTCCCAGACCGGGAGATCGGCAATGCCATGCTGGGACAACATTTGCATCGAATTTGCGGTCGGGATTGGGCTCCATCATACCCTTGGGATCACCTACCAAGAGGCACCTTTTGGCGGACGATAAACGAGCGAGCGCGAGGGTGAGACCTGCTTGTGCGCAAGCGAGAAGAGGTACCCCAACTGGCTGTGTGGGGCGCCAAATTACCGGTTCCTAGCAATTGGTGTACCGAATCTTAGCACAATCGGGCCGAAAACTGCTGGCCCAGCAGTTTTCGAGATGTGGAAGCGGCCTCCGGACACGTCACGTGCGCACGTATAAAGTGGGTCCTAACTGACCTTTGCATAGCACGCTATCAGCCTGTCCGCATAGCACGCATAGCACGCCTGTCCCTTGCGGTTAATCGTCTACTAAGTTTGAACGCCATCGCCTCAGCCATTCTCGAGATTTGGAAGCGACCCTTGCACGTGCGCACGTGCGGTAGCATTCCAACCATGGCACATGAAAATCCAATGCTTGGGGAGTGCCCACCGACATGCGAAGTTTCATCGCAGTCGGCTCGGTAATTGCCGAGTTATTGTGGGCAGACACCTGCGCCACTTTTATTTGCACGTGCAGTGGTGATCGATAATGCATCGAAAGTGGTCCGATACTACATAAAAAAGTGACGAGGTCATCCTACAAAAAGACCTCATATCATTCAGCTAGCGATTGCTGGCATATAAACGTGGACTTAAAAATGTTATGCAAGCGGAACAACTTTGACACCCGTGACTTGGCACGACGTGGTACGTGCCGTGCTAAACTCCGACTTTGCCGTCGAACGATACATTGTGCCAGTGCGCTATACCGTTTACTTTAAAGTTTAAACGCCCAACCAATGACTAGCGCGATGGGGCCTTTCGAGACTAACCGGCCGACAGTTCGTTGTAACCCGTGCAAGGCAAATAAAGCAACCTGATCAATGTTCGATGAGCCAGAAGACTGTTAAAAGTAGCATGCTGATGTGGTGTTTGTTGTTTGACAGCATCGTCGTCATTATCAGCATGTAAGTGGAACGAATATTTTCGTAGTCATTTACCTTGATTGAGCTTATTGTCCCGGCTACGGAGTCATTGATCTATTCGAAGCCAAGGTTCATAGTCGGTTTGGTGGTGTCAGTCTACGTTTTTCGGTCCCGCCTGGCTGCGTGAGCGGTCAGCACGGGGGCGCGGCCGGCCGCACATGTGGGAACAGATGGCCGTGTGACCGGTCTATTCGACCGACCTCGGTCAATTGGGGCTGATCAGTCACAGTGGGTCGGCCGTACCCAACAGGAAGAGCGTCATCACAGCGGGCGGTGAGCGGGCCGGTTCGACACGGCACTCCGTAGCCGCTGGGCGGAGGATGTTTACAAATAGGGTGAAGTCGTATAAGAGTACGCACTTAGTGGATTTCTTGCTCTCATTTGTTTAATATTTGAAAGAAAGAAATCGCAAATAGGGAATATTAAAGTTCATTGAATTAGCCATCATCCCATGGGGCAACGATCCTTCAGCGTAAATGGAAGTGGTCTAAAACTGACATTTTCTGAACCGCTGCAGTTGCGTACTCTTACCATATGGGGTGTGTAAGAGTACGCACGCCAGGCGGGTGGAGTACGCAAGCATATGAACACACACCTATGTAGCTTGTACTGTCCAAATGCTTAACTTCAAACTCAGAGGGCATTTAAGTTAATTCTAGTATCCAAAAAGAAAAAACATAAAATAAATATTTCAAGTCTATAAATCAGTAAATAATCATGTCGTGTGTTTCTTTAAAAACATGCACAATCAAAAGGGAGAATAACTCGTATTTGGAAGAATTTCGGGTACGCATCTGCATCACAGCGCTCCATTGATGATATACCTACAAAACAAACGTCATTGAGCGATAGATTAATAATTGTATATTTCTGTATATTCGATTTAATGTATAATTCTGCGTACTCTTACCCTCCTGAACAGTGCGTCCTCTTACCGTACATGCAATTCGCGCACAAAACAACCCCGAAACGTTGTGTAAAACTTCGCAAACAGAATATTGCACTGCACAGTATTTCCCCAGATAACCTCACAAGTTTCCCACAACAATCGCGGAAATGTACCTTATCTGAGCTGCCAAGTATCAACATTATTTTACCATACCATAATAATATCATAACGCTCGAAAATAATATTCATCGCCTTAAACTCAACAGCGTCGCCGCTCAACGCCCACGTTCCGTTGGTGACAAGCACGCACTGGCGGCTTCATGTCACTTCATGAACTCGACAAACCCGCGTTGCTAAGCAACCGAAACAGCTGATGCGTACTCTTATCGCCCGCGTACTCTTACCCGCCCTTACCCTACTATGGACGTCAAACCCCTTGAGACCCCACTTTTTTGCGATAATTTTTAAATGCGTCAACTCTCGTTGACAATATTTTGGCAATGTGTGTTTCAGAACCTGCCGAAACTTTTATTACTAAGGTATTTTGACGTCAAACGATTATGAAAGGTACTTCTCATTCACTCGTAATGTTAAATTTCACGGAATGAATCTGCTGTTTGGGTAGAGGCTACGCGCTTATGGGGCGGAGCCACGTAATGACGTCAGCGCTAAGCTCCGCCCTACCCCTCCGGCGCTCCTTGCCTGGCGACCGGTCACTCGCGTCTTGCGCTCCATTCAGGCTTGATGGTGGGCGGTAGCTGGTAGCGGTAGCGGGCGCTGGTTAATGACATTAAGAGCAGATGGCGCTGGTGGCGGGGCTCGAGTGTGGCCGAGCGCAAGCCTCTGCCTGGGCCTGAATTGACCTTAGCATTACGAGTGAATGAGAAGTACCTTTCATAATCGTTTGGCGTCAAAATACCTTAGTAATAAAAGTTTCGGCAGGTTCTGAAACACACATTGCCAGAATATTGTCAACGAGAGTTGACGCATTTAAAAATTATCGCAAAAAAGTGGGGTCTCAAGGGGTTTGACGTCCATAGTAGGTGCTCCCCGTGCACAACTGCGTGTTGGCCAGTCAGTCGGTGGTCACCGGTCATTATCTCTGTCTGAGTTGTATCATGAATGCAATTGAATGTAGAACACTGTATGAATCGCGTTAATTTGAGCCCTTGCTCTATTTCGATTTCATCCATTTCAATGTATTGAGTTTACTTTGCTGGGCACCCGGCACAGTCTGATCTAAAGTGGAGACTGTTGCCAGCCACGCTGCATGTGGCGCTCACTCGTGGCGCGCGTCGTGTGGGCCTGTGGTGGTGCCGCCGGCCGCGGCGCCGACGAGACAGCCACCCACACGAGCGTCGAGCACGCGGTGGTTACGTCCGGGTTCCGGCGATGGGCGTGGTGCCAGCACAGCTGCCCCCCCCCCCCCTGGTGGGGAGGGGGGGGGGGCGGTGGTAAGGGGATACGGGGACCGGCCGACCCAGCTGCGGGTCGGCCCGGGAGATGAACTCGGCCGTAAGGGGTGTCCGGTGTCCGGTGTCCACTGGGCTAGAAGGAGTGGGAGGGATCAGAGGGGTGGCATCAGGCATAGGAACGGTACGGCGGGACGCGAGACCAAGTGTAGGCCATTGCTTATTTCTTACTCATCACTGTTGGATTGTACCATTGGAAGAGCTCAGAGGGCTGCTAAGCTGATTTGAAATAAGGTTTGCAGTACATTCTAGCGCATTTACCATTTATTCGATAATGGTATGGATTATTTGATTGGTCTGGGCAATTGCAATTGTCATTACAACTGTTGTGTGCACTGCTGTAATCTCTACGAACTTGATATTGTTTATTGCACACGAACAGTCAAAGTATCGCTTCATAATGGGCATAATACCTATAATAAGCAAGCTACAGTTATAACTTATATCCGCACACTACTCGTATGTCACAAATATGCATCTTGTCTAGTCCATGTGGTGACAGATTTTCGTTTCGAACCAGAATCCGGCACTTAAGTCCCGTTACCACCACCGGTCTCACAGCATCCGTTACCATTGAGTTGAATCTCGACCCTCGGGTCTCAGTCAAGCGTCTCACCAATCGTGTGGACGGCGACTAGCGTGGGAGGTCCCGGGGTCATCAGACATCTCATCAGGGATGTGAGCGGCGACCGGCTTGTGTTTCTAAACAAGGCCTGCTGCGACTTATCACAGCGCTAGTCTTTGCTTGTGTACACATGCTATCCCATTCCGGTGGTCTCATTTGTCATTTTGCGTTGCAATTTGTGTGATGGACATGATCAATGTTTTCATAGCAAATCAATCAATTTCCGTTCTCGTCGTACAGGTATATTCGTATCGTCGTTCGTAGGTATATGTGCACATGTGTGACTTATATTTCATGTGTGACTTATATATTTGTTCTCCTTAGCGAAAGCGATAGCTCTGCTTCAATGATACACCTAATATCAGATGTTGCATAGACCTTCCATTTTTCTTGTGTTCATTATCTTTCATGTCCTTTATTCTTACCATTCCCTTCAGCTTCACGTCATACCTATGACGGACGGACGCTGCGCTGTCCCGCTCCTGACGGCCCGGCAACCCTGCTCCATTCCTGTCGGCCTTGTGCCCCTTTCTAGCCCCTCACTGACACCCATGTACCCTTCCGCAGCGCCCCACCGCCCCGGCCGCCGCCATGGAACAGGAGATGGATCGTCGGCCGAGCGACTCGTCCGGCGGGAGCCACGTCAAGCTGCGGAAGGAGCTCGGGCTGGTAGAGGGCGTGGCCGTCATCCTGGGCATCATCATCGGATCAGGTTCGTAAACTGATGTCGGACGTCATAAGGGTTAGAGTTTCCGGGGATACCGACCTGGAAGGACAGCACGTGATTCTTCCATCTGTGGTCCATATGTTGGTCTGCCGAGTTCCGACCGTAACATGTCAGTTGGTCCTCTGTTGATTCGGGGTCCGGGTCTGGGCGTAAGATGTCGGTCCGTCAGCGCTGCTGTCAAACACTGAGTCCGCTGCCGGACCGGTGGCCCCTCGAAGGGACACCCTACACCGACCGGTAGTGACGACTCGCCTGAGATGGACGGACCCGATGATCGGGGACGGTAGCTCACCCCTCCGTGCCCCTCGCCTGCCCCTCTCGGCCCCGGACCCTACCTCCCCCTTCTCGATCCATTTTGTTTGTAAGGGACAAGGGTAACAGTGACGGAGTTGGCTAACGATTGCGCTAAATACGATGAGCTTTGACCGGTACTGTAGTTATGAGGATGTTTGTGTAATTTCGAACGGGTTTGGCGTTTTCTGTGTGCTGCTTTTTAATAGGTTTCCGCAATTTCTGGACAGGCAGCTCGACGTGGTCAAATCACCGACCCATGGTCACAGTTTTTCGCATAATTTGTATGAGACAATGAATCAATGGGTAGCGGTGGCTATATCAAATGCAATAATGTAACACCCTTACAGCCAGTGGATTATATGGACGTCTGGTCCTGCTAACACTGCTCATCTCTAATTGCGTGTATACTGCTGGTTGTCAGGCGCAGTGTTGGTGGAGACAGCCGCCGGTCCGCTGTACTTAAAAATGACACATGTGTATGCCCAAACTGCCGTTTGCAGTTATCTCGTCGAGCGTCGCGCGGTGTTTGCGCTGCAGTTACCACAGAGTGTCAGTGGGTGTTTGTGGGAGGGTAGCAGCTGTCTGTGTGTCACAACCTGAGCGCAACAAGCGAGTCTCAGCCATCCCAGGGGTGCCCGCTGCAGCTACCGCTCGCGACGGGCTGGTCTGTTTGCTCCTATCGCGGTTAAAACGTAGATCAGAAAACGATAGAACTTATTATGATTTGGACGCGTTTAAGTTCAAGGATGAACTGTGTTACGTTATAAACAATATTTAAACTTTTAGTTTGGCAAATTCCGGCAGAAACTGAGTTATCGCGTTTTAATTTGCCGTCAGGCACGACCTGCAAAGGCACTGAAGTGTCTTGAACCGGACTCACATATCCTCGCCCATTGACTACGCTACTGCCGTACCAACTGAGCTACTGAACTAATGTTAATGTAACTGGTAATGAACAAAGTGTTTTGGCGGATGAATTGCGAAAGTAAGAATACTATCATTACCTTTACTATTCTGGTCGATACCGGGTAGCTGCTGGAAAGACAAACGACTATTCCCGTCAAGACTCTCTTGATGGTTCTGAGCTGGCGGACTACCGTCAGCAGGCTAGCTAACCGGCACGTCGTGTGTAAGTACCCCCTGCCATGATGCATTCCGATGGAATTTACCGTGCTGACCGAGACCGTGCGTTGACCCGGCTCACTCGCTGATCGGGTGCTGACCTTGCCGCTCGAGTGCTGACCCTACCTCCTTGGTCATTTGGTGCACCTCTGTTTAACGTTCCCTCGACCCTCGCTAACTGAGGCGTCCGTCGGAAAATGACCTAGCGTCTTAGTCCCACGGTGTGCACTCCATTCAGTCTGTATCCCTTTGAATGAGGGCTGTCCATCCCGGCAGGAACCTATATAGCGCCGGCGGGAGTACTCCAAGGGTGCGGCTTTGTCCATCCAGTGTCACAGCGCTCTCCTCACTGATTTTATCCGTCCGTCCCCGCAGTTATCTACACCTTCCCTGTGGGCGTCCTGCAGTTGTCACCCGTCCTTCTGGGGAAAGTAACTGTGTACTTTAAAAACTGTCCGTCCGTCCCGGCAGGTATCTTCATCTCGCCGGTGGGCGTGCTGCAGGAGTGCGGCTCCGTCGGTATGTCGCTGGTCGTCTGGACACTGTGCGGAGTGCTCTCCATGATCGGCGCCCTCTGCTACGCCGAGCTGGGCACCACGATTCCTAAATCGGGCGGCGACTACGCCTACATTCTGGAGGCGTTCGGCCCGTTGCCGGCCTTCCTCTTCCTCTGGGACGCCAACCTGATCTTCGTGTGAGTTTTGCGGAGCGAACGGGGTGAACAGGGAGGATAGAGAGTTTACACTGTGGTCATGGGTTGTTGGGTTCTTGTGCCTGATGAATAGCGGTACAATCGTTAGTGTGAAACGATGCTTATGATGGAAACCAGAGTTCAGTGCATGTGTCATAACAACTAAGAGAATAAGTACTCGCCCGAAAAGTTATGTTATGACCGAATCAATCATCCATTTGGATATTTTGACCCTTCTCTTGAGTTTTGGTCGATTTGTCCCTTCTACCGGTGACCGGAGCTGGCGGGGCCCAGTCGGTCGGGCCGGAGCCGCCGTCCAGTCAGTCTCACGGCGCCGTCCGGTCCGGTTCGGCAGCGGTAACGAGCCGGCCACCGGCGCCTCTCGGCGCCCCGGCCCAGATGTGCGCTAATGCGCTCATGACGCCCATCTGGGCGGCTCACAAACGGTCTGTGACGGGGTGGCGGCGGGCGATGAGGTCACCAGTCTTTCGGAAGCGAGCCGTCCGTCACCCTGTCCCCTCCCGGCTGGGACTGGGTAGCCGGGCTCGATTCCGCCGCCTTTGCACGTGGTCCGGCGAGGGGCGTTGTCCGGACCGAGGGGCGGGGCAGAGTGGGCGGGCGGGTCCGGGTGAGGCAGGCGGACGAGAGAGTTCACATGGAATGGGGGCGGCTCGCCGGCCGGCGCCTCTGAGCCAGTGAAGGATGGCTGACGCTGCACCGTTAGCTCTGCACTGGTCGGCGGGGTCGCGGGGAGGGACGGGCGGTGCGGCCTCTTGGTCCGTCTGCCGGCGTCCAGCCACACCCCCGGGCCGCTGGCCAAGAGGTCGCCAGGTCGTCTGATCTCAGTTCCCTGCCGTGAGTGGGGAGAGGGCCGCTGACCGAACGGGAAGCTGAGAGATATCATTGCCACACCGACTGACGTCCCACACTGCACGGCAAATGACCGGCCGTTGGGCACTCAGCGTGGTTCGGCGACGATACTCGCAGACGGCTGTCGGCCGTGTTTGTGTTGGCGGCTCAGCACCCGCAGCCAGTCGAGCCGTGGTAGTGTTAGACGTCTGTGCGTGACTGAGTCAGCGCTCATAAAACCGCCCCAGATGTGCTCAGACTATATACTGTACCGTCTGCAGACTGACCTTGCCCGGCGCCGGCTTTAACACGCAGAAGGAGCATGCCTGCATGCCGTATGTGTATTCAACTGTGTTTATGGGAGAGTGCTGTAAATGCTGCGGGGTAACAACACGATGAAGGAAGGCTGGTTATTCGGTACGCCTGTGAATCGTGTGCTGACAAAAACTGGCCGTACATCTTCCTGAAATGAAACTCGGCTTGATGAATATGACCACGAATAATACGACGAATTTCTTGAGATAATCCCATTCATTACTTTTGTTAGGATAACTAGCGTATACAGACACGCGAGCTGACGCCGTGTCGCACCTCTGGTTAACTCCATCACGCGCTCGTCACTGGAATGCGAGTGCGACCCGTGCGGTCTGTTGTAAATGTTCTTGGGCGGTTGAATTCAAAGTTCAGCCACTCAACATCCTTTTACATCTTATCACCATCTCTGATGTAAATGAGCTCATACAAACGTTGATTTGTGGTCGCTCCGGCTGACTGATAAATGTCGCTAAACATTTATACCGACAGACAATGATGCTCAACATCTACCGGGTGGCCCAAAAAAAACGTTCCGAACTTTGAATGCCTATATCTCAAATTCGAGTGCAAAAAACGAGCCAAAATTTTAATCAAGTTTGCGTCACTTCTTTGCGCATTGGTATGCCAAATAATAACACTGTACCATCATTTTCAAGCCAGCAATCTTATGTTTAATTAAGTAAGACGTTTTTGCTTTTTTTGCCGATGTCGAACGACCTGGTGATGATTGGCTTAGACGTACCATGTTAGAAAAAAGGAAAAAATAGAACACGTGAATGAAACCAGCACGTGTGTTGTTATTTTAAATATTTTTGTCCCACTCATGTGCCAAATATTCAAATACTGAGCCAAAATGGTGTAAATTGATGCCATTGGTTTCAACACCAAGCCCTGTTTCGAGCAGAATGAGTGGCACGGCGCATGGGTTACTGCTGATCGCCCTCCATTTGAGAAGATCCAACAGTAAATCGACCGAATAAGGCAAAAAGCGAGAGGGAATGTGTCACCCTGAGGTCTGAACCATCAATGAGGCTAGTTGTCAGTAGCAGTCATGGCTGCAGGCCGTGGTGCCGAGATGGAAGTGGCCCATTCATTCATATTTTTTAGTAAACATCTGAGCAAAAAAGTAATTTTTATATGGCATGCTAGAAACACAAACCGTTTAAAAAGCAATTGACCGAATAGCATAAAAATCATACAATTTACTGAGAATATATGCCGCATTGACTAGTAGAAGTTTCAATGTTGTATCTTTATCACTTTCTGAGAAATATTGATTTAAAGTTGGGAACGTTTTTTCTGGGCCACCCGGTATACCAAATTTTTCCGTTGCGGCCAAAGTCTGCGCTGGCTAGAGACCCTGAACTGTGCCCTGCTCCTGGTTTCATGAATATCTGTTCCACCAGCTGCCTTTGTTTGGGCGCATGCTGCGTGCTTTTCACGGCATTCCTTCTTACGGGTCTCCCTGTCCGGCAGGCCGACCACCAACGCCATCATGGGTCTGACGTTCGGTAACTACGTGCTGCAGCCGTTCTTTCCCAACTGTGACGTCAACTCGGCGTCGGTCCGCCTGCTCGCCGCTGCTGCCATCTGTGAGTAGGAGCGCAAAGTGCATCGCCGAGGGCTGAATAGAGAATGATAGATCACAGGTTTCATTTTTTGGTGTTTGTCAAATGTCATTTTTGTTTACCATGTTTGATGGGAAAATATGCATAACGTTGATAGCGAAAACTTTTTTTTCTTTTCAACGATATATTTAATATAACTATTTTTCTTGAAAATATTACCTGTATTGGTGACAATAGTGCGTTCGAGAGGTGTGCTGCTTTCTGATGCATATTTTTACCCGTGGGTGACCTAAGTACAATATCAGCATTCGGTAGATCTGAAATTACAATAGCGAGGTTCGGACTGCTTTGGACTTTTTTGTTAATTAAGATTCCTCCCTTTCCCTTTGGCATGAGGGGCTATTCGGTTGTTTTTGTTTTGTTGACGTAAATGGTGGACATTCTGGTCGCCGCCAACTGATGGCCTGGTTTATATAGGGCGGCTGGTGACGGCCCATCCCGTGGCGGGCCGCCAGCGTTTTGGCGCCTCACTGTCCACTACCTCTGCGCTACTCACCGAGACGTTACCGCTCTATTTCAGGCATCCTGACGTTCGTCAACTGCTACAATGTCAAGGTGACGGCGCGCCTGCAGAACGTCTTTATGGTGACCAAGGTGTCGGCGCTGCTTCTCGTCATCATAGTCGGACTCGTCGTGCTCTGCATGGGTGCGTATGGCGCCCTTTTACCTGGCGCCGTTGCTCATTTACCGGCATGATGAACTTGACCGTTCCCTGGTTAATGCTCCTGTATAACTTGCACAGTTATCAGTGTTTATTGCTTTCGGCGATATATCCCATTATCAATGGCTAGTGGATGTTAGCACCGGAGCCGCATTTCCGATCGTCATGCAGACTGAAAGTGTAATTGCATATACAGTCCTGTTAGCAGTAAGTACGTACTCCTGATCAGGCCGACGGCCGAGATGAGCTGATCAGTCCAGTTTGCAGTGACACTAGTCTGTCTGTGCTGTCTGGTGGCCGGGCCTGATCCCGCGGTAGTCGAACAGACGGTGCCTACTCCTGCACTGTGCCCGGTCGACGACCACTGTCCCGTGCAGGCCTGTCGTCGGCCATTTGGTCCCACGGCGCCGGGTCGGCACCCATGGCTACACCCCTGGCTGCGCTGCCGACCGCATCAGCCGCCTGTTTATTAATCTGCCGAGTATGCCGGCCACCAGCACACATGTGTCGCATTGGCTGGGACACACGTCGGTCGGCTAATTCCGCCCACCAAGACAGAAATTTGCCGACACTGATTTCTCGGCCAGGCTGGGTCCTGCAGCTCCCCGAGGAATGATCTCAGGAGTCAGGACCCATTCACTCTGACGGTTCGGGTCATGTGTTCACTGAAGGCTGATAAACGGATCCTAGGCAAACATTTGGACTAGAGTTGCAAAATTTCCCTACCGCACTACCGGCATGCCAGTAATTTTTCACTACCGCAGGTTTTTTCGTGGTATCTGGCATGTCTTGCCGGTAGCATGCCGGTATTTTTGATTTTGCACACAAAAAATTATCAGCATATGATTCAAACTTTGGACATTAAGAGGCTATTGAATTGTAATAACAGCAATCTTAGCCACTGCAAAATACATTTTGTGGTAGAAGTTCCATTGCTAAGGGTAGGGGACAGGGGTAACACATGAACCTCAGCATTTCACAGGTTTGGCTCTAATTAGAATTGTCAAGAATCTACTGTGGTCTATCAAAGGAAGACAAAGAATACTCATTCATGTTGCAAAAGCACAACCAATTAGTAAGTCTAATGGTAGGTAATGGGCATAATACAATAACTAAAATAAATAAATGTTCATGGCAACCTTCCCTAGGCAAAAGGCAGAATCAAAACAACACAAAACACATTGTTTGGAAACTGGCCTTGAGTCCTGAGATGTGGTCTGAGATACTCTACAAAGAATTTGACACTGAAAATCCAGCTGAAAAGGCAGGTGTTAGGTAGCTCTGACTTCTGAGCCTAACTTTGGTCCCAAAATGAAATGAAAATGAATTAAACTGGCATTTATTCTTATCTTTACAAGAAAACACAACATGCAGACGAAATGAATACAAAGTGGCGCAACGTGGCGCAAAGGCAACCAAGGATTGACTTTTAAGATCCTCTGTCCCCTAAAGAAGGATGTAAGCTGATGACGTAATATTTATTCATATGCCCTTTTGGTTGAATCACTCGAGAGAAATCAATTTTCTTGTAGTGAATAACACTCACAGTGTTGATTTCATTGGAATTCAATATCGTGTTGAATGATTTTTATCAATAAAATCAATCACGAGGCAGAAGTTTGCAGTCCTAAAACCTTTTTTGCAGTTTTTTAATCAGCTGGTTAAAAACTGTGTCATGGCGCATCTGCTTCGAAAATAACGAAATCCTTGATAACCTTGTGTTTGTTCCCGCGTTTGAGATGGGGGAGGATATTATGTCGTTTTTATACTTCTTCTTCTTCTTCTCAGTCGTCGGTTCCACCCATCGGGTGCACCATCAGGTTGTCCTCCCTGATGACCCTCTGCTGTCCCTTATCTCAGCCTTTACGTTAGGTACTGTGCAAGACGCTAGTGGTGGCACCGGGCAAGGAGAGACTGGGAGGATGAGGACAGGATTCTTTTCTTGTCCTGCTCGTTTCAACTGCTGTCGACATGCAGACTGCAGTTCCTTTTGTATCCTTGTCTTGTATAGGTAATTGATCAACAAGGCCTCTTCTGAGTCAGCATTGCGGACAGTCAGCTTCGCAGGTAGAGTCCTATTTAACCTCGCATTCCACCTCCTCTGTCCTTCCTCACGTTCTTGCCGCAGTTCCACACACTCATAAAGAAAGTGTTCAAGAGTTTCTGTTGCTTTCATGCATAATGGACAGATCTCATTTCGCTCAGCGTGCCTTCTTAAGACTCCTGTGGCAAGAAGCGACTGCTCCGTTAGAAGTCGTATCCTCGTGCCTGTCGCTTGTCTGCCAATAACACTTAGTCTGTTTTTCGGCCAGAATTGATTCGCTGGCTCGTATTCTTCCATATTTTGTGCAATATCGGCGATCCACTGTATAGTTTGTCTCTTGCTAGCTTCTTCTATAATCATTGCTTTAGTATACGCGTTGATGGCTTGTTTGCAAACTTTATACCAGCTCTTACCCTGTACTCCATTTGTTGTCATCATTTGTATTATGCCTGGTAGCTTCAATGCGGTAAAGTAATGTTCCCATTGCCTTAGTATGCTCGAGCTCCTGTCCTTGTTGAGAGCACCGTGCAGTATCATGTATTCCGTCAGTGCATGCTCCCGCGCTGCTTTAGCGAGAAACTGAATGAATTGCATAGCTGCTTTCATTATCATCACCTTAGGGGGTAACGCTCCAAGCATCATGTACACAGCTAAGTTCTGGGTTCTTCTGGGTAATCCTTGCATAGCCCTCAGAAGTCTTACCACCATCACCTCCAGGTAGTTAATTTCTTGATTTGTGAAAATCGTCACTGGCATGGAGTACAGGAGTATCGGTTCAGCATATATTTTCCATGTGGTGTAAAGAGACAGTGGGCTTGTACGGGCAACGTCAAGGCCTTCTGGGCACCTTGCAAACATCGCTCTTCTCGCCCTTTTCATACCCTCTTCGATTCTCTTTCTTCCTTCAGCCTTGTTGGTCATATGGACGCCCAGATGGGTATATTCTGTGGTTACTTCAATGTGCTCTTTTCCTAGTAACCATCTTCTGCCATCTACGCATTTCCCATATACCATGATTTTGCTCTTACTTGCATTGTACTGATATCTCCATTTCGTGCTATGACTGTATGCAACATCGAGCATTAACTGCATCTCTGTCGGATCTGTACTAATGAGAACTTCATCATCTGCATATGCAATGATAGGTACTTGTATATCTCCAACTCTTGCTCCAACACGTGCTTGCTGCAGAGTTTGTATCTTATCGTGCATGTAGAGACAGAGCAGGCATATTTATACATATTATTTGGTGACTTCCCAGGACAAGTGAGTTATTAACACATATTTTTACATGATTCGTAATTCGTATCTTACTCACGAGCCAGCAATCCATGGCGGATAGGATGGCCTTGGTGGATAGGAAAAGCTGATGTTGATCTCGCTTCCTCAGTTAGGAACATGGCCGAATATGTAGTTTTTTATATTGTGATTTGTGACTATCTAGTATCTATAGTTCATTATTTGGTTGGTACCTGCAACATTTTAGGAGAATGTGGAAAATAAGAACGCTTGTGGTAAATGTGATTGCTGCTCATTGTGCAGTCTTCAGAAACACATTTCAGTAATTCAAGTTCTCTTTGTCCTTGCTTTTTTGATGAATGTGTTAATGCTTTTTGAAGGCAATACCTTTTAGATTACAGGTGATATTTTAACAGCTGTAGACTGGAATTGAGTTTCCAAATTGTGGTATTTGTGGGGCGAACTCAGCCAACATCAGGCTGCTGGTAGTTTTGGTTGGACAATGGGTGGCTGCTGGGTGGGGCGGTTACTGAAATTGCCAAAATGTGGCATCTCATGTAGGGGTAAGCCAGAATCAAGAATGCAGGTTTTTTGGAATGCCGGTAATTTGGTGGTTTTTTTGCTTGGGGAGTGGTAGCATGCCGGTATCCCAGAAAATTTTTGTGGGGCGGGGCGGTGCCGGTAGCAGCCCATTGGGAAAACTTTGCAACTCTAATTTGGACCGAGGATGGACTCATCTTCTGAAACTTGGCTATGAGGTGTACTTTTTGCTCTGGATAGTGGATAGTATTTTGAGATTTCGGGCGAATAAATGAGCCGACGCCGAGGGGCCTGGCCCCATGGCTGAGGGTGCCACCCCGTCGTTGGGCACCGTTCCCACCCCGGCATGGGACCGTCACACCACCCCGTCGGCGGGCACGGCTCCCACCCCGGCATGGGACCGTCACACCACCCCGTCGGCGGCGACGCCACGTGACGTCAGCGCCGTTCTGTGCCCTGATTGGCGGGTCGGGGGGCCGGCCGGCGACTCGCCCTCCCTGGCCGCCGTCCAGCGGTCAGCTATATTTCACCTGTGGCGGGCTTGGCCCCGGCGGCGGCAGGGTGACACGGTCAGACGGACGGACGGTCAGGGTCAACGGAGGAGACACCTCCCCTCCTCCCCTGCCCGGCCCCTGACGCGCAGTTCCCCCTCCGACCCTCCCGGCCAAGTGTCTCAATCTGGTGGTCCCTCTCCCAGAGTCTCACCTATATGAATCTGCCAGCTCGCGTCAGCGCGGTTGTGTCTGTGTGTCATTTCTTTGAGGGAGGGGTCACTACGCACTACGCAGTCGCGTATTCTGGCACGTGAGACATTGTGTCGAATGTTGATGAGTGTACAATTCATGTTGAATGTGGTCACCCAGTGGTGTGAGAGAATGTTCTAAGCGGGCTGTTTAATCCATGCTGACACAGCCATCTCATTCCAGGTAAGGGCCAGAGCTTTGACAACGCGTTTGTCGGCATGAAGACGGACCCGGGCCAGATCGCCGTGTCGTTCTACTCGGGCATCTTCTCCTACGCCGGATGGTGGGTTGCTATGACGACCGGAGGCCGCCCCCCCCCCCGCCGATCACGTGCCACCAGGGTCCGTCGCGCGGTGACCCCGCGGGGTCCTCGGCGCCCGCCGGTATCTGGGTGGGCCGGCCGTGTTGAATTGACGCCGGAACCCGCCCGAGACGACTCCAGTGACTGTCATCTGGTCGAGATCATGTTCAATGAGCTCGTGTTTAAACGGTGCTGAGGTACCGCAGGCACCGACGGCGACTGTTTCCAATCAAACACTAGACATGTCGATAACTGCACGGATGTAGTTGATTCAACATTTACGCTTGTCGCGTGCCATCGCTGACGGCCGTGTGGCTGGGTTTGCAGGAACTACCTGAATTTTATGACTGAGGAGCTGCGCGACCCGTACCGGAACCTGCCGCGCTCCATCTATCTGAGCCTGCCGCTGGTCACCTGCATCTACGTGCTCGCCAACGTCTCCTACCTGATGGTGCTCTCGCCGGCCGAGATGCTCGCGTCAGACGCCATCGCCGTGGTAAGTCGAGGCCGACACCGTCGTCGGGGGCACCGATGACACAAAATCTGAGCGTCGATCATTATCAGCTCCCTTTGTCGGCTAAGGAGCTGCAGCTGTAGCTTTCTTCGCGTTAGTTCTGTAAATGGCAGGCCAATGTGAAGTCGATTTATGGGGAATTAACGATGACTGTGTGTTGTTGCTCCTTTAAATGGTACCACGGCTCTTTGGTCTTTTTTCATACGAGGTCACTATTCTTGCAGCGTAGTTCAGAGCAGAGTATAAAGTGTTCCCCTTTCTTGCTCCTGGTAGACATTCGCAAACAAGACTCTGGGTGTGATGGCGTGGATCATGCCGCTGTTCGTGGCGTTCTCGGCGTTCGGCGGGCTCAGCGTGCACATCATGACCTCCTCCAGGTAGGTCCGTCCACTCTGTACGCTCAGTTACACCCCGAGCGCCGCTGTTCAACCGTGGTCACCAGCCGGGCTGGCTGGGTCCTGAGCATCATTATAGATTTAGGGCTTTATATTTAGGTCGCAGCTACATGTTCCCGCTGGATCAAGTGTTACACCCCGAGCGCCGCTGTTCGACCGTGACCGCCAGTTGGGATGGCTGGGTCCTGAGCATCATTCTTATAGATTTAGGGCTTTATAGGTCGCAGCTACATGTTCCCGCTGGATCAAGTTTGTCAGTTTCAGGCATGATTACGATTCGCTGTTTCATTTTTGTGTTTGGCTGCATTTTCGTGTTGGCATTACGATAACGCACACAGGCCAATAGCCCTTTACAATCTTCAGAATCATCGGTAGCACCGGTTTGTTTTGCACCACCTCGGTGTTGTTGCATGGTTTTGTCTGCCAATAGTTGAACCCCTACATTCCACATTTGACAGAGCATGTGTTTAGCAAATGATTGTGAAATGCCCATTTTGCTCTTTTATTGATCTTTACAGCTTTAATAACAGATTAATTTAATTTGAAGTTGCTGACGCGCTGTTCTCCAAATGGTTTGTTTCGGTATTTACATGTCTTCATAAGTTCTTACGCTGCTCACTTTATTTCACCTTTGCTTCGGTCTTTTTTACCGCATCGCAATCAAAATACACTTATCTTTGTCTCTTTTTCTTTTCAAAACCCGGACTTTGTTCCGCACACCCGAGTAGTGACTGTCGCATGGTGAGCACTGGACGCACCGCCTCCTAGCCCCGTCCGTCCGTACACTGTCCCGTGCTGCGTCCACCTGACGGGGTGTCGCCGACACTCGTTCCGTCGGAAGGTTGTGTTTCGTTGGCGCACGGAATGGTCACTTCCCCGGCTCGCTGGCACTCATAGGCCAGAGCTACGTGACGCCAATGCCGGCTCTGGTTTTCTTGGTGAGTACGTGCACCGGCCGCCGCGAGCGGTGGAGCGCCGCTGCACACCCGCATGGTTTGTCTCCCCTGCCGCATGACAGGGTACGCACTAACACCTTAGCTGCACAGAGAATATCGACCTAGAGCTTGAAGAGACGCGTTAGAGAAGTAGCTAAGTGGTCTGCGTTGACCGATATAATTGCTAAAAATTGTATTCGATGAATGTCTTGTGTTGTATTTGTGCACGTTGGGGATCGTTGTCGCGCTCTGATTATGAGATGTCGAGCGACTTTGGGACGGCTCGATTGTAATATCTGGCCTGCTGAACCTGCGACTGAGCCTGGCCGGGAAGGGCGCTCGTCAAACCTGGTCGGCCCGTGAAAGAGTGTACGATAGTCTGAGAAGTCCCGCCTGGCTGCCCGGTGTCCCTGCGTGCTCTCCCTGAGTAGCTATACGGCACGGTCTATGCGGAATCTCACTTACGGTGTGGATTGAAGCCAAATAGTTTCATTGATTGCGACTAGTACGGGTCATTGCTGGTGCATTTGGCTTCGCTCACAACTTCAGTGTTATCTCTGCAAGACCATTTCCCTGCCCTGAAACCTATCCACCCGTTAGAAGGGTGTGGCCGCCCCCATATTCAGTAGGCTCCCGTCTCCGATTCCTGATGCGATTCCGACATCCAGACCGAACTGAATAGGATTATTTTGACATATGAATTGCCGTTCGTCCTTCCGATTATGTTCGTTTTCCGCCCTCTATCGCTTTCATCTTCTTCCTTCTTCGGTCCCTGTTTTCCAGCCAGCGTATCCCTGGTGCTAGTCCTCAGAATCCGAGCACCATCCCTCCATTCTCCGCCCGTAGAGGGCCGCGGCAGGCCTTAGCGGGCCGCGGGGGCATGCCGGGCCACTAACCGCCTCTGCCGTCGGTACGTAGCCGTTGTTAGAGCCGCGGTCGGTGGGCCGCCGTCTGTCTATCTGTGTGCGCCCAGGCTGTGCTTCATCGGCGCGCGGCACGGTCACTTCCCGATGGCACTCTGCAGCGTCCAGATGCAGCACTACACGCCGGCGCCGGCGCTCGCCTACCTCGTGAGTGGGTCGGGAGGGGGTCGGGGGAATGGTACAACGTGAGAGGACGGGTCACTGTCTAATATCTTGTGAATGGGCCGGGAGTGGGAGACATGGGACAGAACGTACAGCCGAGGTACACCGTGCGAGGGTAGGTCGTGATAGGGGCTATCTCTATCTCTATATCTCTATAGGGGCTATCTCGCTAGCCCCTATCTCGTGATAGGGGCTAGGGAAAGTGCATGGGATGATACACTTTGCAAGGGCAGGCTATTCGGGAAGGGGCATAGCGGTCGAAGCTAAGGGGACTCCTCCAAAGAAGATCGCTGGTGCGTTTGGTTTAGCGTACCGCGGGGCGGCAGCTGCTGATTTTGGGCGGTCAGTAGCCGTGTTTGCCAGACCCAATTGCCATTCGGCTTCAGAACTGACAATTGGTGATTGGTATTACTACAACAATTAGAGCTTACATAAAAACAGTTGGGCAGGGGCCTTATGAATAAGTTTCGGGTGAGTCTGAGATACTTTAGAACAGAGCAGGGCGGGAGGGAGAACCGACGCTCACAGGTCACCATCGGACGACGGTAAGTACTATAAGTAAGTAGTCTAATAGAGTACAGGTAAGAGGGTCGACCGGTGAATTGTTAGCCGCTGAGCGGACGCATTATGGTGGGACTGCTTGTTTTTTTGTGACGGTTGACTTTCGCAAAGGGTGGATGCTTATGGAGGGCCAGCACTAACAAAGTTGGTGCAGCAGTGATAAGTATTTGGCGAGTCGCCTTCTGTCACCATGCGAATCGTCAGCATCGCAGACTCACACATCATCGACCTCTCAAAAGCCTTGCTTTGGAAGTCTACCCGTGAGCTGCGACATATTCGCGTTTTAGCAATCAGCTTGATTACCTTCAGCATTATTGTTCGGCCACCAATCCTGACTGGATTTGTAGCATACTGGGCTCGGCGGCCGAGGGCGCCTGCTTCCGCGTAACCTCTGCGCCGTCTGACACACGCCCGTCTAACCCTCCCCCGCCGACGGCAGGGCCTGCTGTCACTGGTGTACCTGTGCACCAGTGACATCTTCGCGCTCATCAACTACGCCAGCTTCATCGAGTCTTCGTTCATCCTGTGCTCGATATGCGGCCTGCTCTACCTGAGGTGGAAGGATCCGCACCGGGAGCGGCCCATCAAGGTAGGTGGCGCTACTAGGGGGCGAGTTTTAGACTATAGTTCGTTTTTTTTTAAGTTCGACCCTCACTGTAAACATCTTTTTGGAAACAGCACGAGAATTGCTAGCTGAATTACTGAGAAAACTGGTTAGCGCACTTTGTATTGGAGCTTTGAATTAATATTTTCAAAATAAGTTTCTAACACCGATGATATACTGTTACGTTAAACGCCGCGCGATTTTTTAATTAGTTCACTTATACTTCCTGACAAGTCCTCGATCCTTGTGGGGCTGCAAATACCGAGCTGCGAGTCTGGGAAAAAGGAGCCAGGTAGAAATAATTTTGATACAATTGATCGTCTGCGAAATCATTGTGCGCCAACGAGTTTTCTCAGTAATTCAGCTATCAATTCTCGTGCTGTGTTCAAAGAGATGTTTACAGTGAGGGTCGAACTTAGAAAAAAACGAACTATAGCAGCCCCTCCGGGTAGGTAGAGCTACCATGGGGTGAGCTTTATCCCCCCCAGCTGGTAGGTGAAGGTACTAGGGGGTGAGTTTTAGCCTATCCGGGGAGTGCAGTGCTACAGGAGAGGGTCAACTTAAGCCGATTCCGTTAGGTGGCGGTATTGGGGAGTGAGCTCTAGAGTGGCCCATCCGGGTAGGTGGCACTACGAGGGGTGATCTTTAGAGTGGAGCATCCCGTTAGGTGGCGCTACCGGGATGAAGATGTTATGATGTCTAACTGAGTAGGTAACGTTACCAGGCGAGAGCTTGGCACTGTGAGACATCTGAGAAAGGAGCGCTCGACGGCCGGAGGTCGGACATCAAATGCGGTCTTTTTTTGCGGAAAGGGTCATTCATTTTGGAGGTATGGCAACTGGGAAGCCTCGTTTGGACGCCTTTTTTTAGCGAAATAGCTGTTGCTAGTTCCTTGCTAGGTGGGTGGTGGAGATTATTGTCTGGTCCAACCATTCCCCAGTCGATCTGAATGGCCGGCCGATTAACTCCAACGAATTGTCACTGCTCTAATGACTTGGAGTGTTGACCGGCGTGCGTGCCTCTGCAGGTGAACATCCTCGTACCGGTGGTGTTCCTGCTCATCTGCGGCTTCCTCGTCTTCATGCCGCTCTACGTGAAGCCCGTGGAAGTCGGCATGGGCATCCTCATCACGTTCACCGGCGTGCCCGCCTACCTGGTGTTCGTCTACTGGAAGAAAAAGCCGGCGTGGGCGCTCCGGGCCATTGGTGAGAGGGGGACAGGCTTCTCAGAGGAGGGACAGAGGGCAATCATGTGTGTCCTCAGTCCCGCGGACATACATGATTGCAACAATCTCAGGTTTCCGCTTGCTTCCCACTGAGATTCCTTGCGTGCATTTGGCATCCGGATAATCAGGGATAATTTCCCGGGATCGCCGGGATCATTCGGTGTTCTAGGCCGACACCGTGCACAACGGACATATCGAGAGCCATTAAATAAGTAAAAACTATCTAAAAATGGGACTTATTGCATCGATGGTTCCTAGTTCCTACAATACCAAATAATAACCGGTGATCCCGGATAATTTATCCCCCATTTTTCAGCTGCCGAACGCAGGGATTATAGCAGGGCTAAATTATAATATGAAAAATAATCCTGCTTGCTATAATGTCTGGTATTTGTGTTACTAATAAACAAGATTGGACGATTCTGTTCATTCTTGATGTCTGATGTTCTGCTACAGACTGCCGATGTCGTGTGACGTGGGCATTATAGCGCCAGTACTGACACGTTATCGCCTGCCGTTGCAGCCCGGTTCAACGTGTTCACCCAGAAGCTGTTCCTGGCCGTGAAGGAGGAGTAGACGACCGGCCGGTCCGCGGGCCCGTTCCACACTGACCGTCTCTGGTCCACCCAGCGCCGGAGACGGGCGGGCGGCAGCAGGCTGACTCTCAGCTGGTGAGCGGGCCCGGTGACAACTTCGGCTGGTCCCAGAAAAAGGGGGCGACCACTGTGATGGACCGGAGTGTGGCACCAGCGGATATGCGGCCTGCTATACCAGCGATGGATATACAGAGCATGGAGAGACGACGGGAAACCCCGGGTCGCGCTCGGGCTCATGTAACGGTCGGTACTCGGTCTCACGACTGGACACGATGGTGAAGGTCCGAGACGAGGCCGTAGTGACATCTGCTGGCGAACTGAGCCTGCATGTGACGGCGATGGAACATGTCGGCTTCGCAGGGTAGCCAAGCGGTCATTGAGCGGCAATGCCAGCGGATGGCTCGGTACCGTGAGTCAAAGCCTTGTTTCCAAGCTGGAGTGCCAGGGTCTATGTCGTATCCCGCCGACAGCTCGCGGCGGCCAGCACTCAGTGCTGTGTTCATCCAAGTCGACCGGTCGCTGGGCACACGGCTGGACTCAGTGGATGGGGAGCGGTAGAGACACGGGCGACCAGTGGACGTTTTGTACAGCTGTGTGAGTGCTGCGCGTCATGGGCGTGATGCGTGTGTCAGTGAGCGGAACTGCTGAGTGTGCACGTTTTGTTTTTAGAACGATGTGCGTGAGCGAATTGACTGGGCTACATGTGGATGGAAATAGCCGTCTATTTATCTCCGTCTATTTTGGTGGACATGAGTTGATGGTCTTTATGTACAGAGGGGCATTATCCATGACTAACGACGGCATTGTTCGTCCGATGAGAATTTGTCTCGGCGGTGTAGCGATTGGCTCAGTTTGTGATTACGCGGCTGCGGTATCTCTGACTGATGCTGGGGCAGCTCTGGCAGGGGCTGCGACAGCGCTCGCCGAGGCTCGGCGGCGTATCACTGGCTCAGTTTGTGATCAGGTGGCTGATGTGCCCCGGGACGATGCCGGGGCAGCTCTGGCAGACGCTGCGGTATCTCGGACTGGCGCTGTAGCAGTTCAGACCGAGACTAGGCGCGGCCTGACAAGCAGCGACGCGCCTGTTTGTGTTGTTCCTGGCTACTTCTGGGACGTCCGCCTTCGGCAATACATATGACATTGACAACGATGCCTTTAACAGTAGAAAGGGTACCGGGCGAATATATGCCGCCTGGTGATATACGAGCGAGAAAGTTCCCCACGGTTGGCTTCCGTTTTCAGTGTCAAGTTCATAAATCCATTTGAGATCAACGCGGTTCCGCTGGAACGTCTTGGTGAGTCTGTGAAACGCTGCGAATCACGCGAGAGAAACGGGAAGTTCACCACATTATTTATTGCGCTTCGAAAAGGCATGCTGACTATTTCAGGTGGCTGGCACGACTTGGTATGGCATTTACAAACTGTACAAGGCACGATTCAATAGGCCACAAACTGATCATCACGACTGTGAACACATTCAATTGTAAACATTGTGCCAGAAGTGGTCGGATATGCCCATATGTGCATAGCGGTGCACAGCCGCGGGTGAACCGTACACACTGACGAGACCCACCATTGATGTGATGTGCATAGAATCGAACAGCATACCATCTGACTGCGCTCATACGGAGCACCCCACGGCGTCTACGTATATCACAAAGATCACAAAAACAGCCTACACAACGATTCACACGACGCGCTTCTTCGTTATATAAGCTCGGTCGGCAGCACATCACATACACCGCACAGTGGACGCTTTCCTCAAAATCCGTAAATGACGGGTATCGTTTAAAAGGACGTACCACATCCCGCCCTAGTCTAAATTGGGGAGCTGTTAGAGACAGCCGAAGTCTGAGCTTGTTCGTGCGTTATGTGGATAGAAAGAACCAGAGGATTAGGTAAGGGATATCGAAGGAGTTCGTCTCACGAAAATATCTTATATAGGAAGTGCGTACAAGGACAGTTCTCTGATATGTACATTGTACGGCCCTCCAGGTATTAAGTGGTTGGTTGCCAACATTTACATCACAATAATCGATCTGCATTGATGAATAGGTCCAATGGCTGTTGAAAACCATTGTCGAAATGTGTGCACGAACCCTCTTCTCATTTCTATTGAGTCATTTTACAGGAGTGTCTCTGTCATTTGAAGTTATTACACCAAAAGCACATAGGCTAACCAACCACTCTTTTGCTGGAGGGCCGTACATCAACATCATGCATAACATTCGGCAATGAACTCACCCACCGGCCACCACTGATCCCAACTCTACATTGGTCACATCGCGTAGGCTGACCAACGGCAAAATGCTTTCTCAACTCGCATGACTGTCTTGATATACACACTACAATGACGAGTCAAGATCACTCCCCAAGGTCCCAACCCCAGACAGCCAATGCATCAGACTTGGTCAAAACTCTGTCTAAAATGCACCATCGCAGTGCAAGCTATTGCTAAATGAGTACCAAGCGCAGAATGTCAAGCGCAAGAGCGATGTCTAGGATATGTTAGACATCACGCACTTGCATTCTGCACATACGAGTATACACAAAACCGTGCGTACAAACATCAGGCACACACCATGCATGCTAGACTGGGACGGCAGGTAGGAGGCCACGGTTGGACTAACTTGGACTAACGGAAGGCACCGGCTGGTCCTGGACACGACATGCACCTCCGGCCGGATAGTTCAACACCCGGTAAATCCCGGACAGGTATCAATGGAGGGTTTGACTGAGCAGTGGTACTCGCGGCTCGACAGGTAGACAACCCAATATAGTTGTCACACTGAATACAATCAAATAATAATGCCCATCAGTTGAATGAAAACTTTCCTTGTAGTAGAATCTCCAAAGGACGGGTAATAGAAAATTATGAATCAGAAAACGGCACTTATAGTAATCAGAGCGTCAAAAATGCCGATATAAATGCTGAAATGTTGCAGAGCGGTAAAAGGCTTCAATCTAACCATCAGAGAAATACCTTAATGATTCCCACCAGTGTCCGTAATCGTATTCACAATCACGGGTTAGGGGTAGGAGTAACGGGTAACGGGCTATTTTCTGGCAGTATTCACAATCGAAGTTTACCTCTGATAGTTGCCCGGCTCCACGCAGAGGGCACCACGCAGGCCAGGCGCCGTCTGCGTAACGCCGGACGACCATCAGAGGTAAACTTCGATTGTGAATACGGCATCAAAAATAGCTCGTTACCCGTTGCTCCTACCCCTACCCCTTAACCCTTGATTGTGAATACGGCCACAGTTGTCATTCTTTTTCTACCAGTGGGCTATCGGACTACTGAGATCTGTCCGTTAGCGTTCTCATGATACAGCAAATCTATCTCTGATACCCTCACATCCCTGTGATACCCTCATGATGTGCACCCCTCACATCCATTCCCCGTCACTACCGGCCGTTGCGGCTAAGAGTACCGACCCCTGCCCACGCTCCATTCCCCGTATCTCTGACTGACCATGTGTGAATCCTCTTTTGCACCCTCCGCCACTCAGCGCCCGCCCACCGGCAGAGGCAGCGGCGGCTCAGCGTGGTGCGTCCCGTTCGTCTTGGCCGGAGGGTCGCCTCGCAGAGTGGCGTCGCGAATCTGCTTGTAGCTCACAAACAGCGGCGCGTTGACCAGACGAGTCTTGAAGCGGACGGCGGCGCCCTCGAAGGCGGTGGCCTGCGCGGCCGCCTCTGCGCCACAGTCGATGTACAGGTGGACGGCGGCCACCAGCGGGTTCAGCTGCGGCGGCCGCTCGTCGGGCGTGGTCCAGGCGCCGGCCGACACCGGGTCGGCCACCGCCTCGGGACGCACCAGCCGCACCGCGCCGCGCACCGTCCGCTCGCTCAGCAGCGACGTCTTGCTGCTGAGAGTCAGCTCCGGCGGCTTGTGCGCGTACGGACCGTCCTTGGCGTCCGTGCAGAACCACTGAAAACAGATAACCACCGGTCAGTTAAGACGATATTCGACGCTGATGACTGCAGCAGCGTGATGAACAATGGCGATGGAAATGATTGTTGACTGGTTGCAGATATTGCCCAGAAGAGCACGGTGAAACAGCGCATTTTTCGACTGAATCGATATACTGGACGATAAATTTGCGCATACGAAAATTCATCCCTCCCAAGCCCCGTCGACAGCAACTGAACGCTCCTAGGAATCGATGCTGTCGCTTTGCCGTGACTCACCTCCTGTGAGAGGCTGAAGGAGGCGGCGCCGGGCCGCCTCATCTGCTCCTCGGTGGCGCGCACCATCTCCTGAATGGTGTCGTGTCGCCGGGGTACCACCAGCTGCGTCACGTTCAGCGCCAGCACGTGCTCCACGCGGCCCGAGGTGCGCACCATGCAGTCGCGGCGCAGCAGGTCGGTGGCCGTCCGCTGCGCCACCGGCGTCTCCAGCCGCAGCGGAAAGTCCCAGCGCACCAGCCGGGTGGGCAGTGCGCCGGCGGCGCGCAGCAGCAGCTGGCTGACGGCGCGGCCCGGCGCCGGCTCGTACACCCAGAGCCGCGACAGGCCGATGGCCGCGTGGAAGGCGGCGAACTCGGCCAGCCGGTCCACGTCGCCGGACGCCCAGTCGGAGGGGATCAGACAGGCGCCCAGCTGTCCGCGCGGCCCGGGCCAGTCGCGCCGGCCCACCGCTGACACCGCCGGCTGGCGGCCGGCCGCCGAGCGCGCCCGGTAACCCACCGCGTACGGCGCCCGGTAGCCGTCGAACGCGCACACCAGCCGCCAGCCGGCGAACGGCGCGTCCGGCTCGGCCGGCAGCCGCTGCAGGGAGACGGTGCCGGCGGCGGCGCCGGCGCCCTCCACCCACACCCAGCAGGAGAGCTGGTCGGCCGTCGGCTGGCCGATCGCCGCCGCCAGCGTCACCACGCCGGAGCCGTGCGACACGTACGACGAGAATATGAAGAGTGTGGGCGTGACCTGCTGCCAGCTGTCGCCGTCCCAGGCCAGGTCGTCGGTGGGCGGCGCCACTGTGGCCGAGCTCGGACTGCCGAATGTGTCCAGCACCTGTTGAAAATGCATACACAGTTTTTAAAGAGTGTAACTGAATTGATAGCTACTAAACATAACACTTCTAATTTCATGCATGCATGCATACAGAAACTGGGATTAGTAAATGGATGTAGTGCACAGTGCATAAAACTGACTGCTTTGTGTCCAGTTTATATAATTGCCTTGTGCTGTTAACCAGAGCTTTAAGGTTGACTGTTTTGAGCATTGCTGCCATTTTTGCTAATTAAATTTTAGGCTACTGTAATAGGCATCTTTCACAACTAGATGCTGCTCATATGAGCTTCAAGGACAGTAATAAGTTGTAGGTACATATCTGGCTTTGATTTGTGATCATAGTAATAACTTCATTTGCTTTTTGTTATTATTTTTTAAGAGAAGCCTTTTCACTTTGACATGCAACAAAGTTTGAATATGGGTATATTGCCCAAACAAAATTGACTTACTACTGCTTTGTGTAGTGCTCAATAAGGGTCAAATAAATAATTGATCAGAGAATGTAACATTTAAAACCTCCAACAGCACAGCTATCATAGTGATATAGATGTGAAGGTAAGCTTATGCAACATGTTGCATGCATCAAAGCAGCTGGGATGCAGTTCATCAACTACAAAAATTGTAACTAACCTGAAGGACACTTAGCAGTCGATCATACTGGTGTTTATAAAACAGAAAGAACCCAGCACTAACGACTGCGGTAGCAACCAACAGAAGCTTCCAATATTTCCGCATCTTGATCAATGATCAGTAGGTTGTAGGTCAAGGTACCTTCAATGACTGCTGCTCTACTTGACCTGCAAAATATGGGAAAGTAAAATCAACTAAGGAAATGATTCCACATAGGTATAGCATAACTAGTAGGTAAAACATTTCCATTTGTGGCAAAACACTGCGAATGAACATCAATTTTGTAAAATGTATAATCATACCTACTTTACATGCTACTAAAACATCACAATCACCAAACTTATGTACCAATAGGTACATTTGACGTCACATCAAGATGATTTAAAGTATGCCGAAAAGTATCTCGCATAATAGCTAAGAAGCTGCTGAAATAAATACATAATTCATTGTTGTTGGTGATGGAAATACATAATTCATAAAAATATCCTAACCAACATGTCGCTCAACCACTCCACTTGTGCATTACTTGGCCTTGTAAGTTAACCAAAAATAACAAAATGTGCTCATTCGTCATGACTAGGCGTTGGACCAGCCAGTTGTTATGGAAACCAGCTGCAAGGAAAAAAATATGGCCAGTTGAAAATCTTAAAGGCCCCGTTGCTAGGCAACTAGTGAGATTTCAGGCAAGCGCTGAACATAATGAATGTCCTACCTGCGCCATTAATGGCTAAGTTTTGGGCAAGGCTTTTGGAGGGCGGAGCGCTTAGGTATTTTGGGAGCGCTGTCGCCGTCGTCGGTTGTTGTCTGTAGAGTTTGATGAGAGATTTGTTGAATTTATTGAATTTGGTTGCAGGTAGGTCACAGTTTTAAGATGTTTTTTTACAGGTTTACGTCATTGAAGCTGTGACATTACATTTGTAATGTAATAACCCAATATCACGAGCCCTATCTATGTTCCAAGCTGCAAAACATGGCAATTTTGATGAGATCTTGTCGATGCTGGAGCACCCAGCCAGTGCTTGAAGCTGTGTGGATCAACTATTGCATTACCATTGCATTACCATTGATTGTTCACTGTTCAGTGTGGATTTTTTCGAGCTGGAGTACCGAGTGGGATCCTAGGGCCTGTTCCAGCGCCTCCAGAAACCTCCAGAAACCTCCAGAAAGCTCTAGAATCCTCCAGAGAGCGTTCCAGCGCCTCCAGAAAGCTCCAGAAAGCTCTCGCCAAAGCTCCAGAAACCTCCAGTAGCCTCCAGAGAGTTGAGAGGTTCAAATTTCTCTGGAGGCTCTGGTCTACAATTATGGCGCACATGTGACAACCATGAATGTAAACAAAGGACTTTTGACTGATTGTTTTACAACTTGAATGTAAATAAAATTACATTGCTATAATTTTGTTAATCTTTCTTAATAAAATTAAAAAGAAATTTTGCGTTTCAAGAGTGAACAATCGTCATTCTTTTGGTATCTGCGATGCCAATCTCCAGAAATCTCCAGATTGCGTTCCAGCGCCTCCAGTGAAACCTCTGGTAGAGCCTCCAGTCAAGAATTTCTACTGGAGGCGCTGGAACAGGCCCCTAATCCCCAGCCTCTATCTTCCAAGAAGGTTGTGCTTTAGCCTAATTGATATATGTGATTGCTTGTTCAATTGAAGTGGAATATTAAAAAACATGTAAATTTACAGCTTTGGGTGGATCTTTTTGATTTTGGGATCTTGATGATTTAATTATTGGTCATACAGGCTTCTTGCTTTACTGAGTCCAGCATGGTCCTCAATTGAAATATTACCTTGGTTTGATGCTGTACTAGTTTCTGTACTAAGCTAGAATAATTTAAGAGTGGCTAAGCTATGAGGTATGTTAAGCTTTGAAATGTAGAAGGCCTATACATCATTGATTTCTGATAGAACATTGATAAAGTGTAGCAGTAATGCCCTATGCTTCTACTCTGCAGTGTGCAGTCCTACTATTAGAGAATTGAAAGACATTTTTGCCTTGTGTGTCCATTTTTTATCCCCATTTGCAATTCGATTTGGACAATATCACAAACTGGTTCTTTCTGGCTGGCAGGCCAAAATACTGTATGTTTCTTCAGTTGTACTAAAATTGTACAGTTGTAAAGTTGCACAGTTGCAGTTGTAGTAAAGTTGGCACTGCTCAAATGGCAATTCCTCTTTTTATTTTACTGGTTGGGACATAAGACCACATCCTTCTGCCCACCCCACAGAAGCTCATCCAGGTCTATGGCACTGCTGCAAAAATAGATGCTCAATTTTCAGTGACAGCTTTTCTATGTGGAGCACCACACCACCTGCATGCTACACTGTAGAATGCCTACATGAGGTGGAATGGGTGTGCATTTTTAGTGAATCAATAATGAGACTGGCTCTACAGACTACTCAGCATCATTGTATGCAGTAAGAGAGTCATCTTTGGTGTTGCAGACTCTGGAAAATAAGATGGGCCCAACATTTAACCAACTGCAGTCTGCCAAAGCCATTGATATGTGGTCAAACGTCCAGGCCATTCTCACTCATCTGCAGGTCGGGAATCGTGTGGAAGGGGTGATGTGTAGAGGGGCTGGGTTCTTACTCCATGTTGAAATTGGAAAAGGTTTTTGCCTTATTAGTTAGGTAAAGACCTATAGGTATATCTTTTGTTCTAATGCAAAATAAAATTAATCATTACTGCGGTCAAGGCGATCTCCAGTGTTCAGAACGAGCAGAACGTTTGTCGTCCAGTGTCGGGATATCTGTCATCCAGTGTCTGGAAGTTGGTGTCGTCCAGTGTCTGGATATCTGCTGTCCGGCCATCCGGCGTTTTGAACTTCTACTGCCCGTGCCTGGTGCTCGGACATTATCCGTTGTTTGGACATTTGCTGTCCAGTGTTAGTATTGAGACGTTTGTCATCCGGTGTCAGAAGTCAGAACGTCTGCTGTCCGTTGTAGGCCGTATGTTATCCGGTGTCCGGCTTTCCGCTGTCCGTTGCCTGCACGTCCACTGTCTGGTGTCCGTAGGTCCTCTGTCCACTGTCTGGACGCCCGCTGTCTGGACACCCGCTGTCTGGACACCCGCTGTCTGGTGTCCGTAGGTCCTCTGTCCGCTGTCTGGACGCCCGCTGTCTGGACGCCCGCTGTGTGGACACCCGCTGTCTGGTGTCCGGAGCAGTGTCCCATGGCCGTTGTGCGCGGTATGCGGCGCGCCGCTGCGCTCGCCGGCAGGCCGCCCTCGGCTCCGTCTGGCCAGTGTCAGCCGTGTGTGACAGGGCGGCAAACAGCCGGCTCACGCTGCCCGTCGGCGACACACGCGGCTCCGACCGGCACGACACGGCGCGGGACTAAACGCGGCTCCGACCCGCGAGTCGGCCGGCCAGTGGGTGTCGACTGGTCAGGCTCGCTCCGATCTGATATGGCACACGGGATCTTCCACTTCCATTGATAGCCGGATGACTGGAGTAATCGCTGCTGCTGGAGTGGGAACGTTTTCTAGCTGCATTTAACTCGTGCGCCGCTTACGAACGCACTCGCATAGGTACGCAGAATCCCTGTTATGTGTCGTGCTTCAAGCAGCTTGTGTCTCCAGCTCAAGGATTGACATAGGTAGTGGTTAGGGATCTAACCCGAGGTAGTGTTGTCATACTGGTAATCGGTCACTGAGAGGTGATGCTATTCCGGTCCCAGCGGTAATCGGTCGGTCAGTTTGATTCAGCTCCACTCGTGTAACCTGATCACAGATCGGCGCCCACGCGGCCCTGGACTGGGAGTGGGTCAGTGGAGGTCGCTGCTGCCAGGGGGAGGTCAGCCATGCCGCTGTTACCATGCTTTCCGGGTGACATGTTCTGGCGACATCGCGCTGCCTGTTACAAAGTGGAAAATGGTCTATGTATGTTGAGCAGCTCTATCGATTATCCAAAATGAATAATGATATTGAATCGATTATATATCGGTACAAAGTTTGAAAAAAACAAGCTCGTATCAAGCAAGCACAGCTCCAAAGAGCTCGCCGGTCTCAATAGCGAAGCTTGTGTACAATTCTGCCTGTTATTTGTGGCTGGAAGTGGCATTGAATCAATAGCCCTTCCTGGCGCCCCGTGATACGTTTCTCGGGGCTCTGACCCGGGTACCGTCCGGCTCCGAGAATCCTCTCACTTTGTTCTCCGAGTGGCGGCGACTGCAGGCCAAAACCAATAGTCGGTGCCGAGCGCCGCGGCGGCGGCGGCGGCGGGTATTTTGGGCGCCACCTTGGCCGGTTACCTGTTGCCGATCCGTCCGTCGGTACCACGTCCCCCGGCCCGGCCGGTGAGTCGACGCCGATGAGCCACCGCCGCTCGCTGGTGGAGCGCCGGACTCGCACGTGGGCCCTTGCCCCAGATGGAAGACCACACCCGGAATCGGAATTATTACTGGGCTGACGATCGTGTCGCGTGTGCCCGTTGGTCTGAGCGTCGGCGTGGGAACGGTATTGGCTCCACTGCAGCAATGTTTACGAGCAGCCGATGTCTGCAACAATCTGAATGCCGAGCTGGCCTAATCCGATGGCGTGCTGGTCGCTGCCCTTTCTTTTCCCATGGCGAGTAAGGTGCGTTCCAGCGTGACCGTAAAATCGCTGCCGGCATGTTCCGGGCATTTATTGACGAATTGATCGAATTTATCGCGTAACAAGCGTCTTGGTTTTGAGATAAGCCAGGTTTTGCTCACATTTTTGCTGTGACTGCGTCGTAGGAGAGAATCAAATCCATGACGTGAAAACTTTTGAAATGAAGATTTGTGGGAACATGCTTTACAATTTTGTGTACTATAAAAGCATTGAGGAATAATGGCAGGTCCAGGTGGCATTTTTGGTTTTGATTGTGTGATTGTCCAATCTCTACTCTGTGTGATATGTCACGGCGATTTGCGGCTTCCAAGGTCGTCCATTGACATATTCTGACGTCGTTTGCTGTTCATTGTGTTGATGTCTTCGCCTTTGTCGGGATTGGGGACTGTTCGTCAGTTTGGTGTGGGGCCTGTTGGACGTATGGAGCCCCCCTTTGCGCCCAACAGCCCCCACTGGGCCTATGGGTTAGTTCGGCATCTTAATCTGGCTTCTGCTGACGGATATAGGAAGCTGTGGGTCGGTTTGCTGCGGGATGGCGGTGATGGGTTTGGGGACCTGAGGGTCCATTTCGTTATGGGAAGGCGCTGGCGTGCAGTGGGAGTTCAGGATCGCCGGCCCCGGTCTCCCATCCGAGCTGTGCGGTACTGAGTCTCTGAGCTCACACCGAGCTGGCTGTGGTCCCCGGCAGACCGCGCACTGCTGTACTGGCCGGAAGGAAGTGCTCCGTCTGGCCATCTGGGCGCCTTCCGCGGCGGCGCCCGGTCCCTGTGTCGGCGGCGCCCGGACCCCTGAGTCGGCCGGCCAGTCGTCCAGCCGCGTCCGTCCGCGCCGGTCAGTACCGCCGCTCCCGACCCGGTGCTCCCCGCCCGTTACGTAACCGCGGCGGCTGTCTGTGCGCCGCTGCTGCCACCTACCGGTGACCGCGGTCAGGTCGGCGAGCGCCGTGACGTGTGCGCTGCGGGGCCGCGCTGTGGGTGTGGGTTCTCGGCGCCGAGTTTGGATTGTGTCGCCTTCTCGTCGGTTGGGTGAGCCGAGATGTGATCGATCACGGGCTTCCTTCTCAGCAGATCGGGTTTTGTGGATTGACATATGATACCTCGGTGGTCTGCTCTGTTTGAACTGATTCAGGTTTTAGTCAGTTTTATTAGCCTATCACTATGAAAGACGGGTGTGTATGGAGTGGGTTTTATATTTATCACGGCACTGCTTTCTGTGTTATTGGTCGTTTACAATTCAAACTACAATTCCATTTGTCATTCCCACTCGGGGACCTGCGAAGGATTTCTACTTATTTACATTTTATTTTTACCCAAAGTTGGTCGGCTGTCATATTTATATGGTGCGGCCTCAGAGCGTAGCGGAGGTGCTTGAACCTCCTAGATGGAGAGGGATAGGTGCCTACCTGTGGGTGTATGGATAGAGATAGGCTTTTCAAGACAGTGCTACTTTTCCTGAACTTTGAGTTCAAGTTCGGTTATCAACGCTGCGCCTGTGTTACGCTTCAAACCCAACCAAAATGCTTTGCCACTCATTCCCCCTGTGTTGCCGATGATCAATGGTACTCTCCTTTTGTTACTGGGGAGCTGTGCCCTCGCATCTGGCCACGGAAGTGGTTCAGCCAATCTGTCTGTGCAGTTGCACGGGCCGTGCAGGGTGAGTGACAGCACGTGCAGCTGCATGGCGCTCGGCTAACGCGATCGAGCAGCCCCCTTATGCTCCCGGTAGCGGACTCGGAGTTGAGCTGAGCGCCGGGGCTCGTCTCAGAAACGAGCTTCGTATATTGAGCAACGATATTTTGAAGTAGCACAAGTAATTTCAACGGCACAGCGCCGGTTCTTATCGGCGCCAGTTATTATTCCTTCCTTGCTGTTGGCGACCTAGATGTAACTGTGTCGACAGCAGCACTCACTAATGTATTTCCGCCCTGGCATTTCGCGAACGTGACCTGGCGTCTCCCTGAAATCATTTCTGTTTGTATCCGGTCATCTATCATGTCTTGGCCTTGCAGGAATGCGGTTTTGATTGAAGACCTGCGAATCGTGATTAGTCCTGTAATACCGTCATTGCTGACGGTGACGATGACTAACAGTGATTGTAGCCGGCCGCTACCTATCGGCCGTGAATCGTCATACCGCTTGGCGCTGACAGGGACGGTAATCCTGACACCTGATCAATCCTGAAACTCCTGACACATGTCACATTGTCCCGATCCTGGCCGCTCCCGTCCACCGATATCGTCAGTGGCTTTGCTCTACGAAATCTGCGTTAGCTGCTCGCATCTTAAAGGGACCCTCCCACCTTTAAAAAAGTTTATGAATTGGCATGAAAGTGATGTCGCTCGGTTCAGAAAGAGCGAAAACGAATATCTACCAAATTTCACCGAAAAATATTCACCGGGTTTCAAGATATTAGACTTTTACTTTTGTTTACTTTTTGGGATCTCCGCTGTTCCTAGCGACTTTATTTAAAAGTGCGGCATTTGTTGCGCGCAACGCAGCATATACCACCGCGTGCTACAAAACGTTTTAGTCAAACATTTAACGGACGTTCGAAAGCCTGATGACGTCATCAGATTTAAGTGCCTATACCAATACATTGTGGCACTTATTTGCACAGATGTCAAAATCAAACTCAAATTTCTTTGCGATGAAGTAATTGCTGGAGAAACGGTTTTCACGGCACTGATTTTCAAAGAACGTCCATCAAGATGGCTATTTCAACTCAAATCTAATGTTAAGGTGGGACAGTCCCTTTAAATGCATCTTATTTACCCCCCCCCCCCCTCGCATCATCAACACAGACTGATCATGATCTGACCGTCCATGACCGTCCGATGATATTCGTAATCCATTGGGAGTGTCGCCCTCCGTTTCACTGGGGAAGGCTGAGCCGACTGTGCAGTGTGGAGTAGTGGAGAGGTGCCGTTTTGGGAGCTAACGTGGCCTCAGGGGTCTCACGTATGGCGAGATGCGGATGTGAGAGGGATGGGTCTTCCGGTTCTGTGCTTCCGTTTTTGATAAGTGTCGCCAAGCTACTGTTACCATTATGACCAGATGTCATACCCTGCTCTATAGTCTATTACGGGATGAGAAACGAGTGGATTCTTCGCTTTGACACAACCAGTTTCCTTGACGAAACGCCGACGTATGGATCTGGAACGGGTTGACCTGATTGCACAATTTATCACAGGTGGTGTCCATTTGTCATTGTTGCGCGACTACCCGTGATGGGGCTATCACCCCGAAGGATCAATCACTAGCTGGCCCGTGGTCTGTCAACTGAGAGCTGTGTAGTGTGTGTGGGCTACCGCCGACCGGCGCGTCAGCGACCGACTCCAGTCCGACCCACGCGCTCCATACCCCCGCTATAAATACGATCGGCTTTCGGTGCCGGCTCGGCCCGCTGGGATGCCAATGTAAGCGGCGCGGCTCGGCGCCGTGGCAGTGTGGGGCCGGCGCTGGGACCGGCCGGCCGTGGGACTGACGCCGCCTCGTTCCAGCCAGGTCGTGATGGAGTAGCGGCTCGACCGGCGCGCACACACCACCCACACGCGAGCCAGGCGGCGCACAGTGAGGGACGGCGCAGTGGACGGAGCGCGCACGCGGCGGCAGTGACCCACACCGGCAGACATGGCCCGCTGGGTGCGGATCGCCGTGGTGGCCGTCGTGCTCGTGCTGCTCGTGCAAGGTGAGTACCCGCCTCTGAGGGAACCGGGGTCTGTGGTATCCGACAGGCGGATCGCTCCTCGATGAGTCTGCTGTGGTCTGTGACTCCGCTCTGTCCCGTACCGGGTGGCGTCAGACTGTTCTGCAAACTGGTGTGTGCACTGTTCCTCGGTAACTGTCCGGTAGACGAGACGCTTATTGACATTAGCATAAGTGATTCGTCGGATGTTCTTGTTTGTGCAGTCGTTCAGTTCCGTTTCTTGTTTCTGTTTGTTGCCTTTGTCAGTCCGGTGTCAACTGTCGGTCGGACGTCGCTTACTCAAGGTACGATGTCACTAGCTGTGACAGACGCAACCTATAATCCAGATTTATTACGTCCGCTTTTGTTATTCCTGATCAATTATTCCCTTTGTTCATTTGTGTCCTTCATCTTACATAGATGGACACTCATCTTGTTTAATTGCGAATAACGTTTTGCTCATATATCTCCTTGGCTCGCCGTTCTCAAATTACGCATTTATGTCTTACATGTCTGTCGAATCTGAATTTTCTGTCCGTTTTCTGTCCGTTTGAATAGAGCAAGAGAGACACGTCCTGCGTCCTTGCAGTGATGAGTGTGTCTGTCCGTCCGTGCGCCTGTATGTTTTGTGGCACATCTGCCGTCCCCCTCTCCCTCCCTTCCCCTCCTCGTCCCCTCTGTGGTCGCCGCTACTCCCAGACACAGCTCCCGGGCCCTGAGTACCCTCACAGACCGGCGAGTGAAGAAGCTGCTCTGTTCGGCCCCCACCGGCCGCCGAGAGGGGAGAGGCGGGTCAGGTGTCGGCAGGACCGCACACGACGACACTGGGGGAGAGGGGCATCGGGATCGACGGGGAATATCTCCCCTTTGGAGAGGAGAGGAAGAAGTGGTAAAGGCGATTCAAGTCATCGCGGACTTTGCACGCAGAGTGCTAACGGGCTGTGGGGCATGTCAGCTCAGCGTTGCGTTCCATCGTATACAAGCCGTCCGTCAATGGCGTTGTTACGTTAGCTCTCTTCCTGGCGGGACCAGGGGGGGGGGGGAGACTTTGTTGTTTATCTTGCTTACGGACCGCCCAGACCGACCATCACGCTCTGTCGTCAACTCGCTAACCGGTAGAATGAGTCATTCATTGATTACGATTCCATCTGGATGACGATTTGTCCGATCTGAGGATGCGTGGTCCAGAGAGGGCCAGTGGCAGTCACAGGTGGTCACCGGCCCGCTTCAGGTGGTCTGTCCTTCTCACGGCCGCGGACCGCCTCTCTCGCCCTATCTCTTCACACTCCGGACACTGGGGCCGGCCAGGGACGCGGGCAGACGACCGCGGAAGTGGTCTGCACGTGCGCCGGTTGCAGGCCGGACAGCGGCGCGGGCGGTGGCCAGATAGGGCCGGCGGCTGACCGGGCGGCCGCCCGCGGCCCGCCGCCCCCGTTATCTGGGTCACGCCGCCGCCGCCGCCGCCGCCTCCTCCGCCCGGAGCGGGCGGGCGGCACGGGTCGGCAGCGCAGCGGCTCCAGCACCAATATGCGGCACCTATCTAATCGGCCGGCGACACCTGGTCGAACGGTGTGCGGTGCAGCAGTCGCCGCCGTCCTCCCGCCTCCCACCCACCGCTCAGTCACGGCGGTGTGGCAGTGTGACGGGCCCTGTCCTCCCGGCGGCGTCTGGACGGTCGCACCAGACCGCCGGAACCAGACGGCTCTGTGTGGACGTCACCGCTCGCCAGGGACGTGAACTGTGCCCGCCGGGCGACGGGCTGCGACTGACCGGCGAGCTCGTTAAATAAATAGACGAGTCAATGAACGAGTGACGGGGTGTGTAAATGAATGAAGCTGCAAGTGAATGAATATGCAGATTCGTCTTTTAGATGCTTGAATCGTTTGTTCATTGCTACCTGTTGAGTGTGGCCGCGCTGTTGAGAAATCTCATCACGCCTGTCGTGCGGCGCTGTTCCTTTCCTCTGTGCCGGCTGGGCTGGGGCGGAGCCGAGCTGACCGGCGCGGCGCCCGGCGCGCGGCTCGGCCGCATTACCAGCTCTCTCGCCGGTCCCGTGCGGAGCGCCGCTCTCTCGCCCGCCGTGCGTGCGTGTGCGTAACGCCCGGGCCGACCGGCCGGCGGGCGGCTGACGGGGCTGCAGCGCGGCGGCGGCCGGTCTCGAGCGGCGGTGTCGGGTAGCACAGAGCCGCCGCCGCCGCCGCCGCCGGAGCGGTCGCCAGAGACCGGACGGTCCTCTGCGCAGGCGGCAGCAGGCACGGGCAGAGGTCACTGGTCGGAGTGCGATTCGCCGCACTGACATATGGAGTACGCACATGCGTTCACTCAAACACGGACGCGTGGATGGCTGCCGAACTGCGTAGTTGGCCGCGTACTGCTTCCGCCCCAAAGTCCCTCTACTGACGGACGGTTCAATGAATCATCCAACGACCCAGGAGAGGGCATGCGAACAGGGGTGCATGCAGTGCTTCGTATTCCGTTTGTGTGAGGATTCGCCTTGCGACGAGGTCACAGGATTGTCCTGTAATCCTCTATCTTTTAGTGCATTGTTCATCATGCAGCGTGCTGGCACTGGGCAGTGGGCACCTCTCAGCCGGCCTTGGGCGCTTCTCCGTCGGTCTGTTCGTCTGAGTCCGTCTGTCGATCGCTCCTGACTGGTGACCCCCAGCAGGTTGCCGCGAGCCGCCCTCCACCCAGGCGGCTGCAGGTCGTCGGGCGACCCAGCTGCAGAGATAAACTCAATGCACTGGCACATTTGTCCAGTCATTGCTTGAATTCACCCTGTCACGGCGGTAAAAATTCGGCCCTTGACCAGTCTTCTGATGTGCTGTCAACTGCCGGTCTCGGCCTGGGAGTGTGGTGGGCGGTCCTACACTGTTCTTATCGGTCGAATCGGTGTGAATTGTGGGTGGCTGCTCGATGTGTTGTACCGTGCGTGTGACGGCCATTCCCCGCTGGGTCACGGCTGCCCCGGGTGTCAGCGGTCGGCCGGGTCACGGTGAAAGGCAGAGACAGCGGGAGCTCCCACTGACCGGTGTCACGACCGCGGTCCGTATTAGCCGTGAAATCGGCCCCGCCACTGCGTGATACCGACGTGAGAACCGCTGAGTGGGGCAGCGGTGACTCGGCACCGGCACACGGTCAGGGGTGTGGGCCTTAGGCCGTAATTCTTTGTGCTCTCAGATTTAATGGACATTTAATTTCTCACTTACTTTCCCTCTCACTGTAAGCGTGTGCCTTTTGCAGCCCGCCATTTACGTAGCTTCGACTTGGGTGGGCCTGCAAGCCACCCTTTCCCTACACCCGCCTGTGGCGAACACTCCTTTCATCTGCTTGGTGGGTGATTGCCGCAGGTCAGGAGAATGGGAGCTCGGTGTGATTACCAGGAATACCAGACAGTATGTTCAGTACACCAACCGGCCACGGAACGGCGGCCCGACGAAGGAGAGTTGCGCGTAACATGCAGCTTTCCGAGAGGGAACGGTGCGGGAACCGCAGGCCACCCATGGGGCTTCAGCGGGCATGCTGCATTTTGTCGGTGGTGGAAGAACTCAGACCGGTCCCAGCGGTGATCTGTTATGGTGTTATAACCGCGATGGGTCGCGCGAACAGCCTATACGCGCTTGCATTAGGCGGTTCCTCGACTACCGTTCCACGTTTGCTTCAACCCAGGGTGTTGACGTGCCCACTTTTCGCCTAATGACGGGTCTTTATCAGTGCACTGGCGCTGCTCTATGTCGTTATCAGTGAGCCCAGCCTTCAGATACAATGTGGATGGAATCAATCACCGATTGATGCAACACTAGGTCCAAGTGGCATAGGGGACGACCGGTCTGGTTTAGAACTCTAGTTCCCTGTGTGGCACGGACCGGTGAATCCCTGACAGTCTGTTTATCCGCCCGAGGAGCACCCTGTCCCCTCCCCCAGGGTCGGGGCGCCGCCGGCAGTGTGCTGTCTGACTCAGAACTGGGCGGCTGATGTCAGACAACAGGTGACTGAGTCCCTGAGGTCACCCGGGGCCAGTGAGGTCGGCCCGTGCTGGCACTCCACAGTTGTCTTTGTGGAACTGCTCCGCCGGAATCTCCCACGAGCAATGGGGAATTTCCGGGCATGCGGGCTGTTTCTGGCTGAGGGTTTTGGGAGAGACTGTGTTGTAACTCAAGGTGCCTATAGGGATTGATGGGTGTCTATAAGGCACTGCCGAATCTTCTTGCTGGATAGTCAGAGCGGCGAAATGAATTATAATATTGACGATCGATTATATGCCGGTTAGCGTTTTGTAGAACCCGTTTAGTTGCGTAGTCCAGCATCGGCCGATTGATTGCGGTCTGCGCTGAGCTGTCCCAGTGACCGGCACAGCTCCGTCACCCGGTCATCGCCCGGCCGTGTGAGCAGAGGTCGGCGGGCCCAGTTTCCGACCGGTGCCCGCGGCACACCGGCTCCCGTTCAGCGCCCGCCACCCGCGGCTGGCACCCTCCCAAACGGTCTGAATCACCGGCCGATCCTGGCCCGGCGCGGCGCGGGACCGTCCCGCCGCCCGGTGTCCGCCCTCGTGCTCAGAGAGCGTTGGTGATAATCCGACACTGGGTCCCCGCCCACTCCCTGCAGAGGTTCAATGGAAGAGAGCCGTGTAGCGATCAGCTCGACCTGTTATAGGGGCCGGCTGGTCAATCGTCATGCCGTGTCTGTTCGATTTTCAAAGGCGGTCTCGTGCACAGAACGTTCGAACTAGCGCACTTTTCAGACAGAACGAAAATTGGTGCTGAGCTTTAACACTTGTGGCTGGGTCGTCAACATGTACTTCGAAAATTGTGGACATCTATTGACAGTCAAACATACTTCCTGCTTTGGTCACCATAGCACCTCGCTTCCTCTATCACGTGACGTTACAACCGCTGTACCTGATAGGCCGCCTATCGTTTACGAACGGTGCGCCTTTAGATCTCTATGCCTGACTCACTCGGGATCAGTCTTGGCACCTGCGGCGGTCGGTGGCCTTTGAAGTG